AATGATCCTGATATCTGCACAGATTGTGGGCGATTTGACAAATAACTTTCGATCAGTGAGTACGCGTTTCCTCTGAAACCAATTCTCTCCAATGCTGCTAATAATAATTTGTGATTAACTGTGTCGAAAGCTTTCTTTAAATCAACAAAAATGCAGATTGAAGGGATTCTGTTATCAATATTTTGATATATTTGATTTACAATTTTAGTTATTGCGTCCGATGTAGCCTTCCCTTCTGTAAATCCATATTGATTTTCACTTAAAATTTTGAATTTTGTGAGGTATCGAATCATTCTAGTAGATAAAACTTTTTCAAAAACCTTTGCTACACTGGATATTATTGATATTGGTCTATAGTTGTTAACATCTGTTTTTGTTCCTGATTTATGTATCGGTATTATATTACCTTTTTTTAAAATTGAGGGATATATGCCAGATTCAAAGCATTTGTTGATTAGGTAAGTGAGTGGTTCTGTTATGTCCTCGGCTATAATTTTCAAATGCTCGCTTTTAATACCATCGAACCCAGGACTTTTCCGATTTTTTAAGGACATAACAGTGGTGTATACTTCATATTGTTCGACTTTATCCAAAATAAATGAGTTCAAAGTTCTTTTTGGAGGCTGAGTATTTTGTACATTTGCTTGTATATTACGAGTACTTGCTAAATTTTCGCCTATGTCAGTAAAGAATTGTACAAATTCATCGCATATCTGTTGAGTATTTTTTAATACTGTTCCCGATGTTGTATTTAATTCAGTGACACACTCTTTAAATTTTGTTTTCCCAGTAATCTCATCAATAGTTGTCCAAAGCCGCTTAGGATCATTTAAGTTATTATTCAATTTATTTAGGTAATGTTTTCGTTTGGTTTGCCTTGCAAGCTCTATAAATTTATTTTTATATTGGTTGTAACAGTCGGTATTCTCTGTAGTTGGCGTTAGTTTCATTACATTATATAGTCTTTCTTTTTCTATTGCCGATGTTATTAATCCTTTGGTAATCCAGGCATTTCTGCTTTTCTCTTTGTGACTAATTATTACTTTATTGGTACTAATATCTATTTGTTTTTTTATTTTCTCTATGAACAGTCCCGTTGCTTTGTCTATATTATTTATAGAGTATAATTGTTCCCAGGATTCTTGTTTGACATTTGATATTAGTTTTGAATTGTCGACAAAAAATTTGTAATTTTCCTGGTTGTTATTAACGGTAGGAATGTTAGAATGTTTTTCATTTGAAGATATCAGTAAAATAGTGGAGAAGTGGTCAGTAATATCGCTTTATAGGATTATTGGTATACAAGTAATTTTGTTAGATAGGTCTTTCACAAAGCAGTGATCTATACATGTGCCACTGATGGACCTTGTAGGTAGGTTTATATAGGACAGAAATCCGTTACTAGATAGGATATTCAAGTATTCATTTGTGATGGGATCATTGTCCAAAATATTTATATTGACATCTCCCAAGAAAATATGTTGCTTTAAATGAACTTTATTTTGATTTTGAAAAAAAAATTCGATATTCTTCAAAAACTCGTGGGGTTCTGAACATGGCGGACGATAAATTGCAGATACCTCAATTTTGTTATGGTTAATTTGGATCATTATGTTTAAAATTTTGATTCCATCGGTGAAAGTGAATGTATCATGATTATATTGTAGCTCATTTCTTACAAAAACTATCACCCCATCGTTTTGGTTATAAGTGCCAAAGTTATACAGCGTGTCATATCCCTGCTGATTGAAGCAAGAAATATCAACCACTTGCCACGTTTCAGTTAAAACTATTAGATCAAAATTGTACCATATTTGGATGAGTAGTATTTTTAAGTAATCAATGTTGTGTTTTATACTCCTTATGTTCATATTAAAAATTCGAAATTTTGCATCAGAATTTTGTGTACATAAATTAAGTTCATCGACGTTTTGTGCTATATTTGTTGCAATATTTGGAATTTGGAAATCATTGATGTATTTATTTACTGACATTGTTAGGTCCTCTTTAGAGATAGGAGTATCAAAAGATGAACTTGAATTTTAAAAAAGTATCCTTAAGTTTTGTTGTTCCTGATAATATTTGTATGATGGACAGTTTCTGTCGGTAGGTGAGTGGTTAATATTATAATTTTTTTTATATCTTTCATTTCCATATCTACAGTTGCAGCATTCTATTGATACATGCTTACAATTTTCTCCTTCGTGACCGTTGTCACAGTTGGCACATATCTTCTCATTCCTGCAATTCTTTTCTGTATGATTAAAACGGTAGCATTTTCTACACTGAGAAATGTCGTTATTTTGATATACTGTCAAATATTGCCACCCCAGAAGTATTCTTCTATTATTGTCTTCGAAGATTTTTTTTAATAGCTTTCCAGAAGTTTCCGCGTAGATAGTGTAATTGTTTCTTGATGGAAAATATTTTATAAACTTTACTTGTATGTCTCCACTCTGAATCATATAATTCTGATGTACAAGATCTTCTTCAATTTGCTTTTCATTCGGTTTCTCACTACTTTTATAATTTACTTATTATTTTAATTTTTGGATTTAACATTTTTGGCTCAGTAACTTGGTATTTTTCATTCAATTTATTTTGAAGTTCATCTTTCAGTTTATTATGATTTGATTCATCAATTTTTATATCAATTCCGCCATTTTTTGAGTTTCTTACACTTTCTATTTGAATATTCAGAGATGAAAGATTTATTCTCTTACTCAATTCTCTTCTCGTATTATCGCAAGATTGTTTTTCTTTTGGAATAACTGTGATGCATTTCAGCGATTGCTTTTTAGTGATAGGTATCGTTTGTTTTAAGATTTGTGCGTATGAATTTTCTTTTACTAACTGGTTTTTCTCAACTTCGTCTAGTCTCATCTTAATTCTATTTAATGCTGATGCTATGGCATCCTTCTCAGTAATACTTGCGGTTACTGACAGCTGCTGCTCTTTTAATTTTAAATTTTCGTTATTGAGCTGACGAATTATTTCCTTCTTTTCTGCTAGTGCTTTCTTCAGGGATCGATTCTCTTCTAATATCTGTTTTACATTAGTCGAATCAGGTCGATTTTCTTCATCTGTAATGTAGTTTGTTTCATTCTCAGGCTTTTCTTGTTGTTCTTCTTCTTCCTTCTTCTTTTTGCGGGTCATGACGCTCTGTATAGTAATTTCTTATGTAGTATGAATCAGGAATAACAGTCAACTTGTCAATTTTACGTCACTCAGAGGTTATATCAATATAGCCGAAAACGACTGAAAATTGTAAAATCCGCTTCACCAATATATCCAGACCCGTATTTTATGCTTATAGATGGAAACTCTTCGCCAAAAGGTTATTTCATGGACTGTTTACCAACCAAATTCTTGACAAGGTAGGACGATATCGTTTGCTTGTTTACTACTAGTGTATATATTATATATACATATATATATAATCACTATCATTCATTAATTTTGAATTCTGCGACTTTTGGTCATAAAGTTCCAAGAGTATTTTTTCAAATTCTTGCTGTTGATTTATTTTCAATAGTTGGATGCTTATTTAAGAACGAATTTCACAAGATACGATACTAAGCAATAACCAATGCTTGCTACAAACCACCTACAAACCTCAGCTTTCCAATAAATTAACTCGAGGATTAGTAGTTTACAATACTAACCAACGAATTGGTTATTATATATTGGTAGGAATGCTGAGCTCACACTTTATCTACCTACTGTGGATAGTTTGTGAATTAGTCAAAAACTCTTGTTAATTTATGTAATATTGCTGAAGTTTGTACTTTGGCGTTAAATCTTGTGCAGTTTATAGACTTAATGGATAGTATACAACCAACCAATATTCGTAGCTATTTTAGTGAAAAGTTGATTTTCCATCAAAGTAACTAGACATATAGATAGTATGTATACTATCCAGCTAGTCTATACTCTAGCTCAGTAAGTACTTTAACCGGAACATATATAAATAATCAGATAGGATTACTATACATTTTTTCAGGGATATCATCCTTTAAAATATAACCATGACTAATAAAATCCATTTATGAACACTAAAAATGAATTAGACGATCTTTAGCCTCCAAGAATTGATCGATTAAGTTAAACACAGTTCACAAAATTTTAAACGGGTTTCAAATGCTTGTACAATAGAAATCCTGTAAATAAACTAGTTTTCCGTCTAAACTACTGTCAAATAGTATTGGCACAACAGGCCACAAGCTGCTATTTTTGTTTTATTGTCTGTTTTTTCACAAAATGTTGGAAAAAAAAGACGTAATTTATTTTGTGTTTTAAGAGACAAATGTAGTGCTGTATTAGTTTTCTTTACTTAAGTCTTAATAATATTTGATTATTACCTATTATATAGAGTTTGTTTTTTTCTTTAATAATAAACTGCTATTATTATTACTAATATAAAATGATAAAGACGGAGCTCGTTTTTTCTTGGAGATACACTACTATTTACCTCTATACCATACTCATCAGTTGGCAATTTCGATGTCGGCTGAAACACTACTTTCCGACACTAGCCGTAAACCTACCACAACTTAAGAAACTTGGCTCCAATACTATACATCATGCATATTCAAAGCCTTATAATTTTTTCCAAATCCACAACGTTTTTTTCCACTTATATTTATTCTACTCTACTGCCTTGCCAGCGTGCGATGAGTTTTATAGCCGGCAGACAATAAAGTTACCAGAGCGAATAAAAAATGATTTGAATTGATGCATAAACAGGGCATGCAAAAGTTGACTTAGATACTATACTTGCTGCATATTCAAGGTCCATTTATCCAGATTGGCGCAGGAAGTACAGAGTTCTACCTCTTGACGCCATTTTCATGTATTTTACGCAATGATAGCTCAGTATTACTGACACTCACATGCAAGTTCGCGGCTCGCTCTTTGTATAATCCCCACCTAAGGAAGTTATCAACAATACTAAGGTGCTCATTACATATTAGCTGAAATGATAATATGAAAAATCTTACCTTGCAAGGAAGTACCACGCACCATTCTGCACATACTTGGTGCTTCTATAATCAAGTCCAATCAACTTATTGATAGTCGTTCTTTGACCCACCCTCGTGTACAACTTGTAGACGGGTTGTCCACCAACATGATAGAACCCTTTGTCCTCATAGAAATTAGGTCTAGGTACTCCTCTAGCATAAGAAGCTATTGCTGGAGTCAGATTGAAGAAGGAGTACAGGGTGTTTTGGTTGACATTGTCAAAGCACACCGAATACGTGGTGACAAATCTGTTCTCGTCTATCTGGAATCCGATGTCTGTTTCCATGAATCTGTAATACGATATTAAAGTTTAGAAGAACCTGCAGAAAAGGATGGCATAGAAAATTACTGATAGACTGAAATTTAAACATTATGAGAATCACAATGAAGAATCTCAACTCTCTGCTATATACTATAGACTAAGTTTTGTATTAGGTTTGAGGAATGATCCTTCCTTGGACTTTAAACAAACAATAATGCTTCCTTCAAGATAGCACAGGAGAGAAATCAACGTTTGAATTCCATCGTAGGCAGTATTATAAATGTCAGGTGTATTTCTTTTGTAAATGTAGTCTAAGACCGGCTGATGCCTACATTCCGAAATCGCTAATTGCAGTCTTTACATAACAAAAAGGATCAACCAGCTGCGATTTTTTCAGCAAAGCTGTCCATGGGCGGCGGAATCATCGACAAAAGATATCATTTTTGTGGAAGTGTACCTGCCCCAAAACATTTTGAAGAACAGAAGTGTATCTGCCCCTAAAACTTTTGAAAACTGGGGGTTAGCAGATTTTTTCGTGAGAGGTCAAATCCTGAAAATCCCCAAAATTGTGCACAAAATCACGCCAAATACAAGGTGACTTAGAAGTTGAGTCATTTATTTTAACAGTGAGTAGATCTGATCAAAAGAAATGTTTTTTTCCTATAACATTTTTCTGGTAAAATTAAAGTAACAAAGTTATAGCCCTTTAGAAGTTTGAGTACCGCCCTGTCTCAATAATAATATTATATGCTTGTGTTTGGCAATAAGCCCAGCTCTACGTCGAGCAAAACGGAAATCATTTCGAACAGTTTTGTGACATGCTTTTGGGCGCACAGGTCCGCACTGAAATACTAGTCGGGAGAATACTTTATAAGACAAGGTAACATTTTTTTAATTTTTTTTTTTAGTTTTACACACATATTTTGATTTATCTTCCTTCTACAATTATCTGAAAATTAATGACTCAACTTCAAAGTCACCCTGTATACACCAGAGCCGGCTCAAGAGCTTTTGGTGCCCTGAGCGAGTGTATTGCTAGGTGGGTAGGTAGGCTAAAACCAAATTATATGATGAATTTATTGTTAATTGTTAGATAATAATGCAAAAAACGGAGATAACAATGGTGAAAATCTGACAAATTTGGTTTTTCAAATCACTCTAGAAGAAACTAGGTAAATATTATTCTACATATATAAATATATAACTATTTTTGGCTAAATGACGAAATTTCAAGTAATAGTGAAAAAACAACGAATGAAGATCAACAAGGAGAAACTATTTATCGAATTAGTATAATATGCTATATCTCCAGCTACATCAAAACTTCTTCCTTTGAAGAGACTAAAAAAGGCATCTTTCTTGTTGTTACGAATTGCCCTGTAGAGAACAGCATATTTTTCAAGCAGGAACCGTATAAAAATTTTAGGCAAATTTTTTATAAATTTTTAATTATCTTTTGTAGTAATGATGATATTGACCAATTACATACATTTCTAATTTGTTGTTGAATTTTTTGAATCTTGTCTCCTCTAAAGAAATTTTTGATTGTGTCCAAAATCATCAGAAATGAAAAAAAAGATGCGTACAAGTCTGGGGGAGTTATAGATGTTTTCGTCATAATAATGGTACTATATACCTTTTTTACGGTTACTCTATCGCAACCAGACCGATTAGGAGAAAAGCCTGAAAGACGCCACAAAAAAGATGTACTAACGATGTTCCAAAAACTGAAAATATCTGAAAATCGTTCATTTGAGTTTTTTCCGCGATTATAGAACTTTCCTGGCCTACTGACTTGATTGAAATCATGAGCAGCTCGTATGAATTTTGAGAGAAATGCACGCCCAGAAATGACGAATATTAGACCTGGGTATATAAAATCTTCAGTATAGCAAAACGCCTCATATATCTCAAGTATTGCTTAGTATTACGAACGACCAAATTATTATTACTTGAAAAAGCATCTCGCCGAAATATTTCATCGCCTTTCTCACGAAGTGACCTAAATGACAAAATGCCAAAAATTGAGATAACCCGCATATAGGTGTATTACTCCATGCCGGTTAATCTGACAAAGAGTCATAACTATATATAATAATAATAATAATAATAATAATAATAATAATAATAATAATTAACGTCTTTTATTTGTAATATTCTTACAGGAGGCGAGATTTAGATTATATATCTGTTCTACCATCTAACCCCCTTAACAATACGAGATGTAAAAAAAAAAGAATTTGTTGAAAATTAATAGGCACCTGTATACAATAACGAATAATCCAAGTAAATACATAAGGAAAATATGAGGACACTTATGGGTTACAATCGATTTCGCTGCTGATCAAGAAGAACTTCTTTCACTTTTTTCTTGAATTTGGATAATGGATTGGTTTCTTTTAAACTGCGGTCTAAAAAATTATACGATTTGATCGCATTGTAAATGTATGAATTCTGAAATAGAGTCGTGCTGTGGCGTGGAATTGAAAAAGTCTCTCTACATCTAATATTAATACGATGCATATTCATTCTACGTTTGAATTTGTTTACTAAATATGACGGTGTTTTTGAATAAAGAACCTTATGAGTCAGATTTAGGAGCTGGTACTTATACATTCTATAAATTTTCATCCATTTGAGTTCATTAATTGCAATCGATATATGATCATATTTTCTGAGATCATTTACAAGCCTGCAACATGTATTCATAATACTTTGAATACGATTTCTTGTTATAATATCTAAATAGGGATAGTAAACCACTAAGCAATACGATGTCTTTGAAAATACGAAATATTCACACAATTGCTTTCTCGCAGATTTATGTAATATAGCCTTATTTGCAAATAAAACTCTGAGAATAGCGTAGCACTGAGTAATTAGATAGTTCACATGTGCAACAAATTTTAAGTCATCATCCATTATAATACCTAGGTTTTTCGAATGATCCACAGGAATTAATTTATTACCTTTTAAATGTATGTCTATGTCCTTTTTTAAGGTATTCTTTTTTGTTCTATTTACGTATACTAACATATTTGTCTTCAAAGGGTTCAAACGAAGATTATGACTACTACTGAACTTTTCAATTTGGACAAGATCTTGATTAATTTTATTATTTGCCGTTTCCAAGTCATTACTCCTAAATGAATAGAAAATTTGAGTATCATCTGCAAAAAATTGTATGCTGCATGATTGGTGGTACACCAGAACAAATTTTTTGTTCCGTAGAGTACTGTTGATTTAGACGAACTTTTTGATACCGATTTTCAAGGTAGGTTTGAATAAACGAAAGAGGTTTTTCAGAAAATTCATAGTAACTGCATTTAGGTACAAGAAGTGAGTGATTAATGGTGTCAAGTGCTTTAGTAAAGTCAAGAAGTATGAGAGCTACTGCTTTTTGGTTATCAAGTGCCATTGTTATATTGTCTGTTAAATCACAGAGTGCCGAAGCTGTATTATGACCTTGTCGAAATCCAGATTGTTTAGATGGAATAATTTTGTTACAATATAAGTAGGCGCAGAGCTGCTCGTAAACAACGCGTTCCAATACTTTAGAAAAAATTGGCAGTAGACTGATCGGTCTCAGTTGACCATAGTTAGTGGGATCAAAACACTTAGGTAGCGGAATAACTATAGCGCGGTTCCACTGATTGGGAAAATATCCCCTCTCTAAACAGCAGTTTATAATATGCGTTAAGTACACATCAATTTCAGGTATACATAGTAGTATCATATGCAAAGTTATTTCATCTGTACCACTAGAATTTGATTTTATTTTATGTATAATTTTAACAACGGTGTCAATAGTCACTTAATTAAATTGAAATTTGAATTTTGAGTTATTTTTATTAGCTTGGTAATATGCAATTTTATCAGTACAAACCAAATCACTATTCTCGAAAATTGAAATGAATTCCTCATTTATTTTATACGGATCTGACAAGCTCACGGGAATTGTAGAATCTTTCTGAGATTGTACTTTGAAAGTCTTTAGGGTCTTATAAAACTTTTTTATATCCTGATTTTGAACAGCTTGTAAATAATCTCTTTTTCATCTTCGCACGAGCGTTAATGCACGATTTCTGAAATATGTATACTGTTGCCAAGAGGCGGCTGTACGATCACGTTTGAACTTTGACAAAGCTTCAACGCTCTGCTTGAATACAAGTTTAAGATTATCATCCAACCAAGGAGCTGGAGCTGTGTTTACACTCACTACCTTTTTTGGACAGTGAACATTAAATAAACATAAAATACTATCTGTTAAAAAGTTAATTTTATCTTCAATGTCATCTATCGATATAATATGCCACCATGTATATAATATGTATTGGTGTAGGCAACACACCATTAACCCCTGTGTTTCTTACCTGCAAAGGTAAATATATACAGTAGTAAAAAAAACCGGAAGGGTGAATTATCTCAGCAACTGTCAAATATAAATTAACCAAATATTGCGCGAAGAATGAATAAAGAATGCAAAAATTATATTTGCAAGGTTTCCAAGTTTATAGTTTTCTCTCTGGGTTAGGGAATTTTAAAATGTTAAATGGAATACCCTAATTTTATTATTGTAACCAATTGCCTGTATCAACTTTATAATGACCTGGTATTATCGTTTTTTACTTTTGGCAATTTCGGAGATATGGCATCATGCTTACAAAAACGACAAGGTATGGTCAATTATCTCAAAAACGATCCAACCGAGATTCGTCAAAATTAGTACAGGGGAATAAATGGAAATTCTAAATTCATGAATTGCATTTGCGATGTTTCCAATATTCTATTTAAAAAAAGTCAAGGAAAGGCAATACGGAAATTTAATTATATTATCAAACAAGTAAATTTTAGTGCAAAATAATAATATAAAATTAAAAAATAACAAAATACCTATCTACTTAATCAAGTGCTCAAAATGGCTACCATCGTTGGCTAAGCAAAGTCCGAGGCGATCGTAAAATTTTGCCAAAGTATTTGATAACATGTCTGGAGTAATTTGTGCAGCTTCATCCAAAATATTTTGCCTAAGTTGGGCCGATCTTTATAAACTCTGCACTTCAGAAAACCCTAAAGGAAGAAATCTAGTGGGGTTACATCTGGGGAGCGAGGTGGCCTTTCCCAGAGTGCCACGTCTTCCAATCAATCTTCCTGGAAATTGGTTGTTTAGAAACTCGGTGACCCCTCTGGAGAAATGAGCTGGAGCTCCATCATGCTGGTACCAAATTTCGTACATGTTTTCATTTAAATTTCTAGTATCGGGTATTATGCGTTGTCTAAGGAGATCAAGATATTTTTATCCGGTCAACTTGCCATCTATGAAAAATGCACCAATGACATGGTTGCCCAAAATTCCCGCCCAAATATTAACTTTTTCCGGGTATTGAGTGTGAAGTTTTCATTTGTCAATTTAAGCAGAAGGTGGCTTTCTCGCTGTACAATTTTTTTTTGTGGAAATTGGGGTTATTTATCATTTCCATCATAGTTTCTGCAAACTGAGCTGGACGGTCTGGATCAACTTCTTGCAGTTGGTGGAGGTAAATTATTTTGTAGGGTTTGAGATATTTCTGACCGATTCGAGTTGTAAAAGAACATTTAATATATTCTCATCACTAGTCGCAGTTTTCGGTCTCCCTGATCTAGGTTTTCTTTTCACTCCGCCGGTTTCAAGAAAGTTTTTTTCGTCTTCTTGATAAGATCTTTGTTTATCTCCATATCTTCGAAAAATAAGAATTTCTCTGTTTTTCGTCAAGTACAAATGCCATAATAACGCCCGCAATATTTGTCACTTTTGAATTGTTTTGATATTTCTAATTGTTATGGTTCTGAAGTCTCCATAACATTACAAACAAATAAATAACACAACACGTCTTCTTGTTTATTTTGGAAAACAAACAAACGGATGTTTTCTTACTTACTTCTTGTAAGAAATGAAACAAAGCGATATGCCATATCTCCGAAATTGATAAAAGTAAAATAACGATAATATGAGATCATAATAAGCTAATACAAGCATTACGATAATAAAAATTAGGGTATTTCATTTAAAATTTGAAAATTTCCTAATCTAGAGAGAAAATTATAAACTTGGCAACCTTGCAGATATAATTATTGAATTCTTCATGTTGAGTTTCCCCTTCGCATAAAATTTGGTGCATTTATATTTGACGGTTGCTGAGATAATCCACCGTTCCAGTTTTTTCTACTAACCCTTTATAATTCCACTTCCAATTCCACTTAAGTGAACACAGGTCTCTCAGTGTGCTAAAATCCTTGTTAGTATACGCACCTCGGTGGTCGAATCATGACCAAAGTGCAATTCATACTGCAATAAAGGGAACTGGAGATGTTTTTGAACCACCCCAACACTAACCGGTTTTTCGATTGGCCAGAAAACGTCAACCTTATTTAGTAATCACAATGAATTTTTTGAATTCAAGAAACTTTCAAAAGATTTACAAATTTTGTCCACATGACAAACTGAAAAAGGGCAAAATATTAAATGGAGTTTATGGTGAGAAAAGAGATGCCCACCAAAATATTTTTCAAGTCTAGCCAACACGATACTAGTTATGACAGTATTTAGTTTAAAAGACTGATGATAAATAGTAATAATATAAATGATGGTAAACAAGAACAACGTAAAAATAACAAAAAAAAAATAAAAAGAAGTACTCCGACTCCCCGTTGTGCGCTTACCAGAATTCCAAAACTTTTTTAGAAATTTGCCCCATGAAAATGAATGAATTATTAATAATTTTGCCTTTGTTTTCTTGAGTAACATAATACATCAACATTAGCTGGTAATATGTCAAAAGATAATGTTTAAGTTTTTATATTTAAAAAAAATTTGCTTTCACGATTCGAGTTACTTTCTTCATCTCATCACTTGATATTTGTGTCACAATCAATATCAATTTTAGACATTGGCATTGAGAGAAAATTTGTAGGGATAAGCCAGAATTAAAAAGTCGATCTTTTTTACATGAGCTCTTCTGTTAGCAGACCAACGATTACCAAAAAGTCAACAAATTTTTTGAGATAATCGCCCCCTTGGCTGGAAATATGATTGTTTGCTTATAGGTAAGTGAAATAAATTCTGTATATCTTAAGAAAGTATAACAACAAGAACTTCAATAAAAATATATTTTAGCTCTATCTGACAAAAAGCTTCGGAAAATTCTTACAAAGTGACCTATGTGCGTTTTCGAATTTTTTCCAAAGTAACTTGATAAGCTACCATAAATATTGAAACAGCATATGATCGACAATGAATATGGACTGATACAGTGAAATTTCCAATTCGGGAACATCTAAACATTACCTACAATGCTGAATCAACAACACGCTGATCTCGTTTTCTTGCTCTCCAGTAAAATTTACTAAACGTTGATTAGGGGACAGTTCGTGAGAAGGCCGACGATTTGCATGATGGCTTCAAAAAAGTAATCCTAGTAGTGACTCTGTATCAATGGATAATTCATTGAAATGCAAACAGAAAAAATATCAGGCCTAGTAAAGTAGATATGATTTGTGGAACTTCAACCAAAATTATTTTTAAGCTGCCCCGCCTCCTGTTCTGAGCTGGGTAGTGGCGGTTGCGAGGAAAACGATGGCACACTTTAGCCCATGATGGAGAGAAGACCAAAAACATGTTATTACAAACCTATATCCACACTTCCTTCTAGTTTTCCTCACAGAAGTAAGTGGATGTGCGCTGCACTTAATCTGGGACCAATGGTACTCCTTTTCGTTCACTTTGAATGTAGACTTTGAAATGCAAGTAGCTTGGACTGTTGCTTGATCGACGATTTTTTCTCCCAGGACTACTTTTTTCCCAGGGCAGGAAAGATCGACAACTTCAGAGTCGGCAAAGGGGACGGTTTCGGAGCCATTTTGAGGGTAAATAAAACTACTTGATCCGTGCTTTATCAGTAGCGGAGCATTCTTCTCGTGGGGGTAAATTTCACAATCTGTAAAAACATCATTTAAACAAATACTGCGTTTATTTAAATTTATTAAATCGTATACTTAGATTGAATACACCAATTTATTTGAATATAATGAGTTATTAAAATGAGTTTACTTGCTCCAAGTAAGACAATTTGATGAAATGTATCAAATTTGTTTAATTAGTTTAGGTAAAAGTGTTTAGTTTTAGTTTTTTAATTTAACAAGATGTTTGGAAACTATTTGAAATTTAAAAGAAAAAATTGCATTTCACTGAATGATTTATGTTATAACTGCTCTGACAAATCTTGGATATTAAAAAATTTGGTAAAACTTGATATTGATAGTTGATGTTTTCGAATTAAATGAAAACTTTTGATTTTGTATCGCTAACCAAATTCGATATTTGTATTTGCATTAATTGTGAACTTATAATATATGGGAACAAATTTTATCAATTATTCGTCTGATTGTCAACTGAAACTGAATAAGGCCACTTGATCGTATGCACAATAATTGTACTTTTGTTCAACGCATTTAAATATAAACAGATTCGACATCACTTTAAACAAACTACAAACTATGTCCCAACAGGTGGCTCCACATCCTATACATGCAATGTAATAGAAAAGCACACAAAGCCTATGTTACCGATATATAGGGTGTTTCAGAACTAAGAGATCAAGCTTCTAGGGGTTATTCATTGTAACAGTAGAAAACATTTGAGTATAGTGACCCATATTCGGAAGAGTGTCACTACGGCACTACGGCCCTAAGACGCGTTAAAATTTAGAAAGACGATGAATTGCCTAAATAGGATTTGATGCATTTAATTTTTGCCTTCTGTACATGATATCATCACAACAATTATTCAAAATGTCTTCCTCCAATCTGAATACGCTTGACTAAACATTTGATACTCGTTTTGAATGATTTCAATTGCTGCTGTAATTCGTCCAATTAAGTCTTGCTCTGTTTCTACTGGGGCTTCGTAAACCAAAGACTTTACATGTCCCCACAGGAAATAATCTAGCGACGTTAAATCGGGTAACCTAGGAGGCCAAGAAACTGCTCCACCTCTGGCAATCCAACGATGTCCAAACCGCTGAGCCAAATACTCACGTACTTGTACAGCAAAGTGAGCCGGCGCTCCATCATGCTGAAACCACATTTGCTGTCGAAGCTTCAATGGAACATTTTCAAGAAGTTCTGGAAGAACTTCCTCCAAGAAACGCCGGTAAATAGGTCCTGTTAACCGTTCCGGTATTTGGTATAACCCAATCAAATAATCATCAACAATGCCTGCCCATACGTTGACAGACCAACGTTGCTGATGTTTTCTAGGAAAAATTGCATGGGTATTTTCTTTGTCCCAAACGTGGCTATTCCTACTATTGGAAATACCGTCTCTTGTGAAAGACGCTTCATCGGTCCATAAAACATAGCGTAAAATATTTGATTGTGCAGCGATTTGATGAAGAAGCCATTTACAAAACTGAACTCTAGGAAAGGATAAAGTTGTTGCTCGTGTAGCACCCGCCAGACGGAAGCGTGGCTCGTATTCATATCCTCAGCAATGTGACGTGTGCTACTTGACGGTTCGTCGGCAACTCGCTGAAGGACCTCTTCTTCAAATTCGACCGTTCTTACGGTTCGAGCAACACTAGTATGCATATTGGTTTTAAACATGCCTGTCTCGGAGAGCCGCCGATGAATAGCAATAAACTTTTTGTATCCCGGATGCTGTCGTTCGGGATAACGTTCTTGATACAACCGCGCTGCTGCTCGTGCAATGCAGCTTGTTGCTGCGTATGCCGAAGGCATATCCGCCATTTCTGCATTTTCCATTAGCAACAATTAATTTTTGTTAAATTCTTGCAAACTTCACAAATACGATAGTACAACTAAGGCCAGGTGAAGTGCAGCTACAAAAAGCAATATTTGTTATCGTTTTCAAATATAACAACACACAAGCGCCGGATATGGGTCCCTATACTCAAATGTTCTCTTCTGTTACACTGAATAACCCCTAGAAGTTTGATCCCATAGTTCTGAAACACCCTGTATACTCGAGTATTTCATTTGATCACCATAATTCATCCACTTCACAACCAATGCACCAACAACGGCAACATTTGAATATCACGCTCCTTGCGAAAATCACAGATGAAACTGAGGAGCTGGCACTATGTCAGTCGCATTTTCTCGATCATTCACGAATGAAAGGCCGAGTCCTATCAAGTCCGCGATTCAATAACTGCTCTTATTAAAATGTTTAATAGTTTTAAATGTACCTTTTCTACATAAACTAAATTACCTTAACTAATTAAACAGTCTAATAAAACAAGTAGATGCAGCAAATTATATTAGTAGTATATTACTTTCAATTGAACAGGTTCCAGAAAATCAGCTTAATTAAAATAAGAAAGAACAAACTATTCAGGTTAATGAAAATTTTCTATGTTTAATTGACCACGTTTTCTCAGCGCACTAGCAAAACATTTTATTATTGTAGACATTATTATTACTAATTTATTTCTCAAATACTTACCCGCAAGTACGGCATAATTGTAATAACAATTAAGAGTTATAACAAAAAATAAGTAGACCTTCATTTTTGCGCTAGATGTTAGCGAATCTCGACAGGTATTGTTTCCCCTAAAATGCATAATTTATGAGATTTTCTTATCTAATCATGATGGAAACAATATCAGAATTTTTGAATGATTTATTTTTATCCACTAAGTAATCAACAATGGGATAGTTCCGAAACCAAGTTGATTAGATTTTATATAAGTACTTCCAAATTCTTGTTTTCAATTGACACGTCCGAACTTAAAGTTTTGCTCAATTCGTCCATGATTAAAATCATAATCACGTTCATTCAAGTAATGATTCTCTTGCTAAACGTGAGTTACTTCTATGACATCATTTGTCATCTTCTAACTAAGGCAATCGCACAGGCTCACAGGCAGAGCTCAAATATAGAAGTTCTGAGATTGTTGTAAGCTGTTACTATCTCAGCACCTTAGAAACAAAGGAACGGTCATACCAATTATTTGTCTACAAAATTCCACAATGTTAGAATGAGATGATGTGTGTATGTGTGTGTCAAATAATCGCATCAGGAACTGGAGTCCATTGGCCACAAAGTTTTGTTAATGGATTTATATTATCTGATCATTGTGAGAGACGGTAAGAAAGAAAGAAAAGGGGGGATATACGAGTAACTGAATAGTTACGAATTCCAGTCAAGGTTTATTTTATATGGTAATATTTGACATTTTAAGGAATTAAATTAGCGCTAAATAAATTTTTATATCCGGAAAAGATAAAATGGTAGTCAAACTTAAAGGTAGTTGGAAGCCAAGTTTAATCATCTGAGCGATGAATTGATTGGAGATATTGGTGTAAAAATTACAAGCAAAAAATATGTGATTTAGATCGGCTATAGAAGATTCATGACAAGAACAATTTGGAGACTCTATTACACCTATTCGATGGAGATGAGCAGGAAAGCAACCATGACCCAATCTCAATCTCGTTATAATTGTAGAGAATCTTCTACTCATATAGAAGAGATCTATGTGGTGAATTATATTAGGAAGGGTCGGGTGAATAAGGGCATAATGTTTTCGGGAGTTTGCTACAAGGTTGGACCAGATCAAATCCCATCTTTTCTTGATGATACCTCTGATCTCTATGTGTGGCACATCAGTAATCGTACTAGAGTTAATTGCATTTTTTGCAGCTTTATCAACCACATCGTTGCCTCTGGTGCCAGCATACCCTTTTACCCAAACAAAGTTTATCTTTGCTCTTTTGGCTTGACAAGTGACGAGCAAGTTTCTGATTTTGCATAATAAAAAAATATCATATGATTTAAGAGGATTTTGTTTAATTGCTTCTAAGACTGATCTCGAAGCACCAGGAAATTGCCTGTAGTGCTGCATAGGCTTCTGCAGTAAATATGGAGCACAGGTCAGGAATCCGGTATCCCTTGCAATAATCTTTTTGTGGGACGTAGAATGCGCACCCAGTACCCATCTTGCTTTTGGAGCCGTCGGTATAGACGGCAGATCTTCCAATACGGCAGGTAGAACAGACCTATCGTAATAACAGTTTTCGGTATATGTAGAGACTGTGATGGTTGTTTCATTAAGGAATACTTCATACGGGCCAACATATAACGGGTGATTATCCATAGGATGAATTAAATTAGCGAGATAACTGGTCTTTACGAAAGCCTCTGCTAGCAGTGGTGAAGATTTTTTTCGCCAATACTTCTTAGTCAAGTCTGCAGTTACTAATTGTGATAAATTATTAAGCAAGTATTCGTTATTTCTGTATTTGACAACGGCCTTCTCTGCAAAATACCTTCTTCGTAATGAAAGAGGAGGTTCCCTTGCTTCAGCTAAGATTGCTGGACATGGTGTTGATTTCATGACTCCCATGCAAATTTTCAAGGCCTGATATTGTATTCGGTCAATTTTAGTTAGGTGAGACTTAACCGCGGAACCGTACAGCACATAACCATAATCCAAAACGGACCTTACGTAAGACTGGTAAAAAATAAGCGCTATTTTAGGATCTGATCCCCACTTTTTCTTTGTGGTGCACTAAAGTATGTTAATCCCTTTTTCAGCTTTCGTTTTTAAGTACTGAATATGCTTGCTCCATACTAAGGCCACTGATATCATATAGACTGGGAAGTGCTACTCTGTGTCTTGTGAAACACATCATCGCAGATTTGTCTACAGCCAATTGGAGATTGACCTGGAATGAGGTGCTGGAGCTTTGAGAATCTTTCTGACACATTAACGGCATCAGAGGGAAATGCTCACAAAATTCACGAAAAAAGTGTATTGAATGGAAAATTCAGTATTTTCTTTAGATTGTTATTTTTATTCAGGCCATCCAGAGATTACTCAGCCTTTCAAGTCATACGCACGCTTTCGTCGGAATTTTCCACGACCATTTTGCATAAATATAGTAGAATTTCGTTCAGGCAGCGTTCCGCTTTCTCTAACAATGTCGAGTATCTATGAACTTGCTGGAATAAAGTTTCAACTAGAAATAATTCTATAAAAAGTAATCTAATGGTGTTAAATCATACGATCTAGGGGAGAGTCCCGACACAAGAAAGATGCAGAGCGGCAAAGCGTGAACTTAGAACAGCCAAAATTGGAGCATTTTGACAAAATCTTTAGAAAAAATCGTATATTTATAGACCAAATCAAAATCTGTGAAGTGATTTAAACAATGCCTAAAGGCTGCCTATCCTAAAAGATTCTCTTCTTCCCCTTTGCTCTCGTTCTTCCATCTCTCCTTTCCTTCCCTTTTTTCCTTAAAATTGTCTCGTTTCTGGGTTACCAGACCTGACAGACTTACAAACTGACACTGTGACTCAAGAGCTAAGGTCCCACGGACCGCTCTGACAACTAACGATGACTTGAAGAAATTGTCCTTAACGTTTATAAGAACGAAATTTTAGAGCATCCTGAAATGAAAATTCATGATATTGAAAGACGTGTTGCGAACAAAACAGGCTTATGCTCTAACACAATTTTCAACATTGTTAAAAAATATAAAAAAAAATTCTTCCCACCACACGAAGCTGTTGTATACAGTTGATAACTTTTATCGGAATGCCATCAGACGGAAAGTCTATCAATTTTTGGAAAGGCATGAACTTCCCACCATAGTCAAAGCATTACAGGAGGTTAAAAGACTTACCTACTTTCAAAAGGACCGCATTATACAGGGTGCTCCTTAATGTTAGTTTGCTTCATTAACTCTGGTCCAAAAATGTTTCCTTACAAAAACTCGGAGTGTTGAAGTTTTAGGAAAAAAATGGAAATTAGTTAATATTTTCAGAACCGCTTCAGATATTTCACTGATATTTAGTACGTAGTGAAAGTCGATAAAGTTGCATATTTTTCAATGCAAAAATAATTTTTAGCTCTAACAGTGGCGTTCGTACGGGTATTGACTTCGATATTTTTTAAGAAAAGAATAACACGCCGATGGTTTTTTGCCAAATAAAAATAACAAACGATCTTTCTTGAATTGTTTTTCTTCGATGCGCCATTTTTGAGTACAAAAATAAAAACCATTCTATTGTCTAACTTGCAAAATTATTATTAATTTAATTGGAAAAATTAAACACATTAGGGGTAATTAACAACAACAACAACTGACAATATAAACATGATATTAAACTCAACGAAATGATTACAAAAATTGTTGAAAATCCTCCCATCACTTAGTATGCATGTTTCCGCCCTCCTCATGGAATTGCACACTCGTTGAAATATCCCTGGAGTGTCTTTTATTCTATCACAAGCTGTAACTGTTCTTTCTCTTAATTCCTCTACACTGGGACTTGTGTACACTAGTGTCTTAAGATAGCCCCACAAAAAGAAATCTAAACTGTTGAGGTCTGGCGACCTTGGTGGCCATTCTTGGGGCCCACCGCGGCCAATCCAACGATTTGGATAAACAGTAATGTAAATAATTACGAACCGCTACACTGAAATGCGCTAGTGCACCATCATGCATGTACCACATATTGTTTCTTATTACTAACGGAACATCATCAAGCAGCAAAGGCAACTGTTGTTGAAGAAAATTGAAGTAAGTCTGTCCGTCAAGTGGTCCCGGCAAGAAGAATGGGCCAATAAAGTGGTTGCCAATAATTCCTGCCCATACGTTAACCGAAAATTGGTGTTGGAAATGGGTTTCGGTTACGACATAGGGATTTTCGTCTGACCATAAATGATTATTGTGGAAATTCTGAATGGCATTTGGAGAAAAATTAGCTTCGTCCGTGAACAGAATCGTTGATTCAAATTGCGGTTTGTGTAATTTTTTGAAGAAACCACTGACAAAAGATCACACGCCTTGGAAAATCAATGGCAAGTAATGCCTGTACTACTAAAATATAGTAAGGATATAACAAAAAATCCGCTAAAATTCTCCAAACAATTTGATGACAAATATTTAAGTGTCTAGCGATCTTCCTCGTACTCGTTTCAGGATGTTCTTCGACTTCGTGCAGCACTGCTTCCTCAATTTCAGGTGTTCTCATACTTAGAGGTGTACCTTCAGATGTTGCTTTTCGGACAGAACCAGTTTCAACAAGACTACGATGAATATTAGAAAAGGTGTGACTATCTAGCAAAGCACGATCGGGATATCTCTGGTGATAAATCCGTCAGGCTTGCTCACCATTACTGTCGGCAAGGCCATATACGTAATGCATTTCCGCCATTTATGCATTTGAATAATTCACCATCATTAACAAGATTTTAAATTGAACGGGGAATTCAAAAATAATTTTTATTTGGTAAAAAACCATTGGCGTACCATTTTTTTCTTAAAAAATATCGAAGTCAATACCCGTACACACGCCACTGTTAAAGCTAAAAAAATTTGCATTGAAAAATATGCAACTTTACTAGCTTTCACTACGTACTAAATATCAGTGAAATGTCTGAAGCAGTTCTGAAAATATTAATTAATTTCCACTTTTTTCCTAAAACTTCAACACCGCGAGTTTTTGTAAGTAAACATTTTTGGACCATAGTTAATGGAGCAAACTAACATTAATTTTTCTTGTAGATTCACACCCTTAAATATTCGCATATCATAAAGGAACACCCTGTACAGTTTACTAAACAAAACTTCATTTTGAGTATAGAATCTACAATTAAATCAGCAAGAGGTTCTTAGATGGACTAACCACTGGCCTAAAGAATCCGTCAGGTACGTGTATCTAACCAATTCGTCATTTGTGTTATAAAACATGGTGTCAAGTAGACTGAATCTATGAGCCCAAGCTAAAAACTATATCTGGTAGATTTGTAACCTGCACCTGTTAGATACTCTGCTTGTATTATTATTAGTTTGTTTGAATACTACCTGTATATAAAACAATTATTTCCAGAAAAAGGAAAACGATTTGTTATCTGTAACTATGGCAGTGAAGATGGCTTTGTGCCTACTACTCCATAGGCATTTGAGACAAAGAAAACGACCGACTACCATAAAGAAATGGATGGGAGCTCATTTGAACGATGGTGTGAAAGCTTGACGACGTCATTGTACTTGATAATGCTGCATACCGCACTAAAAAACTAGAAAAAATTCCCACAATGTCCACAAGAAAGGCAGAAATGGCTCCTATCAAAAAGACATTGGTTCAATGAAAATATCGTCAAAGCAGGACACAAATGCACAAATATAAAATATAATCGTAATGTTATTGACGAAATGGTTAAAAATCAAAATAAGATCGTTTTAAGGCTTCCCCACATTACTGCGAATTAAATCCCAATGAAGTGATTTGGGCTAATTTAAAAAACTATGTGGCTTCAAACAATAGAACATTCAAATTTTCTGGCGTGAAAAATTTGTTTTATGAAGCTTTCAACAGAGTGACGGCAAACCATTCGAAGGATTTTATCCGGCAGGTTAAAGAGACAATCGAAACAAAGATGTGGGATCTGGACAATATGATCGATATTCAAATTGAACCTGTAATGATTAATATTAACCATTCGGACGATGATTCAAGTACTTCCAGCGAATAAAGAATTTTGAAAAGTATGTGCACTTTTTTCTATAAAAATAATCATTTATTTTGCTGGATTATTCCAAGACCATTGAGGAAAATACGGACCTGTACAATCTCGCTTTGGGCATGTTGTGTTCTGCCTGGGCGTAATAAGTGGACTACGAAGCGGCTATAGTAATTGATTTGTTCCACGGGCTATATGGAAGGTGCGGCCTTCTTGTTAAACCACATGTTATCCACATCGATATAATACAATTTAGGCTGAAATAAGCCTTCAGGCAGTTCTAGGGGGTCAACTATGATCATCGAAACGTAGGAATGCACGACCAGAAAATGTTTCATGCAGTAATTGAACTGATTCACGAAATCGATGGCATGTGGCACAGTCTTCTTGAAACAAACATTAGATTAAACCAAACTTTACATTGTGAAAAATGCCTGCCTAGTCTCTAGTTAGAAACGGTCAACATGTATAAAATTGTAGAGAAATGAATGAATGAAATTGTGACTTTTCTTAAGCCCCACATTTATGCAAGATTGTCATGGAAAATATCGATAAAAGGACGCCAGTCATTTGCCTGATATGCTATCCCATACATTACAGTATACTCCGTACTTTTACAATAAAAAAGAAGAAAAACCGTTTTATATTCAGTTGAAATCTTTCGAGAATTTTGGAACATTCTTAAAACTTGAGACCATCTTGTAGTGTCGTCAATCGATCGGACAATCACTTGGTCTCAATTAGTCTCAAACTCTCAAAACTGATTCTGCTGATATATCATCTATTTTTTTTTGTTTGTGTGTTTGGGACCGAGATATGAATCGCGGTATATCGATGGTAACAGGAAATCAGAATTTCTTGTTATTCAGGTTTGTTGGAATATATTTTGTTATTTTACAATCGATCGAACAGAAGAAATCAAATTCTAAGGGAAGGCGTTCAAAGATTTTAGAAAGCTGTTGTTGGCTAATTCTTTTTTGAATCTGTACGGGTACAATGAACTTTTTTGTTCTAATGTATTGATTGAAAAAAGCTTCTAAAAAGTAGCTACTACAACTAGACAGTTATTTTTTGCCCAATTTTTGTATATATAAATAAATAATATTCGATTCAAGTCAGTTTTCTGATAAAATTATTAATAAATGTAAATGGAAATTTGCTCATGTCCAACTTATCCCAAAGAGGGATATAAGATCGACCCTTACAACTACAGGCCTATAGCTCTGCTTTCTGTTATAAGTAAGGTAATGCATAAATCGCGAGCTTCTGGACTACCTCGAACGTCACAGCTTGATCAGCGGAGACCTCCTAACTTAACGTCACGCAATTGTGTAGTAAACTCATCCAGTCTTATGGTGAGTCTCATGTCGTTGCTCTTGACATCACGAAAGCGGTGGATCAGCTGTGGCACGCTGCCCTCTTAAGCAAACTTCCATCCTATGGCTTCCCAGAAAAGCTTTGCAGATGGGTGGCTGACTTTGTCTCTGGCCGCAAGATATCCGACGTAATTGACGGGTTCTCCTCTTCATCCCACAACGTCAACGCGGGTGTTCCCCAGGGATCGGTCTTGGCTCCAACATTGTTTCTCTTACATATCAACAAACTCCTTTCCTGCACGCTTGGCTGATGACACCACTCTACATGCAGGAATTCAGAGTGACAAGCCGATATCTGCAGCTGAGCTGGAAAAAAAGAAGACTAGCGACGACTTCCTCTCTGACAAAAGACCCTGAGGCTATTACTGCTTCCAAAACACAGTACTGTACTTTGACGAACAAAAAGCGTCCTAGCGCTCATCCAGTTCCGATTGACGGCCGTGTTCTGCCAAAGACCCATCTCATCAATAACTGCAGTTGCTGGGAAAAAGCTAGGCTATTTGTTTAGGGCTAAGAAGTACTTTTCTCCGCATAACCTTCTCACTCTATACAAGGCCCAGATAAGGCCTAGCCTCGAGTATTGATCACACGTTTAGGGTGCTGCCGCCCCGACTACATTATCCATGCTCGATGCTGTCCAGAGGAGGGCGGTCCGACTGATCGATGACTCTTCTCTAGCAGACAGTCTCGGGACTCTTTCGCATCGGCGAGCCGTCGGCGATCTAGCTCTTTTCTGTCGCTACACCAACGGGCTTTGCTCCTCAGAGCTCTCTTCCATGATGCCGCCGCGCGCTTGCCAGAAACCCACCTGACTTTGGTGTCCCATCCTAACCGTGTCGAACTTCGTACATCCAGAACCGGCCGATACGACCGCTCCTTTGTCCCGAGGGTGTCGAGATTGTGGAACAATCTACAAGAGGAAGCTTTTCCCAGTTCTACTAACCTTAGGCAGTTCAAAATTCGTATCAACAAAATTTCTTTGGGATCATCATAGCAGCCGCGGCATTTAGGCTTCTCTGCGCGGCTGCTTCAATCTAAATAAAACGTATATAACGAAATTGTGGACTGCGATTTTTCGAGACTTGAATTAATACTAGCTGCTTTTCTCGAACAAGATAATTCAATTTTACGTCCGAAAACAATTTGTCTAAGCACCATGTAACCTCAATCTTTACTTATGAAGCTTTTCTTGTGTGCGCTTGCTCCTAATCTAGATTATCAGTTCTCCAAGAAACGCCAATGCGTCTTAGTTATGATTTAAGCAATTGACTCACCAACGTAATAGTGCTCGAAAGCTTCCTCAACTAACCATTCTTTCACCACTACTAAATATTGAAACATTACATCGCGTATAAATAATAACAAGTAGAGATTTTATAATTAGTGTCGTTCAAACTTTGCTCTTTATGTACCCAGAATTGTATGAAAATCGGTTCTTTCTCAGATACACTTTAAATGACAACGACCCATTCTGTATTTTACCGTATTACCATTTACGGTAACTGTAAAGTACACCTGGCAGAAAATAATCCAGCTTGTTCAGAATGATTTACGTTTTTTTTTTACTTTTCAGTAATTGAGTAATTAAGTTATCATGTACTCGACAGGTGAGGTATCGCTTTACAAATCTTAACAAAATGAACCAATTGGATTAATTCAATAGGATAAATTATCTGTTGATAATAATTAAAAATCGGAGTGCAAAGAATGCGTCATGTAGGTTAACACGGTTTTTTTCACGGACTTACAGGGTGAGTTTTTATTATATGATATGCAGATATTATTGAAGATATCTAAAAAAGGTGTGACCTATAATCAAGTGGCAACACAAGCACACACTTTCTAAATAGAATGCTCCACATATTTTAGTATATTGTGGAGGGCTTCTCCAAAGGAAGAAGTTTGATCTAGAGTTTTGATGCGTACTTCTTGAACTACGAGGTATTTTGTCTGACAATGCACTCAGGCAGCAATAGTATCAAACTTTTCAACAAAATGAGCTTCATAATTGATAGTTTTTTTTTCTTTTTCCGATTTTTGAACTACCTAAGATTAGTAGTTTACTAGTAGTATGATTTTTATGAGCGACTAAAAAATTAACTACATCTTGCTAAAGTATATTATTGCAACGTTTTTCTTATTTAGAATAATAATTTTATAGCCGTTAAAAACACCGAATTTCATTTTTATAACAAACCAGTGCTCTCAGTCTAATAATTTTAAGGTAGAAAATCGTACTCTACTCGCCATATTGTTGGAGGTCATTTTTTATAATTTCTGTCGCCCGTAAATACGAGAGCTGAAGATGACTTGGTGCTACTTCCGGTGCTCGGGTGTAAAAATTTGTCTGTGGCTCACTACCCGATTCTGTGACTATTTCACACGCTGAGTTTCGGATTCAAAGGGTGGTGGGGTAGTTTCTATCAGAAATCTGACCCCTCGGTGGTTTTTTTTTGTCGGAGCCTTTTTCTCACTCTTTTGCGGATTTAACCGTACAGATAATTACTCTCAACCACGGAGCGGAGGGAAACCGTTTACTGGGTTAGTCCAAGGCGAGCTTGAGTGGGACTTACGCCTGGGAGGAGCAGTCCCCCCATTATTGGAGAACCCTCATTGTTAGAGGGTTCTACCTTCCAGTTTTACCCTCCGACTTTAGGGTAACACCTGGGATTTCCTACCAACGGTTGCCGTTCGGAGATAGCCAAGTTTCTTTAATTATATTTTTTGTAACCATTTTGCTAGGAGGCATAATACATAAATTTATCCTCATTAGCCTGTCCTAGAAGACTTCTCCTTATTTTTTATTTTTATTTTTTTTTTTTCGTTCAATAAATGTCTGTGTTCCTTGAGTGAGTTGTATCTTTTTTTAACGCCAGAATCCCAACAGTGATACTTGTTATCAATTCCATTTCGTTTTTGGAAACTAGGTGGCGCCCAAATAACCATTGCATCCGAAACCAAAATACAAAGAACCTCACCCTGAGGGGGCTCATAGCTACCAAGTGAACACACACGGGATAACAATACATTGAGAACTATATTGATGATTAAAATAAATATATATTTTGATAAACATTTGATATGAACAACATTCGAGAGTTAACAGTACATTCTAATATTAATATTACATTTATTATTGCTTTTATAGACGCACAAATGTAGATAATTCACTGTTTCTTCCTAGTAACGTAGACTTTATCTCCAACGGTTACTCTGCCAGTTTTTCTCACCTCCAAGCGCACACCCATAACTGGAGAATTGGAAGGACCCTTACTTGCTCTATATCTGTAACAAAATCGTTTTTACATGCTGACTGAAAAAAAAAGAAATCACGTTCAAAAATCAAACAGAATTACCACTGACATACTGGGTGCGCCATCTATTACCTTTTTTGTAACTATAAGTTTATGTGTTACCATGTGAGTCAAAAGTCATGTGGTATGCATAAATGAACTGTCAAAGATATGCCATTTATAGTCATGGATTCGTTTACAACACAACAACGCAATTTGGTTATCCAAACTTATTACGAAAACGGTCGAAATATAAAAAATACTTTTCGCAAACTTCCTACTAGTTTTGGCCGACATGGACGCCCTACAGAGCCTGTAATTAGTTGGATTGTTAATCATTGCGAGGAAACTGGTTCAGCTGGAAGTCGTAGACCATACTAGCATGCTCGTCCAGCTCGTACTCGCGAAAATATAGCCGCAGTGAGTGAAAGTGTGAGAGAAGATCCAACCAACTCGACTAGGCACCGTTCGCAACAATTTTGAATTAGTGAGACCACTTTACGCCGGATGTTACACACTGATTTACACCTCCATTCATACAAAATCCAACTAACACAAGAATTGAAGCCGGCAGACCATCAACAGCGGCGTGTTTTTGTTAATTGGATGCTGGAAAGAGAAGACGGATTTTCGGCCAAAGCGCTCTTTTCTGATGAGGCTCATTTTAACCTCAATGGGTACGTAAATAAGCAAAATGGCAGATTCTGGGGGGCTGAAAATGCACACCAATATCATGAACAACCTTTCCATCCTGAAAAAGTGATTGTTTGGTGCGGATTATGGGCTGGTGGCATCGTTGGACCATTCTTCTTTGACGATGCCGAAGAAAAGGCCATTACCGTCAACGGGGAACGTTATCGCGGCATGTTAATAGACTTTTTGTGGCCACAATTGGATCGTATTGGTGCCGACGATGTTTGGTTTCATCAAGATGGAGCAACGGCTCACACATCTCGCCAAACAATCGCCTTATTACACACGAAATTTCAAGGCCGCATAATTTCACGAAATTCAGATGTCAGTTGACCCCCGAGATCGTGCGATTTAACACCTGTTGACTATTTTCTTTGGCGATTTTTGGACTGAAATTGCGGCCATAGACCCGATTATTCTGGGAAAAGTCATTGAAAATTTTGCCTGTAAACGAAGCCGCGGTGGTCACATTACTGATGTTATTTTTCATACATAAATGGCATAAACCAACCTTCATTTGTCAATAAAAAAATTGGATTTCACCTCGTAAAAAGCGTGTTGATTCTTCAAATAGAAAAAAAGTAATAGATGACGCACCCTGAACTCTATGTACAGAACAAAATGTTATTGTAATGCCCTTGTAGAACTGGAACTCTGGTTGCCAGCGGGAGACGTCATCGTTCATCAACTAGAATATTCCGCATGTGGCAGGATCTGGGATCGAGGTTTGTCTCTCACTTATTTTTAAAGGCTATATCCAATTATAACTGTATTGATGATTAAAATAAATATATATTTTAATAAACATTGATATCGACATCATTCGAGAGTTAACAGTACATCCTAATATATTACATTTATTATTGCTGGTATAGAACCACAAAAATGTAGACAATTCACTGCCTCTTTCTAGTAACGTAGACCTTATCTCCAACTGTTACTCTGCCGGTTTTTCTCACCTCCAAGTGCACACCCATAACTGGAGACTTGGAAGGACCTTTACTTGCCCTATATCTGTAACAAAAACGTTTTTACATGCAGAAATTAGGCTCAAAAATCAAACAGAATTGCCACTAACTTGCTAGAATGCATACCATGATACATCAAAAAATATTCTAATGTGACCAGAAGTGGGATCGACGCTTAGGCAACCAGAATTATGCGACCATATATGGAGCGTATCTGGACCGCTATTGCGGAGAGGAATCTGCTGCCACTTCCATGACAGTTCGCGAAAACGCTGGAATGTTTCTCGACTTGTCGATAGCGGAATAAATATCCGCCCAGATGGCAGACACAGTCAATCAGTCAGTGGACAGTCGGGACGGTCCACGAATAGTCCAGTCGAGATTTTTATAAACTAGTTGCAAATATTATAAACTAGTGTAGAGTAATAAATTAAACTTTATATAATAAGAACGGTGTTTTTGAGAAGGCTCAGCTCCTCCTTGCTAGCGGCGCGCGTCGCGGGAGGTGAAATCCATACTCTTATATAAAACAGCAATATTGTTTTTCTTAATTAACCTATACCTATTTGTAATGTAAAAGTTAAAAAATAATTGATTTTAATAAAAAAGAATGAATATGGAACTGATGGAATCGCTATGGTATCGAGTTATTTAACAAAAATTTCTGAAAGTCATATTTTTCGTTTTATTGATGGAGTTCTACACTATATAACCTCGTAGACGCGTTTTGAATGACATGTCTCTTTGTCTCTTTAGTAACTGAAAAACTTGCGGCAGCATTTTTCGTCATCGAATTAAAAGTGGCATGATCGCCGTTTATTTTAAGCTTTTATTTACGAATCAAATAGTTGACAGAAAGTGTTTGTGTTCTAGTTGCCATTACGTGCAAACCATCAAACCTATAGAACCTTTTAATTAACACGCCTAGTGGCGGTGCAGTACCGTAATCGCGAAAATTTTCAAAAATGAGATATTATGTTTTTTGGATGTTATATGACCCATGTACATCACGAAAAACCACGTCACTCGTTTCTGTCTGTCTGTCTGTCGGTTGTCGATCTGCCTATAGCTTGAGAAGTACCGCTCGGGTGTCGATGAAATTTTTACACAACGTTACTACTATTCCAAGGACTTAAAAGCTTTGTGCCTTTGAAAAACATAAAAAATAAAAAATCGCTCACACTTCGTTTTTTGAAGACGATCCTGACATTTCGGAGGTGTGGGAATTTCTTACTGTTGGTATATTTATACGCCCTCCTGCGCCAGTAATTCTACGCACATATTGGGTATATTTTACTCATCACAGATGTCCCCATACATAGACTCTTAAAACTTAGAAATATCTCCTACAGTCGGGTGTCGATACGTGCGACGTCATACCCCGATGGACAAGCGTCGTCGTCGGTGGTCGTACTTCACAGCCGGCAATCGCTTCCACATTACTGTGGGCTGCGTGCACAGTGCATGGTGAAGGCCAAAATCGTCATTCACGCAGGAATGATGATTGCTTGTACGACCATCTACTACTGTAATATAAACTGCTTGTAATTAAAAATTATTTTCTACTTTCTAGTTCCTGTTAACTTAGAGCAATCAGATTCTTCAATCTTCAATACAGTCTGAAGATATTACACGACTAAGTGCTACATAAGCTTGTCCAATAGGAAACAGTCGCGAGCTTAGATAAATGACTGCATGATCGACTGTACACCCTTGCATCTTGTTTCGCAATGAACAAGGTGGGCATGTACTACCTTGAAAAAGTATCTGCCCCCGTTGTGCTGTGCCGAGTGCCAGAAGTCTGAAACTGCACGCATACGCAGATCGCGCGCTAGCTCTGTCTCTCTTACTCCCCTAGAGAGGATCTATAAAATAATTTATCAATCCTGGCGGTCTTAATCAGGATAATGGGAAATTGTTATCAAATTATTGCACTGTCATCGGTCCTTGATGCGTGTGCGAAGTTTCGAATTACTCGAACTTCTGGAAATTGGTGAAAATTATGCTCAAAGATTCCGTTAAATACATACACACATACATGCCAAGCTAATAAAAGCGTTTTAATAAAAAGAAAACGTCATCGCCTTCTTGAATAAGATGTTCAATTTCACTCTAACTGGTCTGGTGGAAAATGTTTATCCGATGACTCGATTTGGATAATTTAGAGAAGTTTGACATTACGAAGTACTTACTGCTCTAAAGTCTTAAGTGGTTCTCTATTCGAGCTTCTGATACCATTCTCGGGATCAATGGTAGTCATAATGCATCTAGTACATTCTGCTACGCTTCTAAAAACGACGTTTCCAATCTTCACCCATTCCCATTTGTCTTCATCGTAGGCCGGTGGACCTTCTACCAGAAGATTCTGCCGAAAATTCTTCGGGGTTACTTGGTAGTTGTTCATCCTTTCATTCAGGTCTAGAACCGAATTCTACAAATCAAATACATTAGAATCGTATGTGCTTCGATAAAATCTGTTTACAGGGTTTACAAAGTTGGAACTTTCCTTTACACGGCGCATAGATCTTAAAAAATAAGTGTTTTTTCCTATTAGCATGTATAGCGAAGTCTTAAGAACTAAGATATTAGGCTCCGCAAAATCAATCAAACCTAAACCAAACCTAATCCGCTCCTGTATCTTGATCAGATCAAAGGTGATAAATACGACGCACGTCAATGCTTAGCTCGGGCAGCGGCAGCGTAGGTTCCAAAAACCAAAATGACACTCTCGAAGAGGAATATCGAATATGTCGACATGATTTTAATTTATTGTGAGTGTCTTCAATATGCTACCGAGGCTGTGTGAGCAGTATGCAGATCGTTTTCCCAGACATTAGATTTGTTTACCTTGTGCAATATCAAGGTGGGCACAGTAGGAGAGCTAGACAACCTCTAACGGTGCAAACTGAGGATGGAGTATTGAATCATGTACAAGAAAATCATTCGACAAACACTAGGAAAGTGACTAGACCAGTGCAAGCATCCAGTACTGAAGTGTGGAAAACTGCGTGATGATGGATCGTGTACCCTTTTGTACTAGCTGAGGATGTTCCTGTAAGAGTGACTTTTTTGTGAGTGGTTGTTGCGCCAACATGAAAATAATCCGGGATTGAAGTTGAAGTCCATATTTGTCACGGACGAATCAACCTTGACACGCAAAGAGGTGAATAGCTTTCGAAATACTCATGTGTGGATATACAATACCTAGCCTTTCTACGAAACGTTTTACTAACGGCGACAGCTTCGAACGACAGAGCCGTACTTCAAATTTCTTCGCAAATGAACGGTGAATACTGTTTCATTTAATTTGTTTTTCTTTTTCGCCAGTGTTTCACAACAGAAGCATAGTTGTTTCTGAAAAGAAAAGTCTCAACTTTCAGGATAACCTGTTTATATAAATGTAAATGTCTGTCCAGCCTGTCATCATAACGTCTCAACTACAATACGGAGAGTCGTAGCAATTTGTACACTCACTAACTATGGAAGGTTATAGCTATTTTTTAATCCACAAAAATCTACATGGTGCTCAAAAAATATGGCTTGATCAAGATAGCTCGAAAAATACGTTTCTTGGAGAAACATGTATAACAAAATTGCAAGGTTAGAAAAGTCTCTTCTATTAGTAATTTTGAACGTGACCTTGACTATACCCAACGATATTTGAAGGTCAATTCACTTTTTTCTTAAATGAAATGGCTATTTTTGACACCGGAAATATTAAGAGTCGGAAATTTGATGTCTTGTCCCATGACTTTGACTATGACCTTCATGGGTACGCGTATTTGAGAGTGCCCAGAATGTGCAGAAAGTGTTAAATATCTCGAAACATACGTTTCGTAAAGAAAATAAGTAAAATAAATAAAGTAAAATGGAGTTGTAAGATTTGAAAAGGTCCATCCAATGGTGACCTTGAACGTCACCTTGAATATGACCTTCAAGTTCATTTGAAGTTCAGGAGCTTTCAAACAGAAATCCCTATTTTTGACACAGAAAATAAACAAACATGAAACCTTAAATTCAAGTTTGTCTATGACCTTGAAAATGACCAACAAGGTCATTTAAAAATCAAATGAATTTTTAAAGGGAAGCATTTTTTATCCCTGGAATGCAAATTGCGGAAAAATTTATTTAATTTCCAATGACCGTGACCCTCAAAATGATTTCAAGATCAGATAATACATATAATGAAAATTTCATTATTCACTGTTGTCAAATATTATATAATTTTACATGTTTATAATCGTTATTGTATTTTTTGGTATTTTCAAGGGTTATGTGGCAGAATAGCTTGAGGTTAAACTTCGCCCCCAATATATCACCGTTTATTATTATTATAAATTTTGAGATAAACTCCTTACTTTTTGTCGAGGATATAAAAAAATCAAGGCAGTGAAATTTATTCATAATTCCCTTAAAATGTCGGATGAAAAGTTCACAGTGCCAAATTATAACAATTTTATTACTTTGAATATTGTATTTTTTCTCCGAAGCCAATCTCCATCACACTAATGCGAAATGAAGGACCTATACCTTACAATACTTTTACGCGAGCTTAGCTGCGGATCTAGTGAGACATACAAATGTTTCCATAACAACAGTCAACAACTGATAAATTTTATATTTTAGAGTGCCACTAAAGTCAAAATCATGTTTTCCTGAACCCAAATTTGAAATATAACTACCCATTTTATCGACTTATAGCAAAGTCTGCTTCAAGTACCAACAAGCTATTTGTCTGCCAGCTTTATGATATTCATGGGAAGCAACTGAAATCTTGACAAAGTTCTTAATCATCTGATCATAATAGTCTATACAGAGTGTCCTCAAAGTTATAATAGACATGTTTTTAGTAATACCAAAGCTTTACGATAGCCGAAATAACAGCTTCTAAAAAATAATTAATGAACCAGTACAACCCTACCCTCCCCCCCACAATCCCCTCCTACGTCAGAACGTATGATGTTGTACTATGTGAGTCAGTATCCCAGTCAGGCGTAGCGTGGTAGTTAGGCTAAGCTAAATCGGCACATTCCTAAAGAAATAACGTCGCCGTCGTCCTCGAAGTTTCTGTCCATCAGAGCTGCATATGTTTGTCTCTATCGTACACAAACCGTTTGAACACGGTTGAAGATCTAGACAGCCCCGAGTATTGCAAATTTGGGAAGAGGTAAGTTATCTTGTGTTTTAGAATCGTACAGCGACAACTTCAAGCAGCGTTTACAAACAAAACATGTGACAGGGCAGTACTTACCAAATGAATAGAAAGTATTTTCCTCCAATTTCTTTTATACGTTTTCGGTGTTATTTAGCTTTGGTATTGCATACATAGTTGACTTTAAAAAAGAAAGTTTCAACTTTCAAGACACCCTTTAATATCCTACCTTGTTCACCATCATAACGCTGGTGAGATCTTGATACAATCCTCCTGAAAAGTTTGTGAGATTTTTGTAGAACTTCATTAATTTGGATTGGTACTTGTCCAACTCTCTGCGTTTAGAGCAGTCATTGTAGGCTAACCGTAACCCAGAATCTTTCTCTAGGATATATCGAGACAGCCATAAGGCTGCCTCATCTCCACAATCGATGCCATTCACAACTTCACCTTGAAACAACCTAGAAAGTGAAATTAGATATCGTACCGTTATCGGAAATATAAATCCAGGTTCGAATAATAGCTAATAAGTAGTAGAGCAAAAAAAGCAAACGTTTTAACCTCCCATTTTTGAAGGCTCTGGAGAATCTGGTGTTCATACTCATAAGAAAAATTAACAAAAAGTCACAGAAAAGATTTTTCAGGATAAAAAATAAGCCATTTTGCCATTCAACAGGGTTTAAAATTGGTCTGCAGTGCCGGTGGAGAACTTTGCGTCTAATCTACAACATTTTCATCTAAGTTTTGAATGAAGCCTTAGTCGAACTCACAACAAAGCGCGTAAAGGAGCAGTTATCCCCTCCCCCAGACTCAGATATTCCAATTGAATCGGCCAGTGCAAAACTAGGTGATTCCATTTTTTCAACAGCATGCTTTTTTTACTGAAAATGCTTCATTAAAGGTAGATGCAAGTTCTGAGTATACATCTCGTAAGTCACTAATTTCGTTTCCCTTCAAATAGCACCACGTAATACACGTTCAGCGCATAAACATTGTAAGTCCGTGGTTTTTGCACGCATCACTTAACGGCGGGTACTTGAATGGATCATTTGAAAAATAGTACCTGTAGCCCTGTATAGATTTATTTTCATATTTATGTGCTATATGCACTAGAATATTAATTCTAAATTCACTGACTATAAAAATAACATTACAGGCCTTATCGGCCTTGGCCGAAATCACCTCTTCCAAAAGAAGAAAATTGTTAAAATATACTACAGCGTTTTGATGATTGGCAGCTGCCCCCCTTTTCTTTAACTCGGCAAATATTAAAGGGAAAAACATTTTTACAAAAATTAGATTATTCATGCTGGGTTCTCCACCAGATGGATCAATATCTATTAGATGGTAAGTTCCTAGGACTCTATGTTAGATATAAACTTAATTTTGCGAAAGCACTATATATATATATATATATATACAGGGCTTTTCACAACTTATCCGACAAATTTTAACCATATATGCACTGTTAGGAAAGCAGTTGAATTCTCGAAAAAAAATGTAATAAAAGTCCTACAGAAATTAAGTTATCAACCCGAGTTTCAATAAAAAATTCTGTATTTCGAGATCATCGTCGTGATATTAGAGCACGCATTAATAATTTGTTATAGCAAATGTTGTACCAAACAACTGTCGAAAACAAAATACCAGGAATTTTTGGTTTTTTGATACTGATAAGAAAGTGTAAATGAGGTTTAGACTGTATCGTGAGTGATCTGAATAAAGAACGGTCGATTTTTCTGAAGTTAAATAAGAAAGTACAGGGTCCGGCAATGAAGTATGGTGTTTTTGAAAAAAATTACAAACTTTCATTTTTAAACATACATCAAAATTTATTATTTTAATACATTAGTGGAATGATGCCATTTAAGTAACATAACATAGTCAGGTGCGAAAAATTACATCAGTTAGGTGGCGTCCATTCTTGTCGATGCATTCTTGGAGACGGATTGCAAAATCATCCATACTCCTTTCTAGCATGGCACGAGGAATCCTTTCAATTTCGCGCGTTATGAGTTCCGAAAGAGCCTCAAGAGTTTGCGGTTTGTCTATGTAAACTTTGGATTTTAAATAGCCCCATAAAAAGTAGTCACAACATGAAAGGTCTGGTGACCGAGGTGGCCATTCCACATTTCCATGCAACGAAATAAGGCGCCCAGAAAAATGTTCCCTTAAAAAGCCCATTGCAGCTCTTGATGTATGGCAAGTCGCCCCATCTTGTTGGAACCAAACTGTATTGATGTCAATGCGTCGTCTTCTTAGTTCGGGCATAAAATAATCACGCAACATGGCGCAATAACGATCTGAGTTCACTGACACTGTTCGTCCGTTTTCACGAAAAAAATACGGGCCAACTATGCAATTTCGAGATACGGCACACCAAACAGTTACCCTCTCAGAGTACAGAGGTTGTTCATGCAGTTCTCGTGGGTTTTTGTGTGCCCAGTATCGGAAGTTTTGTTTGTTTACCATGCCCGATAAATGAAAATGGGCCTCGTCACTCATGAACAAAACGATGTTGCCGTGCAGCAATTCCAGCATCCTTTCTGTGAACCTGTGTCATCTCACAAAGTCATTTTGGAGCAGCTTCTGCACGCCATAATTTACGGATGATAATGGAGGTCCAAATGCAAGATTCTGCTAACTGAACGATCTGACATTCTAAGAGCGCGAGCATGACGTACCGCTGAACGGTGAGGGCTAGTATCCACCGCTTGTTGCACTCTTTCAATGTTTTCCGGAGTTCGCACTGTTCGATCTCTTCCCCTTGCAGTACCAGGTCTCAACGATCCGGTTGTTTGAAATTTATTCACCCACTTCAAAATGGTATCGCGTCTTGGAACGCGACCATGCCGACCAACGTTAAAATGGTTTCGAAATCGTCGCTGTGTGAGCACAACAGAACGACCAGTTTCAATAAAAGTGTTGTAAATAAACACGCGATGTGCCACAGACCAGGGCTCCATGGCTACTAAAATGGCATCGCGGAACGAGTAGATATCAATCATCGTGAAAACATTGGCTCGACAGTGCTGCATGTAATAGTCGTTGCAAAAACACCATACTTCATTGCCGGACCCTGTATTTTGCGAGTTTATGGTTTTAGTTATTTATTAATAAAAATGGCACATGTGTACGCTAATGATGAGTTAGTGGACATTGTTTTAGCGTACGGAGAAGCAGGGCAAAATTCGCGAGCGGTACATACCACATCACGAAACATTTAGTTCAATTGTTTTACGTGCACGGAGATGAATCAAGCTTGCATTGCAGTCAATGGGAACAATTTTCAACAGCTTCTATAAGTAAGTGAACTGTTAAACTGTAATATTTTATTATCTCGATTTCTGTAGGACTTTTATTATATTTTTTTTTTTTTTGAGAAATCAAGTTCTTTCATAACAGTGCATATGTGGTTAAAATTTGTCGGAAAAGTTGTGAAATACCCTGTATATATAATTGTGGCATAAATTAGAATTCCGGTTCTCACGTTCCAGTTCGAAGTTTTTTAAGATCATAACGTTTTCGATGTTTTCATTATTACCCGTCAATAATATAAATGAGTTTCAACTACGAGTATATGAAAATTCTTATTAGAAGACTATGAAAATTATTTCAGCTTCCATGACACAACATACAGGTGGGGTAATTCTTAAACTGGACAGTATTTCCTTTATAAGCAAAAATTAAACAGAATGAGCACGCTAATATAGAATGGATTATGTACAGATATATGATTTTTCGGACGAGCGCCTGCATAATAGTGAGTATGTTTAGTAAACAACAACTTGAGAGAAAAGAAAAAGGGACGCCAGCGGGATTCGAACCCACATCTCCTCCATTCCGTGGAGCCGACCTAACCAATTAGTCTACAGCACCAGCTGTCAAGTAACTTTCAGGATCGACTGTAAGAGGCAAATTCAATCCTACCAAAGCTGCTGTTCCTGCGTTCTTTCAAGCTATTTGGTGCCCAATAAGACCGGATTTGTGTCCCCAATCGCTGTCTAGTTGCACCACGCTGTCTCGTGGGCACATGCCACTGTATCACCGTGCGAGGACAGTAAGCTGCAACAGGTAACAGGGGCGAAGTACTATCCTGCAACAGGTCACAGGTTGCTGTCCTCAGTGGTACCATGGTAAGTACCCACGAGACGGCGTGGTGTAACTAGACTGCGGTTGGAAATACCTCACAAATCCTGTTTGTTTCACCTGATCGCCGCCAGGGAGGGCATTAAGCAGCCTGTAGGAAACAAAGGAACAGAGGAATGAGGAGGATTGAATATGCTGGTGCTGTAGACTGATTGGTTAGGTCGGCTCTACCGAATGGAGGAGATGCGGATACGAATCTCGCCGGCGCTCACTTTTCGTTTCTCTCCAGATGTTGTTTCCTAGGATGGATATCTAATGCAATTAAGGATATAATGTAGTAAGTTCCCAGCTGTGAAGCTTGCCAGTGATGTTTTGTACCAGCTTGAGGTCCAAAAGAGAATCTTCCTTTGACATACTCATTATCAACTGTCCAATTTTGAAATTACCCTAAATGTACATGCTATTATACCAAGTTTGATGGATATGTGCTTATGTATTCACTTACGTGACTTGGACTTCCTTATGAGGTTTTTGAGGGGGTATTCTCACATACAGAGGCCTCATTGTCGGAGCATCGAGCGATACGTGTTCAGCATCGTGAGCCGCAACGTCAATTAGTACCATTTTGGGGTAGGTACGAGCCGTACGGAATTCATTTTCTTTATCAGAGTACACAACCAAAAACCTAGATGTATAGAGAAAAAGTATACTCAGTAACATAGAAAAAAAAACACCGAGTAAAAACTGGCGCCAAGTAGATTGACTCTATAGTTGCTACGCCTTCGTTGGAGGTTTCAAAAAGATGAGTCTAGTAGTTTCAAAAGACAGAATTGAATCATGTTCACTCAGGTACATCGTCATATTTCTGCTGTCATGGTAGGTGTAGGAAAAAGATAGACTTTTCTGTCTAACAGGTGCATAGTACCACTGAGATCAGCAGCTTCTCAATGATACTCGTAGAGCAGCAATTTACAACCATTTACCACATAAATTTTTTCACCTACAATGTTTAACCCCTCCAAACTTCAGTCCACAAGTTTTTTGTTGCTTAAATGTATCTGCGACACGCAAGTCCGTGTTACTCATTTATGTCGGTTTGTCAGTCCGTATTTCTTGTACAAGGATGCGTGATGAGTACCTACTTAGTCAATCTACTCGACGAAATATTCAGAGAACCATCATAGACTGAGTGACACACATTAAAGGTTAGGCGAAATGGGTTAGAATCATAAAATTCAAAAAAATAAATGTCATGATTTACAAAAGCATCGCAGAACGCTAAGGTGGTACATACTCCTAAAATATACAGGGTGGCGCGTCGAAAACGAAACAGACGCATTTACTGGCAGCTCAGTTTTTTTTTTTTTGGAAAAACGCTCAGACCGATTTTGTTTTCGAGGGGGACACAAGTTTTGCAAAAAATCACGTGGGCGGGGGTGACCCCAACCCTACAATCTTAAATGGAAAGGGGGGTCGAGTGATACCTTATTTTAAAGTTCTTTCAATTTCCTTTATAATGATATAAAACTAATGTACTTCATTTCAGTAGTTTTGAAGATTTATTGATTTAAAGCTTAAAGTAGGCTTTAATAGGTACATCAGATTAGTTTGTACTACTTTCAGAAGAAATTTGACTAAAAGAATTTACTTAATAAGTAAATGCTTTTCTTCACTACGTCCATGGTTTGTGTATCATTTTGTTGTTGAAAATAGCTATTGGAGCGTTTTTTGTGGCAAAAATGTTATTTCTTGAAGAAAGATAAAGAAATATCTCGTACTTATTTTAAATAGGAATTTAGTACAGAGTTTGCGATTGATTTGACCAAACTTTGTTGCTAAAATAACTTGTAACGCTTTATTACATAAATTAACCATGGTATATTTCACAGCAGAAAGAGTTGAAATTATCGAAATATTTTTCGGAAATAATCAGTGCGCTAACAGAACAGCAGAAATATTTAAATAGCGACATGAGAACAGTAACGTGCATCGAAAATGTGTTCTAGAACTTGCAGCTAAATTTCGGGAAACTGGGTCAGTCGCCAATAAAAAACGGAACATTGAAAATCCCATAAGGAACGAAGCAATAGAAGTGGGGGTTTTAGGGCAAGTTTAAGTAGATCCTACGTTAAGTACCCGCAAATTGGAGACTGTGTGTGGTGTTAGTCGACGTACTGTCCAACGAATTCTAAAGGCCCATAGTTTTCATCCGTATAAAATTCACCTGGTACAAGAACTTAATGAAGACGATTTCCATCGGCGATTACAATTTTGTGAAGATATGAGTGAACGAATTGTAAACGATAAACATTTTCTATTCAACACTTCCTTTTTCTTAAATGGCGTAGTAAATCGTCATAACTGCCGATATTGGTCCGATTCTAATCCCAGAATTTATCATGAGGTTCATACACAGCAGCCACAAAAATTAAATGTTTGGGCTGGTACTTTTGGCGATCATTTAGTTGGTCCTTTTTTCTTACCTGGAAATTTGACCGGTGAAATGTATTTTTAATTACTGGAAGACGCCATAGATCCTGCATTAACAGTCATAATTGAAAATCAGAATGATCGGCGGTACATTGCCAATAGGTTGATGTTCCAACAGGATGGTGTCCCACCACACTACGCATTACGTGTTCGACAATATTTAGATCAGACGTTTCCAGATCGATGGATTGGTAGAAGAGGTTCCATTGAATGGCCCCCAAGATCGCCAGATTTATCATTTTTGGATTTCTTTATGTGGGGTCATTTAAAAAGCAAAATCTATGCTACTCAGCCAACATCATTAAAAGACCTGCGACAAAGAATTGTGAATGAGTGCCTTCAAATTACTCCTCAAATATTGCAAAATGTGCGGCAACGTTTTGACCAAAATCTTTATTATTGATAGTCATGGTGGCCATTTTCAACATTTACTTGCCTAACGGGTCCGTTCATTCTTCATTTTTGAATTACTTTGCTGCCAAATGTGAATTATATTAGTTTTATATCATTATAAAGGGAATTGAAAGACCTTTAAAATAAGGTATCACTCGACCCCCCTTTCCATTTAAGATTTTGGGGGTGGTGTCACCCCCGCTTAGGGTACTGCACGTACTAACGTGATTTTTGCCAAACTTGTGTCCCCCTCGAAAACAAAATCGACGGGTCTGAGCGTTTTTCAAAAAAAAACTGAGCTGCCAGTAAATGCGTCTGTTTTGTTTTCGATGCACCACCCTGTATATATTCTTCTGTAGCGATGTGTCAGTGTCGACACCGCCGCAGGTCTACCAGTTGGAGTTGTTTATCCATTACGCAGTCGGCAGTGGCCTAAACGATGATGCAGCCAACGCCAACGATTGCCAAGTGATTTCAAATTATAAGCATTTACAATGTACTTTCGTCATTTAGTTTTAGCGTTGTTAGCAGCTTCCGAGCTTCCTAATGATAAAACGTCTTTAACTTATACTAAAGATGTAACATTTACAACCCCCAATTTTCAATCCCTACAAAAAAATATTCCGAAAAGGATCAGAAGCCTCTGAAACGTCTCACATTGTCTTAGAAGTTTCGGTTTATTACACACTAAGCCATGTTCAGAAATTTAATGGCGCTACAATATTAGATAGTTAAACTTTAAAGCAACATAAACATTTAAAGGTCTTGCTGTAAAAGTACAGACCGCACAATTCACACTGCTTGCGTGGTTGTTAAGAGCAGATAGACTGATATCTTAGACAAAAGCTAACGTGATGTTGTCGTACCGTGAAATTTCTAAAGAGGGTTTAGTGTAAAATAAACTTTAAAAAAATGAGAAAATATTCATTCATAACCCATTGACCGAAATACCATAAAGACAAAGAACGTTGCGGAGGTACTCTACTGTAGATCTAGCAATATGGGGCGTGCATTATCTTGTTAGAAACTATGGTTTTGTACAACATTCGTTTCACATTTATATTTAGTTTTGCGATCTAGTATGTGTTCTACTCTGAAGTTTATTGTACAATATGTTCCTACCTATCCCTCAATAGCAACCCCTTCTGGTCCTCAGGAGCCTGCCTGAGTCCAAGTTCAGTTACATCAGCTCTGTTCAATTCAATTCTATGTCCACTCTTCAGTGGATAGAGATCAATTTCTTTCAATGAGCCAACTTCTTCCCATGTCCACGGAATAATTTCCTTCCTCTTTCTCCAGTAAATCAGTGCACCTAATATAGTGGCTGCAGTTGCTCCTCCAGCTACGTATAGGGTCGTATTGTTGGCCATAGTTCAGATACGTGTGTAAAAAACCCTGAATGAAAAACATATACTCAGTGACAAAAGAAATAGATAGAAATAGATTTTTTTATACAGTAAGAATTATGCAACAGCTATGCTGAACGACGTATGCTGCTCGTAGGGCGGAGTTCTGTCACCCATATTGTGGTGCCTCGTGGTGTACGATCTCCTCGTTAGGCTCGGCAGTGCGGGTGTTTATGTTCATGTCTATGCTGACGATTTGAGCAGGTAAAGGGTCGTTTTTGTAGAACGGTATCTGAGATTATGCAGGGCGTCTGCGTGCTGTGGAATCGTGATGTATGGAGGTCGATCTTTCTGTCAACACTGAGCTGATTCTATTCACTATGAGAAGGAAACTTGACGGGCTTGTCTTGCCGATCTTCTTTCAGACTAGACTAGTTCAATCCCAATCGGTGAAATATCTAGGAACTATCTTGGACTGTAAACTGAACTGGAGAGAGGGCGGAGTGGCACTCCGGAAGCAGAAAGATCTCCGAAGGAAGTAAGGCAGGTCTGGTACACGGACGCTGAAGAGGGCTCTAGCGCCGGAGTCTCTGGGCCTAGAACTAAGCTATGTCTCTTTGCCTCTCGGCGGATGTACCACTATTTTCCAAGCGGAAATCTATGCGATTCTGGCTTGCGCATCCCGCATTTAGGAGGGGGAAGGGCCAAGGGGAACAACAATCTTCTCCGACACCCTGGCTGCGATTAAGGCATTTAGTGCCTGCAAGATTACTTCCAGATTTGTATTGCAATACAAGGATTGTCTGGTATCGTTAATGTGGGTAACGGGGCACGCTGGGATAAGGGTCAATGAGACGGTGGACGCTCTGGCGAACACAGGATCATCCAGCAAGCTCGTTGTTCCTGAGCCAGCTCTACGAGTGCCCGCGCAAAGAGTTAGGAGAAAAATGGAGAAGTGGACTTCAAGACCACACTCTCAGAAATGGAGAAGTGCTTCCAGACATCTCCGTCAGGCACGGGAACTCATTGTTGGGCCCAGCGCTAAGGTTGGACGTTTCTGCTTATCTCTGGATAAAGCCAACCTAAGGTTACTGGTGGGACTGTTGTCTAGACATAACACGTTAAGACATCACCTGCACGCGATGGAGGTTGCTGAAAATCCCTTGTGTGAACGCTGCGGGGTAGAGGAAGAGACCTCGGTGCACGTTCTGTGTCGCTGTGAACCTCTGACTACTACAGGCAGACTATACTGGAGTCCATTACTTTGGACACTCAGGACATCAAGGAGCTTGGGATCAAGGCCATACTTAACTTCGCTAGAAAGGCGAGGCTTGAGGTCTAGGGAATGTAGAGGTGCATAAGGGCCCGTTTAAGCGGCCTATGCGCTGGCTCCTGATGGTGGCCGGAATACCTCTAATTTGACTATTCATTCATTAGACGGTAATGGCATAGTTAAAAAAACTAGTAGTCTATGGTTGACGCTTGGAACAGCATGTGGCTACAGGGTTGAAACTGGAAATGTATAAAGGGCAGTGATATGGGGGACGCTCTTGTGAAAGCAGGATCAGCAAGCTTGTTGGTCCTGAGCCAGCCTTAGGAATGCCCGCACAGAGTCAGGTGGAAAATGGAGGAGTAGGGCCCAGTGTTAAAGATGGACGGTTTTACTTATCTTGGGATAGAGGCAACCTAAGATTGTTGGTGGTACTGTTGTCTGGCCATAACACTGCAGAGTAGAGGAAGACTCCTCGGTGCATGTTCTGCGTCGCTGTAAGGCTTTGAGCTACTACAGGCAGACTATACTGGGATCTATCACTTTGAATCCCAGAACGTTAAAGAGCTGCGACTCAAGGCTATACTCAACTATGCTAGAAGGACGGGGCTTGAGATTTGGGGGATGTAGTGGTACATAAAGCCCAGTTGAGCGGCCTGTGCGCCGACTCCTAATGGTGATCAGTATGGCGGTCCGCCGTTCATCTGTATGAAGTATTTTTCTTGGAGACGGGTGATAGAAACGGGCCTGTCAATTCCCAGTATTTAGATTATCTTGTTGTTTTTCCTTAACATGTGGGGTCGATTCCACAACTGGGGGAGCAAACTGAAACGCGGTGGGCAACGTAAAAAGTCAATCATGCTTTGACATTTTCAGCACCATTTCTATCAGCCCCCACCATCCTCCCCCCCCCCACAAGAACATGCGACCGGGCCATCTTTTTCGGGGGTGCATATTGTCCCATCCACCAACACCTGGAAGCTGTAACCCACCAACTGCTTCATTTAATTGACGTCCGCGCAACCTACTATACCTGGGTTTGGAAAACATTTCTTCTAACAGAACCTCTAAAGTTCTGTGTCATGGGCTCTTAGTATACCTGTATGTATAATCATGCGTTGCGTTATTCCAATGCCCTATATATTCTTCCAGTCATCAGGCATGCTTCTGAGAAGGTGATATATGTTTTCTTGAGATATTTAATCCCAAGCATGTTGTACTTGGTTCACTTCAAAATTTATTCCCGACATCCTCTAGTTTATCATTATATATAAAATTTCGTTAAATTATTTTTACTGGATGTAAGATAAACGCATATGCAGGCTAAGATTATTTCGTTTTTCGATAACTTTGAACAACCGCTTTATCTCAAAGACGCTGACAGGGAAAGATTCTCAATAAAATGAATTTTAATACCATTTGTTACCATGAATGTATACTAAGTGACATATAAATCCGAACAGCCAGTTTAAATGGTTTTATTTTAATAAAATTTTGAATAAGTACTTAATGAAGCATAATAAGTAAATGATAAAAATTTCAAAATGATTGCACTGCTTTAAAGCCCTTTGACCTTTAATAATGTGTGGATGCACCCTGATGTGCTACGCATTCTCCAACGCGCCTAGGCATGCTTCTGATCAGGTGGTCAATGTCCTCCTGTGGTATCTCATTCCAGGCAACCACCAACTCCTCTCGAAGTGCTTCTATAGTCTGAGGAGGACGTTGCAAATTGAGCCATCTCTTACCCATCATATCCCACACGTGCTCAATTGGGGATAAGTCGGGAGATCTTGGTGGCCATGGTAACAATGTGACATCATTATGTTGAAAGAAGTCTATTGTGACTCTTGCAACATGTGGTCGGGCGTTATCTTGTTGGAAAGTTGGATCTGCCAGGGTGTCAAGATAGGGTAAAAGATGGGGTTCTAGAACTTCGTGGATATAACGCTGCGCGTTCATGTTACCTCTGATGAAGATTAAAGGTGACCTGGAACCATAAGCTATAGCACCCCAAACCATAACTACAACAGTGTGATGAACATGTCTTTCAACAAAAAACTGTGGATTCCTCCTTTCACCACGTCTTCTAACCCTGGCACGACCATCGTGCATGACTGAACAAAATCGAGACTCGTCACTAAAGACAATACTGTTCCATTCCTGATCCCAGAGTGACCGTTGTCTGCACCACTCAAGGCGATTACGTCGGTGTTCTCGAGTTAAAGGGAATGAAAACAAGCCAAAACTTCTCATTCGTCGGTAAACACTTCGCATGCCAATAGGTCTTCCGTGTTCTGCAAACCATTCATTTGCAATGGACCTGGTAGTGGAGAAACGGTCCCTTAAGGACAATAATCTTAGGCGGCGATCTTCACGGTCTGTTGTTCTACGGCGGCGTCCAGTGCCCCTTGCTCTTTGCGTACGGCCTTCTCGAAGCCATGCCTGACAACACCTAACCACAGCGTCTACACTTCTTTGCACTCTAACTGCAATTGCCCGAAAAGAAAGTCCAGCTTCCCGAAGTCCCACTATACGGCCCCTATCAAACTCACTAAGTTGACGAAATCGTACAGGTCTCCGTACTCTAGGCATCGTAACCGATCGTAAAGGATGTCAAGAACCAAAATCCGGCAGCGTTGATTCTTTACTGCGGCTGAAATATTCATTTTTAGAGCGTTAGTGAATTAAAAAAAAGCAGTATAAAAACCGGAATGTCCAACAGATAAGGCTGAAAAATTTTTCACTTGTTATTTACAGTAAGATAAATACATTCACCAACTTTTATTAAAATAAAACCATTTAAACTGGGTGTTCGGATTTATATGTCACTTGGTATATTAGAAAAGCTTTGCATCTGTTTTTATGTATCTTGTACGTGTTTGACAAAACAAAACTTTTCCGTCTGGTACATGGAAAAACGAGTATATACACCTATGTATAATCCGTGATAAAAATTTGAAAAAAAAACATTTTATAAGTCTACAAATTTTTTCTCACCCTATCGAAATGTTAACCACCGTTCAAAATAGGCAAAGCTGTAAGCGAGGCGTCACAGCCTGTAAGAGATTTGTACTTTTAGAAAATTGCTCAGGACACATTGTTATTGATTAGTAGGCACTACAATATACTTTCTATTGCTGGATATCCAAGAGCTTCCATTGTCTGTTGCCCAAAACTCAACATTTCACATTAATGTTAAAGCTAACTCATGCATTAAGGGCTTAACAATCTTGCATAGCAACAAAAATACTTAATGTTTACTAAAAAACGCGTAATTCTAAATAAGATGTACATCTCGCCCCTCCAAAATTTCACGAAAAAACGTCGAAGGCTGAAAACGTAGACTCTCAACGCTTCAAAACTTCTAAAGCAAAGCGGTTGTTTACGTAAGATAATAAATAAATTGAAATAATATAGAGACACAATTGCAGCAAGCGAAATTAAAAATATAGATGTGCATTTCATTGATTGTCAAGGCAATATAAATTCCCCTTGAAACGTCTGTATTTATCATTGCTATTTTTTCTAGGTCGCTTAGATAAGAACGTCACTTTTATTGCATATTTGATATAAATATAGTTCTGAGATTTATGTTATATGTGCCTTGATCAATTATAATGACAACAAGATGACAACCAAGCAATATGAATAATCACTAATACTATGGTAATAAAATAATTCATTTTACGAGTAAGCATCGTAGTGTTTCTCACAGTCTAGTTTGCTCGATACACTATAGCGATTTCAAAGTTTAATTTTAGGTTCAAAACGACCTCATTCAAAAATCATTGTCTAGCGACGTTAAAGGAATAGTGAAGGTTCAAACGTTGATACCTATTACCGCTACTCTAGAACTGAGACGTGAGATCTATAATTGCTCACACGATTCCTAAAGAAAATCAATATAACGGGTGATTTTTTAAGAGGTATAGGATTTGATTTTTAAGAAAAAACACAAAAAATTTGAAAAAACGATTAAATCTTTATTTGAGTCGATAGAATGGTCGATATAATTTAATGTTTAAAGATTATTTCATGTAAATGTTGGCCGCGGCTCCGCTTTAGATGGCCGATGCGCAAGGTCCAATTTTGGCACACTCTCTCCAACATATCGGCCGGTGTCTGACGAATAAATGATTCAATATTGGCTTCCAGTGCGTCAATCGTTGCTGGTTTATCCCTGTAGACATTAGCCTTACCATGGCCCCACAAGAAATAGTTCAACGGCGTTAAATCACACGATCTAGGCGGCCAATTGACGGGCCCCAAACGTGAGATAAACTGTTCACCGAACTCGCCTCTCAATAGGGCCATTTTTTCGTATGCGGTGTGGCATGTGGCACCGTCTTGTTGAAACCACATGTCAGCCAAGTCCAGCTCTTTCATTGTGGGCAAAAAAAAAGTTTATCATCCCACGGTAGCGCTCGCCATTCACAGTTACGTTCCGGCCATTGTCGTCTTTGAAGAAGTGGTGATGCCACCAGCCCATAATCCACACCAAACAGTGATTTTTTCGGGATGCATTGGTAGCTCTTGCAATGCTTCTGGCTGGTCTTCACTCCAGATGCGGCAATTTTGCTTGTTAACGTACCCATTCAACCAGAAATGAGCTTCGCCGATGAACAAAATTTTTCGATTAAAATGTGGATCTTCCTCCAACTTTGCCAGTGCCTATTCAACAAATTGGAAACGTTGTGGAAGGTCGTGTGGCTTCAATTCTTGCACCAGTTGTATCTTATAAGGTTTTACACCCAAATCCTGTCGCAAAATTTTCCACGTAGCGGAGTAACATTGGCACAATTGCTGCGAACGGCGGCGAATCGACATTTCACGGTCATCACTAACACTGGCGGATACAGCCGCAATATTTTCTTCAGTCCTCACTCTACGTCTGCGTGTTGGTGGTTTAATGTCCAATAATGTAAACTCGAAATTTAGTCACAAGCTTCCGAATAGCTCCCTCAGTAGGCCGACCAAATTGCCCATAAATTGGAAGCAGTGCTCGATGCACTATCTTAACCGAGCATGAATTTTGATAGTAAAATTTAATAATTTGCAAGCGTTGTTCGTTCGTAAGTCGATTCATGGTTAAATTATAGAGCAAACTGAACAAGTTTGACAATGACACAAGACACGATTCACACGTCATCTGTCAAAAACAGTGTTGCCAAAAAGATACTAGCAAAAAAATCACCCATTATTTGCTCAAATGAATAATAAAACAATAAATAACAGGCTGTCGAACCAGGCATAACAGTGGTGGTGCTAAGAGCTGTATCTCTTACAGAATAATACCGATAGGTAATTTCTGTGAAGAAATGCATGCCAAGTTTTATGGGATTGGGATCCTGGAAACCAAAATTGCAGACATCACTGCATATCGTTCGCCTGGTAATGGGGACATAAACATGTTTTTTACAAAAGTTCAATGAATTTTTTATTGGACAGATTTCATTCTATAATTATCGTATGGAACTTCAATATAAACATTTCTGCGAAAAATGATTACTTCTGATTGTATTGATCTTGTTGAATTTTTCGAGAAAGTAGAAAGATGGTTTGCGGCGAACTGCTTAAAACTTAATAGAGACAAAACACAAAAGATCATTCATTCTATCGGTAAACAATCGGTTAAATCAAAACGAAGCAGTTTCTCTTCTTGGAATTAAAATTGATGTGCCCTCAAATGGGAGGCTCATGTAGAATCTTTGTGTAAAAAACTTTCAACGCAGTTATTTGTATTGCGACAATTAAAATGTATCTCTACGCAAGAAGGCCGCATATTTTGGCATTTTTCTCGCATCTGATCTATGGCATCATGATTTGGGGTGGGTCATGTCACGTTGTGCGTCCAAATGTTAGGGATACTGCCGTTGCCATGTAGGTATCTACATACTTTACACTCAGCTATACACATCCTTAAAAACTTGAACTGCTACATAACCCAATCAGAAATCCACAACTATAATACAAGACAGGTTGGAACAATAAGACTGACACGTTATAGACTAGATATATCTGCCACAAATTCATTGAACCTAACCTCAGACCATCCGTGAGCTGAATTGCATGCAATTCAAAAAACAAATGAAGTGCATCCTCCTCGATCGATTTTTTACTCAGTGGAGGAGTGTTTAACTTAATTTCGTTTTTGATTCATGTGCACTCGTTTTTTTTTTATTGTGAATGTTTAACTTTCTTTTACTTTATGGATTATACATTCAATGACTTGACATACGTATGATTTATATAATATTATAAATAAATTATCAACCAAAGACGTCGGCGCCAGAGACTTTCGGTTGGATATCCATCAAAGCTTCCATTGTATGGGAGAACCCAATCAACTTAGACTGATCCGGCCTCGAGCTTAAAAGTGACATGGAAGCTTAATGCAACTGAGCCAATTTTCGTAGATGAAAGGTTGCTTTTATGATATAAAAACTTAATATGGTTGGGAATATGAAAAACTTCATCATTAGAATTGGAAAAAATTGAAGTAATTTATGTTTTTCGGGCTGTTGAACCGTGGTCGGACTGAATTTGATGCAGAGCTTTTGTCTTCGGCTTTCTGTTTCAGTCGACCCGCCAAGCCGAGCACTTCGCTCTCGCCGACAGCGCCACTGAAGATGGCTGGCGCAGATGTAGCCAAATCCAACCCGACCACGGCTCAACAGCCCGAAAAACCTAAATTACAATGTTGAGGATGATCAACACCAGTTCATTACACCTTAATATCCCAGGAATCTACAATATGATGGCCAACTTGAATTGCTTTGTATGAATAACAGGTACAGCGGTTTGTCGTTGAACGAGCATTGGTTGGAACCGGACGAATTGAGCTGTCTGCTCATTAGTCGTTATAGACCTGTGTTTATTTATGTAGGAAAATAAGATCACGGGTAGTGTGGTAATTTGTATTCGCGATTCATTTGCTGCTGAATCCCTTACCACGGATATCCTGAGAAGATAAATGCAGTTTTGCTCATTGCTCAGCTAATTTTTTTGCTCTTACTAAGGCTTTCGATTGTGTCAAACATGGCAGTCTCCTACAAAAACTGCAATTACAAATTCCATAGTAGTAGCATTAAGCTCTTTTCATTTTATTTGGGCAACAGACAGCAGCTTGTAACCTTCAACAACTACCTTCAGTATAACGACGGTTTCATGCGGCGTCCCACAGGGTTCTGTGCTGGGACCACTTTTATTTTAAATATACATAAATAACCTTCCTAAATATAAGACAAACAACAATTGTATATTGTTTGCCGATGACACAACAATGCTCTGTAATCGTAAATTGATTGATCTACTTTACTCTGCGAGTATTGAATGTATAATAAATTCAGAATATTGGTTTTGACCGTAACGTCAATACCATAGACACGGTAAAGTTTTTGGGTGTCAGTATTGATACACACATGACCTGAAAGGAACATTTAAACAGTATTCTCAGGAAATTATCCAAGACCGTTTATTTAATTAGGAATCTGAAATGCTGTGTTTCTGAGGATACGTTGCTAATCACATATTATGGATACTTGCACTCAAGAATGTCATATGCACTCTTAAACTAGGGCCACTCTGTGCATATGCCTTATAGTATTTGCACTACAAAGGCGCTGCATCAGAGTCATCGTAGGTCTGAGTTATGCAGCTCTGTAGAGTGGCATTCATCAACCCAAAGATCCTTACTCTTCCATCTCTGTACATATTTGTCTCTTTATGTTATGTACTCAACAACTTGGATCTATACAAAACGTGCAGTGATGTGCATAGTTACAACACACGTAGCCTGCATAAGTTAGATATTCCTAAACATCATGTACAAAGAACTAGAAACGGTTCTAACTACTATGGAATCCACTTTTATAATGTTCTACCTGAGGCACTCAAAATGTATGGCACTGGCCCATTCAAGTATAGAATTAAAGCTTACCTTATCAATAAAGCTTTTTTACAGCAGTGGCGCTTCCACGGGGGGAGGGGTAAAGGAGGTAATTACCCCCTCAGACGACTCGAGCAGTCTTTGAAAAGGTGGTACAAAGTAAACGTCTTATAAAAAAATCTGTAACTGTAAGAAAGGATAGCGGCAACACTGCCAACCCGTTCAGTGCGCATGCGACTAGCGACTACTGTCCCACCAACAGCAACGGTGTGGGCTTCTTCCTGTTGGAACAGGTATAGTCTAGTCTAATGACCAAATTCTGTACCAGTCCGGAATCAACAAAATTTGGCTAGTTGACAATATTTGAGTAACTTTTAGTGCTGGTTGACGGCTGCTGTTGTCAAGATGAATAAAAGGGAACAGAATACCATCTAAACAAAACAAACTGTCTGATCCACCCGCACATGAATTACCGGAAAAAACTGATGATAATCCTACTGTTCAAATTCTGTTCAAATCACTTTCTAAGCTAATGTAATGATTGTTTTATTTTGAGACTGTGAACTGACGTAGTTTCATAGTTCATAAGTGTTTGTTTTTTGAGACTGGCTAAGAGAATGTAGTTATGCAATGAATATTTTTTGTGTTTTTCTCATGATTAAGAATTTTATTTTGATTTACATTCAGTTTTATACTTTATATAGAAGTCATAACATATTTGTTAATGCTATTTTTTTCATGTAGATGTATTTTTTGTTGTTTTGTCTGACATTGTTTTGTAGAAAAGTCGTATGATTCAAAATTTAAAAAAATTGTAGGTATTTTCTACAGAAATTACTGTAACAAATTCATATGTCTGCATATTTCCATGCTTTTAATGTGAAATCATTATAAAACTTCAGTACGTCACACTGAGAATTTACTTTCCATTTTACCCCTCCCAGACTGAAATACTGGGAGCGCCACTGTTTTACAATTTTATTTTAATGTTGTTCTTCCCAACAAATGTTGTTGATTTGGGAATTTACAATTTGACCTGTGTAAGCAAGCAAGTGTATTGAGCATAAATAAAGATATGAAATGAAATGAGTTGATTTCTTATTAGATGGTACGAAATCGTGGAAAGGCTCCAAACTGCAACTTCTACACTACTTTTAGCATCGCTAAATTAAGTCCTCAGAAAAATCCTGGTCATATGTTTTTCACATCAAGTTTGAAGCATTAATTTTTAGGCGGATGAATGGGCAGAGGGAATCTTTGAGGAATCATTTTCATTTCAATAACTCTTCAGAAAAATGCATACAAATGACAAAGCTGTAGCATCCAAAAATCGCCGCCCATTTTGATCAACGAATTCGAATAGGTTATAATTAGAATTGAATTGTTTCTCGCCAAAATTGCGTAGTTTTAGTGCATACCAATGCCTACCAAAGTGACAACGTTGTATCAGCAGAATAACAATACTTACCGGTGGAAACAAAGGCTTGAGCCGCTGTTTACAAATTATTTATGAAGGACCATTTTTTGAAATCATCTAATACCACAGTTATCTGCAAACACTCGCACTTTTAGGAAATAACACTAAAAATACCAGTTTAATGACAACCTGTCAAAAAGTTGACTTATCAAGTGCACTTGTAGTGCACTTTGATCCTCACTACAAGACAAACAAATCGTTGACTGGATCCTTCTATCTAGTCTGAATTCGTTGGTTTCGTTTCGATTGACTACTGAATCAACCCTTTTAAGAATTATCCTCAATCTCTAACACTCATAACAAAATTAATGTAAGCGTTTTTAAATGATCCGCTATTCAAACTTTAAGCAGGTAAAATTTTTCACACCTTCGTATTATTTTACATGGTATTTAACTGCAGAGCAAAGGTTGTTTGTATTACGATAGCTGTATCAACTTGCATCAGTCGAATTGCATGTTCTAAAAATATCAATCCACAGACACAAATGAGTACGTATTGCCTAATAACCAACGGTCATATGACTGCACGCACAATTTAAAATTTACGGTACAGAAATGTATTGCAGTAGATTATGGTTGAAACGCATTAAATGGATTAGATGCATCTGCATTTTATCGAGAGAAAAAACATACCGTTGAAGTGCAGACACTGATGGGATTCACATTGCACGACCAAAGCCAAAATTAACTAAAAATTTTCATAGAGGTACTCGTGATAATTATTTATCTGAAGTAAATAGTGGTTTATGGTATCGCTATTAGAAATTCAGAGCATGCGCATTTTATATCAAATTGTTGACCTTATAATGAAGCGTACAGAATCTTGCTGTTGAAGCAATCAAGTAGCTTTACTTTGTAGGTACTTCCTTAGTAAGCATAAACCTTTTATAGGCCCTTTTAATTTGAGTTACCATTTGAAACTTATCCTGTGGTTTTCAATCTAATAGAACTATGTTTTTCTCACCAAATGAGACTACGTCTGTGGAAACTACACTTTTCTGGCGTTTCGGCCACCACGGTGGCCTTTTTACAAGTTTTTACAAGTATTTAACTTGTTTGTTTGTATGTTAGTATGGATCTCTGTGTGGGACAAATCTTGGAACTGAATTCTCAGAAATCAGATTTTGAACTGAAATTTGGTACACACGTTTAGTTTGCGTAACAACACAAAATACACCTATATATATACAGGGTGGCGCATCGAAAACGAAACAGACGCATTAACTGGAGCTTAGTTTTTTTTTGAAAAACGCTCAGACCCGTCGATTTTTTTTCGAGGGGGACACAAGTTGGACAAAAAATCACGTTAGCACGTGCAGCCCCCTAAGCGGGGGTTACACCACCCCCAAAATCTTAAACGGAAAGGGGGGTCGAGTGATACCTTATTTTAAAGGTCTATCAATTCCCTTTATAATGATGTAAAATTAATGTACTTCAGTTCAGTAGTTTTGAAGATTTATTGATTTAAAGCTTAAATAATACTAATACATAATCATTAGTGGAGATCAATACATTTGGCAGCAAAGTAATTTAAAAATGAAGAATGAACTGACCCGTTAGGCAAGTAAATGTTGAAAATGGCCACCATGACTCTCCATGCAATAATAAAGATTTTGCTCAAAACGTTGCCACACATTTTGCAATATTTGAGGAGTAATTTGAAGGCACTCATTCACAGTTCTTTGTCGCAGGTCTTCTAATAATGTTGACTGAGTAGCATAGATTTTGCTTTTTAAATGACCCCACATGAAGAAATCCAAAGGTGATAAATCTGGCGATCTAGGGGCCATTCAATGGCTCCTCTTCTACCAATCCATCAATCTGGAAACGTCTGATGTAAATATTGTCGAACATGTAATGCGTAATGTGGTGGGGCACCATCCTGTTGGAACATCAACCTATTCGCAATGTACCGCCGATCATTCTGATTTTCAATTATATCTGTTAATGCAGGATCTATGACTTCTTTCAGTAATTACAAATACATTTCACCGGTCAAATTTCCAGGTAAGAAAAAAGGACCAACTAAATGATCGCCAAAAGTGCCAGCCCAAACATTTAATTCTTGTGGCTGCTGTGTATGAACCTCATGATAAATTCTGGGATTAGAATCGGACCATTTAAGAAATAGGAACATTGGTCGGATAAGCAAGTGTTGAATAGAAAATGTTCATCGTTTACAATTCGTTCACTCATATCTTCACAGAATTGTAATCGTCTTCATTAAGGTATTGTACCAGGTGAATTTTATGCAGATGAAAACTATGGGCCTTTAGAATCCGTTGGACAGTACGTCGACTATCACCACGCACAGTCTAGAATTTGCGGGTACTTAACGTAGGATCTACATAAACTTGCCCTAAAACCTCCAATTCTATTGCTTCGTTTCTTATGGGATTTTCAATGTTGCGCTTTTTATTGGCGACTGACCCAGTTTCCCGAAATTTAGCTACAAGATCTAGAACATATTTTCGATGCACGTTACTGTTCTCATGTCGCTCATTAAATATTTCTGTTGTTCTATTAGCGCACTGATTATTTCCGAAAAATATTTCGATAATTTCAACTCTTTCTGCTGTGGAATATACCATGGTTAATTTATGTAATAAAGCGTTACAAGTTATTTTAGCAACAAATTTTGGTCAAATCAATCGCAAACTATGTACTAAATTCCTGTTTAAAATAAGTACGAGATATTTCCTTATCTTTCTTCAAGAAATAACTTTTTTGCCACAAAAAAACTGTCCAATAGCTATTTTCAACAACAAAATGATAAACAAACCATGGGCGTAGTGAAGAAAAGCATTTACTTATTAAGTACATTCATTTAGTCAAATTTCTTCTGAAAGTAGGACAAACTAATCTGATGTACCTATTAAAGTCTACTTTAAGCTTTAAATCAATAAATTTTCAAAACTACTGAACTGAAGCTCATGTATTTTACATCATTATAAAGGGAATTGGAAATAAGGTATCACTCGACCCCCCTTTCCATTTAAGATTTTATGGTTGGTGTCACCTCCGCCCAGGGGGCTGCACGTATTAACGTGATTTTTTGCCAAACTTGTGTCCCCCTCGAAAACAAAATCGACGGGTCTGAGCGCTTTTCAAAAAAAAACTGAGCTGCGAGGAAATGCGTCTGTTTCGTTTTCAATGCGCCACCCTGTATATATATACTAAAAAGTAAAAAATAAATAAAATATACATTCTATAAAACATGCTTTTATATAGCTGTTCATAAAATGAAAAAAAAATTAAAAATACTTTTTCCTATTATTGGATATATTTAAATGATAATGAGGTTGCTTCATCTTAATTTTCAAATAAAAGCGTGTTACGTTTTGACAGCAGGATTAAAAAGAGCAAACACGCTTATATTTGAAGACTTGAGATAGAGATCGTTTCAATATTTCCAAAAGGTAAAAATATTTATGGGCGAATACAGTTTGACCACTAATATTTATGAATTTCGAATATCTTTGATAAACTCAATAAAATACAGTCTTTCACACCCCTGGCAACCCTAATCGCTTCGTAAGCGTATCGATAATGGCGTGGTAATAAGAGGGTTGCGTAAGTCTAGTTGCCTATACGTTCAGCTTGACGCAAATATAAATAAAATAGTGACACTGCGGTTTTCGGCTCAGTAGTATGTCCTAACGTGCATTATTGCAAATTGAGCATCATGTGTTCTGTGATTAAGGCAGTTATTGAAAATTCAGACATTCGGACAGGAATATAAAAATTTGGTGTAAGTAAGGTGGTGGAGAGGTGCATAAATCGGGAGCTTCTGGGGTACATCAAATCTTACGACTAGATTGGCGACAGACAGTGGAGATCTGAGTCCAGATCACCGAGGACTTGATCTGGCACGAACACATCGCGTTAATAGTGGCAGCTGCCAGGAAAAAGCTCGATGACCGATCTCTAGCGGACAGTCTCGAGACCTTTCGCACCGGTGAGCCAACGGTGATCTAGCTCTTTCCTACCGCTACGCCAATGGGGTTTGTTCCTCCTTTGTCACTATGGTATCGAGATTGTGAAACAATCTACATGAGAAGGCTTTTCCCAGTTTCTAGTCCTACTAGCCTTGGGCAGCTCAAAAATCGGATTAACAAAGTTTCCTATTTAAGCTCCTCATAGCAGCTGCGGTGCCCTGGCATTTAGGTTTCTGCCTGAGCGTCTTCTTTGTTATAAAAAGCCCCTAATGAGCGGGGCCGTGGCAAATGCTTGTTCCGAAAGTTGTTGTATCCAGTATACAACTTCTTCCCGTTCAAGTGATTGCACACGCGTTAAGGAATACTTCAGCACCGATTGCCGGGTGGCGGTACAAGTCCACCAACGGGCCACTTTAGGTCTATTTAATATCATTAACACGCAAAGAGAAGTTGGTAGACAAGGACCAGTCGACCGAGGCGGTACCACCTGCTAGCTATTCCCAGAATGTCTTATAAATGTCCGCATGTTTTCACACCTAAGCTACGCAGTCGCTTATCTTTCAAAACAAAGAAATTAATAATGATGGATCCCTCGAGCACTAAGAATTCCGGACATAAACTCACTCCACTCTCGGAATGTCCGGGTGGAGGGTGGGCTCGAGGGAACAACATCGAAGATAAAATTTGTTTTACGAACATCTGCGGGATTAACAGCAACATCGATGCTGTTCATCACTACCTGCAATCAAATCGTCCCGCCATGCTTTTCTTGGCGGAGACAAAATCTCAGAGTCTGCATCGATTAACCATCTTAGCTTCCCAATTACGAGGTGCTCTCCAATCTGAGAAAGAACGGGGAATTTGTGGCTTTTTTCCGCATCAGTCTTTCCTGCTCCAGAGATGTTTCTTTGGAATCAGACCGGAAGGACATTCTGTGGCTTCACTCCAATTCCAAATCATCACACAAATTTATTTGCTGCCTTTATCGCTCCCCCTCGGACCATAACTGGGATGTCCTACTTGAATACCTCGCCGTCAAGATCGACTTCCTGAACATCAATCACCCCGCTTCAGAGGTAGTTCTTCTCTCAAACAAGACCGATGCAGCAGGTCGTCACATCCCAGTAGCCTGCTGGATCTCTTTCTGACCACGCATCCTGTCCCTTACAGCACTGTTGTCCTGTCCCCCCTGGGTAACTCATACCACGGTGTTGTAAAGGTTAGGTTTCGGTCAGAACCCGCTGAGCCAGCAGAAACTCGTACAGGCCCCAAATCTTGGCATTTCGGACATGCCGACTAGGAGGGGCTCCGAGACTTCTTCTCTACCTTTCCTTAAAGAGATGTCTGTTTCTCTGACGCGGATGTGTTTGCTATCTGTCCTTCGATAACCGAAATTATCCACGTCGGAATGGAGGAATACATCCCTCACACAGTGAAAGTGCCTAAACCAGGGTCCAACCGCTCGCTTAAGAAATCATGTGACACTGCTCGCCAGCAGAAGATCAAGGCACACAGAACATTCTTACAAATCCCCACTGTAGAGAACAGACAAGCCGACGTCTAGTCCAGAAACAAATATAACGAAGTGGTTCCCAATGCCAAAAACCAGCATGATATAAAAGTTAGGCACAGGGTAATGTCACAGCGCAATGGCAGTCGGTCTTTCTAGACGCTGGCCAAGCAGATTGAAATGAACTTCTCACACAGTAGCCTTCCACCACTTACGTGTCAGGATGGAACGATTGTATCCGACTCAAAGGCCAAGGCGGAAGTGCTTGCCAAGATCTTTGCTGCCAACTCCACCATGGACGTTCCTCGCATCGCCCAAGGGCCGTCCATTCAAAGAGTTCCCTACACTATGCGGGAGGTAACATTCAGGCATAAGATCGTAATACGAGTGCTCTTGCCGCTCGACATCAACAAAACTTCTGGTCCAGACTTGATTCATTCCATTTTACTGAAGAGGTGTGCATCCGACCTTGCTCCAATTCTTTCGCGTCTCTTCCAGATATCTTATGAATCCGGCACAATTACAGGACCATAGCTCTGCTTTCTGTTATAAGTAAGGTGATGGAGAGGTGCATAAATCGCGAGCTTCTGGACTACCTCGAACATCAGCTTTATTAGCGGCAGGGAGTATGGTTTCCGGTTCCGGTACCAGCGATCCACAGGGGACCTCATAGCTTACGTCACGCAATTGTGGAGTAAACTCATCCAGTCTTATGGTGAGGCTCATGTCGTTGCTCCTGACATCACGAATGCGCTCTATCAGCTGTGGCACGCTGCCCTCTTAAGCAAGCTTCCATCCTATGGCCTCCCACAGAAGCTTTGCAAATGTGTGTCTGACTTTATCTTTGGCCGCAAGGTATCCGTCGTAATTGACGGGTTCTACTCTTCATCCCACAACGTCAACGCGGGTGTTCCCCAAGGATCGGTCTTGGCTCCGACACTGTTCCTCTTACATATCAACGACTTCCTTTCGCTGATGACAGCACTCTACGTGCAGGAATTCAGAGTGACAAGCCGACCTCTGTCGCTGAGTTGAAAAAAGAATACTAACGACGACTTCCTTTTTGATGCGAGAACTAGAGGTTATCACTGCTTGGGGTCGCAACAATCTTGTACAATTTAATGCTTATTACTGTACTTTGACGAACAAAAAGCGTGCTAGCGCTCATTCGGTTTCGATGGACGGCCGAGTTCTGCCAAAGAGCCATTCATTTCGGCTGGTCGGAGTCCAGATCACCGATGACCTGATTTGGCACGAACACATCTCGTCAATAGCGGCAGCTGACGGGAAAAAGCTAGGATATTTTTTTAGGGCCAAGAAGTACTTTTCTCCGCCTAACCTTCTCACTCTATACAAGGCCCAGATCACGCCTAGCCTCAAGTATTGCTCGCACGTTTGGGGTGCTGCCGCCCCGACTATATTATTTATGCTCGATGCTGTCCAGAGGAGGGCGGTCCGGCTGATCGATGACTCTTCTCTAACAGACAGTCTCGGGACCCTTTCCGGCCGGCAGGCCGTCGGCGATCTAGCTCTTTTCTACCGCTACACCAACGGGCTTTGCTCCTCAGAGGTCTCTTCCATGATAGCGCCGCGCGATGTGAAAGCCAGGCAGACGCCGTCTGGCTTTGGCGTCCCATCCCAACCATGTCGAGCTTCGTACATCCAGAACTGGCCGATACGACCGCTCCTTTGTCCCGAGGGAATCGAGATTGTGGAACAATCTACAAGAGAAAACTTTTCTTGATTCTAATAACGTTAGGCAGTTCAAAAATCGTATTAACAAAATTTCTTTGGGATCATCATAGCAGCCGCGGTGTCCCGGCATTTAGGCTTCTTCCTGCGCGGCTGCATCGGTATGAAAAAAATTCTAACCTCTCGACCACGTTAGCATTTTTAGGTTCTTCCAAAATGTAAATTTGAAAAGTTTAAAGAAAATGTATCTAATTAATTGTTGTCCAAATCCTTCTGTAGTGTAGTAGTAAAACATAGTCATGTTGTGCATCGTTTTTTGACATAGATCCAGTTTTTGATCACCTTGCCATGTGCCCTCTTTTACATTTTTTAACATCAAATACTAGCACCATTCTCACGGACTCCTGATGATAGCAGCATAGTTATATGTATATATATATGTATGTATATATATATATAGTATGTATTATATATGATATCGCCTCATAAAGTCTAGTAACCTTATTGTATTACACTGCAAGCATAATGCTCGTTTATACATATAGATACTGCGCCCACCTCGAATGTGCATATTGCGACACCTCGCCATCAGCTACCTGCTTTTAGAGGTCCCCTAGAACGCCAAAAACAAAGTTTGAGCAATTTTTTTCGTGTTCATCTTTTTCCTCTGCCCCCACTGGGCCAATTTCCGAAAAGTACACAGTTTTGTCGTCATTGTTAAAAAATCGCATCCAAATCCAACAGTACAGTACAGATCGACAGATAGACTGTCGGAAATGAGAGACATGATTTTTCGTGCTGTACAAGTCATATCACATCCAAAAAACATAATAGCTCATTTGTTAAATGTTTCGCTATTACAATACTTCCTCGCTAGTAGGCATGGGAAGTGAAACTCTCGAATACAAAACCGTATATGTATCTTTATCCCTCGAAAGGCTGTCTGAGTAACTAACTATACACAGTTTTTTGTGTTATGAGACCTAGTTTTGATTTCTCAATGCCATACCACGGATGGTGGTTCCAACAGAACTCTTCGTCTCAATCAATAAATGGTGATCGAGTTACGAAAATAAACTTGAATATATTCACCAAAAGGCAGTTTTCATTACAGTTTCCATTAGCCTTTGATGAAACACAAGTATCGAAGGTGTATTAATGCATTAAATTTTTTGACAATATTGGATAAGCGCCCTCATGTTGCCTGGTCTATCATTTTCGCTTTCACTGGACTATAGAAATGATTATCCTGTCACACGTTCAGTATACCTTGAACCAGTATATTGTGTTGCCCTGCAAATTAGTAAAGTAGGCAACCAGAAATTCGTCATTTGAAAATTGAAGAAACACAAACAAGGCACCCAAAAAAAATATTCTTATTTCTTTTGTTTAATGCCATTTCATCATAGATTTATAGATAAATTAGTATGCAAGTGATGTTACGTATTCACAGCAGTAAGAAAGTTTGAAGCAGGTATAATATCATACAATTTTCAAGTCACAACCCTGAATCTGCGAAAAGGTTAAAACCAGCATGCATTTTACCTTGTACTACTTTCTGTTATTCTGCAATTTCTGCTACGTTACATTCTATTAGTGAACTAAAAGTATAGGTACACTGAGATTAGACACTACAGTTATTGGTCACAAAAGTGGCTATAACGATAAGTTGAAGTGCTACTCCTTTATCTGACTGAAAACTGTTATCTAGGTCATTCCACTTCTCAACAAGTTTAAATTTTACAACATACAACAGTTGCTTAGAGCATATTTGGACAGGTCACAATGCGTCTTGTAATCTTGGATTCATCAAAAGAAGTGTCTGAATGGGCTGCCAAATATGTTATGAAGAGCATACACGATTTCAAGCCCACTAAAGATAGGTACTTTGTTCTTGGACTTCCGACAGGTAAGTGGGACGATGACAAACATTTATCAATACTTCGATTTTGAAATTTCCTATCTGGATAGCTATACTCGTAAAATAGGTAATTCAGTGAAACACTCACGACTAAATACAGAAACTTACATGGCACACTATCAATGGGTGCATTCAGGAAAGTACAGCCTTAATTCAGTATCCATATGATTAAAATACTTTTTGCATTAATTTTAAAATTCCCAAATCCTAGCTAACAATTCCTTCTGTCCTTTTCTGCCCAAGGTGTGAAATTCTTCAGAATGCTTATTAAAACCACTCAGTCATTTGCACCAAATCCTGCCAAAGTACAGCTTGTAGCAATTCCCAAGGTATTGTTGCGTTGTGGGTATCTGACACCCCAGTGTGCAGTTCTAGGGTTAGGGACTATTTTTTTCTCATATAGTTTGCTTACAGTCTTGAGGATACGAATCTCAATTTGTGTTTGCTGTGGTACTACAGACTAGCAATAAAATACCTTCATATTATTTTATGACCAAAAATCAGACAACAAAAGTTTGAAAACAATTTTTTTATTACAAAATCAAATAAATCATTCTTATTTTTAAAAGTTTTTCTTGTCAGTTGTCTTTTGACATGCTCCAAGAGATCTTCTATATGGTTTTGGTCTGGGAATTACAAAGGCCATGAAAGACCATTAACATTTTTTAGTCTTAACCAGTCCTTTATGAATTTTGAGGTATGCTTGGGGTCATTATCTTGCTGGAATGTCCATCGTAAAGGCATTTCTGCTTCAGCAAAAGGGGGTATGTGTTCACTAAGATTATCTTTGTAAAGTTTTTGATCTATTTCACATCTATTTTAAGAATTGGACCTGTTCCAGAACTAGACAAACAGCTCCAAACCATGATGCCTCCACTGTGCTTAACTGTTGGTAACTGATACTTTTTGTCGAATCTTTTTTGTATTGGATGTCAGATCCAAACAAATTTGCTTTCATTTCTCCATAAAACTGCATTCCATTGTTGTTCTGTCCAAGTTAGATGAGTATCTAGCAAATTCGAGACGAGCAATAAGATTTTTTTTAAATGAGTGGCTCTAGCACTGGATGCCTACTAAAAAGCTCAAGATTCCTGGCACCCTTTTCTATGACTCTTTTGAAAATCTGTGTGGCGGGCATTCCATCAGGATCTACATGGGACAAACGTTTAATGTGGCGATCCAAAACATAATCGGTTTTTTTCGATCATCCGCACCTGGGCCGTGTTGCTGTGGATCCGTATTCTAGATATTTACTAATAATTTTCGAAGTCGTCCCTTTGTTCATTTTTATTTTTTGAGAAATGTCAACATTTCTGACACCACTTCTAAATAATACAGTTATTACTTTGTTTCTTAAATCTTTTGAAAATTCTTTTACTTTTGTCATTCTCACTGATGTTAATATTTACCCCACGGAATATCAGAGTATCGCAGAACGAATAAATACGGCAAAATTGAAATGTTTCCATACTTTTTTCGTTACAAAAACTGTGGTATTTAAAAAGAACACGTGTTTTTCTGTTCAGAAGATTTGAATATTGATAAGATAAACCTTGTATTAGTACAGGAGACAAAGGTAGACTTTAATATTTATATTAACTGTTTCTTCGCAATTTTAATGTAGGTATATCAAATAAGTCATAATAATGTTAATATTTGTTTCCAAACTTTTTTCTGCTACTGTAAGTAGGAGTATCCTCTTCAGTATGTTATCTGCAGTGTTTGAGTACTCCCTTTCCTATCCTCTTTATGTAGCAGTCAAAACAACCATGTCATATGAGAAGCTGTGCAGAATACTCTATATCCACAATCTGGAATCTGGATAACCAGATCTGATAGACCTAAATCAAATTCAAGCGGATAACCAAATGAAAATGGTATTTACCATTTTGGATTGGTATTTACCGATCCGTTCAAGCGAGTGTGGTTATCAGTTTGGTTATAAGATCCGTGACGTCATGAATCAGCTGTTATATGTCACAGTTATCACCGTAAAATTGTGGTATTTACCCAACGCAGGAGTAGTTTTATATTTCTGGTTATTAATTGAAATGTGACAAGTTAGAATTTTGCCGGGTATTGGATATTCTTATTGCACTTCAGCTTCACTTTTGGGAAACTTGATACAGGCTGACTTCAGTTTTAGCATAAAGTAGAGCACCTTATTAGTTATAAGCATTACTGTTGTAGGGCACACTTTAAATCTAGTTCCTATGCTTAACAAAGTATCCTGTGTAGCCATATACCACAAGAATATTAAAATATGGCCATATAAACTCACTGGATGATGTCCACCTGTATGCGCGGTTTTGTTAATATCTTTTTTCGTTTTTCCTCTGATTTCTGCTAAATCAATAAATATTTTCTTTGGCATGCGGAAAAGTTTAGAGAATTGAAAGTTATAGCTACAAAGCCATGGTTCCTTCATTAAATTTTTTTTCTGAAAAAAAATGTTTCTCCCATTAATATTATGAAAATAAACAACTTGCAACAAAACCGCGGTTAAAACCAACGCGTTTAAGCGATTCGGACAAGGCAACTGACGACATCAACCCGTGTGTCATCTTGAACCACATTATAACCGCAGTACATAACACAGAAATTTTGGTTGTTCGCTTGAATTTGATTCTACTAACCTAGAATACTTTAACCAAGAGCAAGATGAATAGAAGATAACATGTATCACCTCTGACATTTCTTGAATGCACTCTATTTTATAATTTTTATAATATAATAGCATGTATAGACCAGAAAAATGCATAGGGTGAGCGAGTGGTAAATTGAAACACAGGTTTCCATATTCAGCCATTTTTTCCACACAATCTCATAATAATACAAACATTTTATATTGTTATGCAAATAATGACAATGGTACATGTAAAAAAATCTTATACCTTATGTGTCGGCTGGATTTTCGGCTTTTTTCTGTTTGCCTCATTTTGAATGAGATTCTTTTTTAGATTTCCCAATGCTGCTTTTATTGTTATATTATATGCATGTCACTTATCGTTGAAACTCAAACATTTTAAAGATGATCTATTCATCATTTAGTGGCTGACTTTAAAGATGGGTATTTTTTTCAGGCAGCACCCCATATGGAATGTACCAAAAGCTAATAGAATTCCACAAAGCAGGAAAGTTGTCTTTCAAATATGTAAAAACCTTCAATATGGATGAATATGTAGGGCTTCCAAGGGACCATCCAGAAAGTTACCATTTTTATATGTGGAACAACTTTTTCAAACACATTGATATTGATCCTAAAAACGCTCATCTTTTGGATGGGAATGCTCCAAATCTAGTAAAAGAATGTGAAAATTATGAAGAGGAAATTAGCCAGGCTGGAGGAATACATCTTTTCATTGGAGGTAACATTTTCTCTCTATATGAGTTTGTTCCTTGCCTAAACCACTTGCATTTTTTTATTTTTCTGCATAATCTCTGCTAATGTCAACACAATTGTTCATAGGGTGCTTCAGCATTTCAATAGGAAATATGGAAAAATAAAAAACTTTCTAATGTATGTTAGATACATAAATTTTGATCAATTGATTTTAATGGTCTCCCAGTAAAAAAAATGTCTGACTACCGAAAACCAGTCTTTTAATGCCTTGTTGATCAATATTTTTTTCTCGTAAATCTTATGGTTTTTAAATGACTGGGGTCCAGATCTAGTGAATATGATGGGGATTGTACCATTTCAAGCCGTGTTGGTGTAGGTGGGAACACTATCTTGTTGAAGCAGTAGAGGAATGTGACAGGATCAACATTTTCTGTGATTCAAGCCATCAGTATTTACCGATCATTCTGTCACGTAACATTATACTTCAGTAATAACTGACATCCTGGCCACATGGTCAATAGATATGATATTCCATGATAAACACTGATCTATTAACATCCACCACTTGTTAACTTTCTTCAATGTTTGTGTTTGAATACGAGGGATGTCTTTTAAGTTTTGCATATGGAAATAAAACAACGCGGTAGGTAGTTTTAAATGACTTTATTGTTTTTCGAAGAATTCTCCACCAAGATTAATACACATCTGCATGCGCTCGAACCAATTTTCGAACCACTCGTTTGCTGGCAGATCCAAAACGGCATTTTTGATGCGTCAACTGCTTCTTCTGGTGACTAGAACCCCCCTATAAATTACGATTTTTTGTTTTTTTGTGTTTTCAAAAACTTTGAGAAGAATTACGGAAATAACTTGTAATTCGACAGTGCACAGTGAATATAATTATTTCTTATCTCTCTCATTTTTGAAATTCAGCTAATTTGCATATGTAATTTCTAGAATGGATAAGGAAAAATGCATGCACTACTAATTTCTAGCTTTCTAGCTATTCAGCGGTGGGATACACGCATCCCGTACAGTATCCAAAGAACTTGTTATGAGGAGAGACTGAATCTATTCAACTTAACTCCTTCGATAGACGCTTACAAAGGGACCTGATTATCACGTACAGAGCTTTGCATGGCTTCTTCGGCACTGACTTATGCTCACTTTTCCCTCGCAACAACGATAAACTGATGAAAGAGAAGTTTTACACCTCCCAATTTTTCCTGTCTAACCGAGAATTCGATGCCTGGAATAGGCTGCCTTACGACGATGTTAATACATCCACAGTTAACAAATACAAGAATACTTTCGGCAGATGGGTATATGAAGAACTCTAAGTTGCTTATTATTATTATCTTTATCTTTTTCTATGTTTAATTTCTTATCTCCGTTTGGAGTTTATGGCTTTTGCTCGACTCCTCTATTATATATAATGATAATAATATATATCAAAATCCATCAATCCGTTTGGCCTGTAGCACATGAAATAGAATTTTTGGTCCACCCACATACATAAGCATAAAAAACATTACCCTCCTTTTCAAACATTCGGGTACTAAGCAAAGGGTTCAGGTGTAGAGCATGGAGATCAACCCTCGTAACATTCATTTCTGTAGCAGTATAATTCTCTGGAATAAATATAATATGGCCCATTTCCTTGAAAGTATCCTGATAACCTATTGTGATATATCACAAGTCCACATCTTAATTATTTCGCATATTACCATCATATCACTCACATGTTGGCTTCATCACTACTTAAACGATATTTTTCTAGGAATTGGTCCAGATGGTCATATAGCATTCAATGAACCGGGTTCATCTTTAGTATCAAGAACAAGAGTGAAAAATCTAGCACAAGATACCTTAGAAGCAAATGCTAGATTTTTTGGTAATGATATAAGTAAGGTTCCTAAGCAAGCTTTAACGGTTGGCGTTGGTACTGTGATGGATGCAAAACAGGTTAGTTGATTCGAGGTGTTTGAGCAAAACAATTCATTCGAGAATGTGACTGCTAGACCATTTATTAACATATTTCACCAGAAGTCCAATTGAAAACTGTGCCTGCGTAAATTGAGCATACATACCGTGGCGCCCCCAACCACTTATGCTTACCTTCTTTAGGCAATGGCATATAAAGAACTTGGGTTCAAAATATTTATATCTTCTATTTTTAGTTAGACAATGTTTCGAGAGATACATTTCAGTTTTACTTTCATGAATTTTTTCCATTTTAGTTTTACTTTCACGAATGTTTTCCAGAATTTCTAAGTAGCGGTTTACCGATAATATTGAAATGAATATAATTTCACGCCAGAAAAAAATGCTAATCCGCTTTTTCTTGCTTATCTGTGAAAATTTAAGCAGTTTTATATTTTCAAGTTGTAGAGTAAAAACGTTGTTGTTACCCCTTAAGGAGCTTGAAAAGAGCGGGGCAAGCTTTTTTTGAAAAAAATGTAAAATTTTGCAGCGGGAAAAACCGTATATTTTTCAGTATTTTTGAAGCGTCGTAATTCAAAGGTATCGGACGAGAGTTAATAAAAATAAACATCCGTTTCCCTAGAAAAATCGCCGAAGACTTAATTATCATATCTGTACCTTAGATGCAAAGTAACGTTTCTTTCCATATACTTTGTGACCTCAAAATAAAAACTTTCGGGTATCTTTACGTATGACTTTTAAATGTTTGGGGCGACCATCTACAAGATTGAAAAAATCATCCATAAAATTTGTCAAAAATAAAATGTGGATATAGCAAAGCGAGAAAAATTGCTTCTGGGTCTGTGCTGGAACAACATATTAAAGTCGAAAGTATCCCTCAGTTCCAAAACATCCTAATTCCCAAACTTGAAGCATGTAATATACTAAGTGACGTATAAATCCGAACACCCAGTTTAAATGGTTTTATTTTAATAAAAGTTGGTGAATGTATTTATCTTACTGTAAATAACAAGTGAAAAAATGTTCAGCCTTATCAGTTGGACATTCCGGTTTTTATACTGCTTTTTTTTAATTCACTAACGCTCTAAAAATGAATATTTCAGTCGCAGTAAAGAATCAACGTTGGCGGATTTTGGTTCTTGACATCCTTTACGATCGGTTACGATGCCTAGAGTACGGAGACCTGTACGATTTCGTCAACTTAGTGAGTTTGATAGCGGCCGTATAGTGGGACTTCGGGAAGCTGGACTTTCTTTTCGGGCAATTGCAGTTAGAGTGCAAAGAAGTGTAGGCACTGTGGTTAGGTGTTGTCAGGCATGGCTTCGAGAAGGCCGTACGCAAAGAGCAAGGGGCACTGGACGCCGCCGTAGAACAACAGACCGTGAAGATCGCCGCCTAAGATTATTGGCCTTAAGGAACCGTTTCTCCACTACCAGGTCCATTGCAAATGAATGGTTTGCAGAACACGGAAGACCTATTGGCATGCGAAGTGTTTACCGACGAATGAGAAGTTTTGGCTTGTTTTCATACCGGCCACACTGGGTCCTCCCTTTAACTCGAAAACACCGACGTAATCGCCTTGAGTGGTGCAGACAACGGTCACTCTGGGATCAGGAATGGAACAGTATTGTCTTTAGTGACGAGTCTCGATTTTGTTTAGGCATGCACGATGGTCGTGCCAGGGTTAGAAGGCGACGTGGTGAAAGGATGAATCCACAGTTTTTTGTTGAAAGACATGTTCATCACACTGTTGGAGTTATGGTTTGGGGTGCTATAGCTTATGGTTCCAGGTCACCTTTAATCTTCATCAGAGGTAACATGAACGCGCAGCGTTATATCCACGAAGTTCTAGAACCCCATCTTTTACCCTATCTTGACACCCTGGCAGATCCAACTTTCCAACAAGATAATGCCCGACCACATGTTGCAATAGTCACAATAGACTTCTTTCAACATAATGATGTCACATTGTTACTATGGCCACCAAGATCTCCCGACTTATCCCCAATTGAGCACGTGTGGGATATGATGGGTAGGAGATTGCTCAATTTGCTACGTCCTCCTCAGACTCTAGAAGCACTTCGAGAGGAGTTGGTGGTTGCCTGGAATGAGATACCACAGGAGGACATTGACCACCTGATCAGAAGCATGCCTAGGCGAGTTGGAGAATGCGTAGCACATCAGGGTGCATCCACACATTATTAAAGGTCAAAGGGCTTTAAAGCAGTGCAATCATTTTGAAATTTCTATCATTTACTTATTATGCTTTATTAAGTACTTATACAAAATTTTATTAAAATAAAACCATTTAAACTGGGTGTTCGGATTTATATGTCACTTAGTATATGTGAATTACCTGCTGCTTTGCAATGAGATGAATAAATAGCCTTATAGACGACACTGTCTTTAGGTGTATGCGTTGTCACCCCTCAAATAAAATATTGGGATACATTTTTAGATCTACCAAACATCTCTCTGAAGTTACAATATAGATATACTAAATGTCATAGAAAATGCAACACCGATTAGGAGTGCTGTAATTTTGAACAGACTTCTATAAGTTTTAGGACTACTGGTGAATAGAAAGTGATTAAAATTTTAACTCAAAGTTCGCGAAATAGTTGAGGTGTCCCACCTTAACGTTAATAATGTATTGAAGCTCCTCTTTTCGCTACACATTCGTTAAGTCGTCGCGGCAGTGACTGATGTTTTCTTGGTCCATCTGAATTTCGTTTCGTAGAGCCTCCAATGTTTCTGGAGGGTGCGGTGAATTTTGCGGCCTCCTTCCCATCATGTCCCATACATGTTCGATGGGGGAAAGGTCTGGAGATCGAGGATTTACTCCGAACGCTTCTACAAAGTCTAAACTAACAGGTGCGACACGAGGTCGTGCATTGTCCTGCTGAAAAAGTGGATCTTGCAATGTTTCCAAAAAGGCAAGCAGATGTGGTTGTAAAAAGCTTCATGGATATTGCGCTGGGCATTCATGCTACCTCGGATGAACACTAATCGTGACCTGATGCCGTAAGCAATGACACCATAACACTCACAGTGCGATGAATATGCTGTTTGTTGGAATATTGAACGTTCCTTCTTTCACCACGTCTCTTCCTTACTCTTACACGACCATCATGTGTCCTCATTGATATTGCCATTACGATAGCATCAAACCAGTGGTTCGCAACTGCCCTTGTCGTGGAAAATCGATTTCTAATCAAATATATTTACAAGTTTTTATCAAAATTCAATAAATAATTATGGATGTTGCATTTTTATGTCACTTAATATATTTTCATATATCTAAGGGTTATATTGCGATGCTACTTGGCAACATTTCTCTGACGTTGGAAATTGTATGTGAACGTCCCAATACATTGAAAATGTGAATACTAATTTGAACAACAAACAAAATGAGTCTATTACTGAATGAGGCGTAGAAAAGTGTCGACAAGCATCTAAATCTAGATAATATAATGAAATCATAAACGGAGAATAGGAAATATAGGCAAACGTGAAAATAATCCTGAAAAAAACATTTGGCTTCATAAGCAACAGAAAAGAACTGGTACTTCATCCGGACTAGCAACATGTGAAGAAAGCAAACAAAATAGCAAAAAATTACTGTTTCCTCCTCGAAGTTGACGCTCAGTATCTGGTTCTATTGATGTAAGGTGTTCAAGGGCATATTGAAACACGGACGCATAAAATGGGTACACCAATTTTTGTCGGAAAACTTTTTATTCGACAACAAAGACTGAGAAACCGTATTTTTTGGGATTCAATCGGAAGTGTTGGCAGGTACGAAACAACTCTTCAAATAAGATTTTTAGGTATTTAAAGTTTCCGCATTGTATCTTGTATAGTTTTCAAGAGTATTCTAATTGTTTATAACAGATTTGATATGCCTACAACGTTCGCTTGACATTTGTCAGTGTCAAGTGTAGTGGTATAAAGTTCCAGTGAACCAAGAGGCGTGGTAATGTAATGGGAAGGAGTAACGATTCCAGAACCGCAGGACGGAGGTTCGAATCCACAAAGCTCCTTTTTTTCTTTATTATTTTTTTTTAATTTGGATAAATAAATGCTTTTTCACATTACCCCTTTATATTGCTCAATAATAAAAAATTCTGACAAATATTTGACCAATCGACTCCAATTTTATTGTTGTTATTTAGAAGTATGAAGCCTACGGGTTTGAAGAATTTCAACTAGATGCCTGAAATTATCGTCGCATCAGCAACAAGTGCCAAATCCTGCATTTTGACTCGGTTTTCGGCCATAACGTTTTTATTATTAGTCGGATCTTTTTACCAGTGGTCTCATTCTGTAGGTCACATAAATGCCTAAAAATCTTGTTTGATGAGTTTTTTCGTTCCTGCCAACACTTTCAATTCAATTCCAAAAAACACGTTTTCTCATTCTTTGTTTATTGTCCAACAGTGGCCCATTAACAGGACAACATTATACAAAATCCATACAAAAGATACAGAACAAACTATATAACAAAACAAAAATATCTCATGTCTATCCTTAACCTACGTATGTATTAGCTATCCTAACTAATTCTTTTTTAGAAGTACAAAATATGTCGCAGAAAGTACAGATTCTATTGAAATTTTTAAACATATTATTTAGCGGAGACTACAGTGATATATTTGTTCTTGCCGTTGTAGCTCTGAACGTGAAGTGAGTACGCGACGCAAAAGTCGGTACACTGATGTTGATCTTTCCAAGAAGTGAGGGACTGTCAATTAGATTATTTAAAAGCTTAAACAAAAATATCAATGTCGCGCAAGTCCTACGCTGCTCCAGAGATATAAGGTCAACACGACTGTATAACTCGTTATTGGTAACACCCCTTTCTGGATAAATTCCATCAATTTTATAAACTAAACACTTAGAAAATCTTCTCTGTACTTTCTCCAAACAACTCTTTTGGCACATGAATACACAAATTAAAGAATTTTGTTAAAAAAATCACGAATGCTCCGGCACAATCCTTGATCGAAAAGGATGGAATATTATCGGGGCCAGAAGTCATTTTGTCCTTAAGTTTCTTAATAGCAATCACTACTTCACTATCATAAATTTCATCAAAATGTACATGAGCAACATTTTTGAAACTATCGTCCACATTACCCAAATTGGCTGCTTGAGACACTATGTAGACACTCTTGAAAAATATACTAAAGGCATTCACAATGTCTTGCGGATTATCAAATGATTCTTTAAGGTAAAACATCTTTCCAGGGATCCTAGAAGTGTTCTTTTTTGAATTCACATATGACCAGAACCTCTTAGGATCATGCAATAATGAATTTTGAATATCTTCAAGGTAGTTGTCGTATGCACATTTAATCTGGACCTTAATCAATTTGAGTAGCCGCTGAAATTCGCATTCATCAGCTCCCCGACCACACCTCCTGAATTTATTTCTGTACTTTACCTTTTGCTTAATATTGCGGATAATTTTCGCATCAAACCAGGGGGGTAATTATGACTATAGCTTCTATAGGTTGGTATATGTTTACCAAAAATGCTAAATATTGACTCGTATATTTTATCAAGGACAGCATTAACATCTTCAGAGGCAAATAATACGCTCCAGTCAGTTTCATACAGTTTTCTGTAAAGAGAAGGAAAATCAGCTTTTCTGAAGTTGTAAACACGTTCACTTGAATTGAATTCGATTTTAGCTTCTTTGGCAAATAGATCAAGTATACAGATATTCAAAGCAGGGTAATGTATGTCTTCCGAAACCAAAGGCATAAATAACATCATGAGTGACGTCACAAGTAAAACGTGTAATTTTGTTGTCGAATAGAAAGTTTTCCCAGAAAAATTGGTGTACCCATTTTATGCGTCCATGTTTTAAATACCCCCTTGAATAACTTGCATCAATAAAACTAGACTTTACAATTATTTCGGGGAAACTAGCTAATATGATTAGATAGGCTGTAAAGGAAATATAAGATGACCACCCTTAAATGATTTTAAGATTCGTATTAGAATTTTTTGATTCAAAGTGCTTTTTGCCAAATTGATGAATTTTTAAATACTGATTTTAACGTGATGTTATTGTACAAAACTGGTAAGTGGCTGATGATTTTTTCTTCTGTGTTATGATAATAACAATAGCTGTATTGTCCAACAGTAACACCATTTATAGGACAATTAAACTAAAATAACAATTAATAAAAGAAATCAAACACAGTGGTAAAAAACAAAAAGACAAAAAATCCTGACGATGACGATTGTAAACAATTTTTTGTACTAGCATCAACAAAAAAACAAAACAGTATATAATTGGGCATTGTCTTAGTGAATATGATTGTCAATGGTAAAACTGAGAATATTTATGAAAATCAACCCTCGTTCCAATCTTTTTCAGGTGATGATTTTGATAACTGGTACAAACAAGGCTTTTGCTTTGTACAAGGCTGTGGAAGAGGGTATTAACCATATGTGGACTGTATCTGCATTTCAGCAACACCCTCAAACAATTATGGTGTGTGATGAGAACGCCACTTTGGAATTGAGAGTTAAAACTGTAAAGTATTTTAAGGTACGTTTAACGCTTTTGTTATCTTCACCTAAGCATGTCTGATGTCCCTACTTTGGATGAAAGAGTGCTGATGCACTTGTCTGGAATGAAAATGCATGCTAATAATGTAAAGCAAATATAGGGTGTCCCAGAAGTCGGCGAAGTCGGAAACGGGGAATAGGCCAAGTCATAATAGTTATCAGAAAACTAAGTCATGGACATGGTGAAGGGAGAATTCCCTTTCCATACGAGGACGTTGTACTACAAGCAGTCGAAGAAGGAAGAAGACTCGATTACTTCAGTACCATAAACAGAAGCAAGCACGGGAGTGTCTAAAAGTACGGCCCACCGAATCTTACCACGTACAGCGAATACAATCTCTAAAACCCCAAGTGTTGAATGTTGTCAAACAATGTTACTGAGACACAGGGAAGATCCGCTATTTTTAGAGAAAATTTTATAGACTTATGAGTCGCCATTTAAAAAAGATGGTTACACGAATCTACAAAACTTACACAAGTGTCATGTAGAAAGTCCACATTTGATGGGATAAGATAGATCACAGTATCGTTTTAGTAAACAAGTGCACCGGGATTCTAAATGGGAGAATCATTGTACTCTTTGAGCTGCCAGAATTCTTGAGATACCCGTTCAGTTAGAGAATATCTTGATGCGGAATACCCTTGCAGATGGACAAGGCGGTCTGGTACAATTTCGTAGCCAGCCCATTCACCTGACTTAAATCCATTCGATTTTTTTTAGTGGGGAATGGCGAAAGAAAAAGTTTGCTCAAAGCCAATCGAAAAAGTAGCTGAATTTGTTAATAACGGAAGATTTGCCCGTATGATGACCCGATCATTTTTAAGATGCTGAAGGAAGGCAGTTTTTTTTATATTCCACAACTACCACGAAGGCCTAAGGCCTAAACACCCATGGGGTACCGTGGGGCTATAGGGGATACAGGGAAAAGGGGGAACGCCACACGGACTCTGGCGAGGGAACACGTGTACATGCACCTACCACCTACGGACAATCACAACATCCATAGCCAAGAGAACAATTTCTCATGGTACGGGATTCAGACCCGCACAGCGCACGGCAACTGATCAGGAGACCGAAGAGTCTACTACTGCAGCAACCGCTGCTGCCTGAACATCTATTATAAATTTTATAAATATATTCACGAACTGATAAAAGTCTGCATGATTGTCACTATGTAGACTTACACTGTCCTTTACTCGATCTAAGAAAGAATTGAAATTTGTAGTAATGGGAACTAAAAGACCATCACGAGGTATGGATTTTTCCGATTTTTTCCAAATCCTATCTGAAAAGAACGACTTTTTATATTTCTCGGATAATTATTATGACTTGACCTGTCCCCCGTTTCCGGCTTGACTTCTGGGACACCCTGTATAATGAATCACCTTTTTTTTGTAACAAACCATTCCATTATGGGTGTCTCATAAAAAGCTTTTCTAATATGGCGGCCATAACAAAAGATCACTGAATTTTTTTTTTTTTTTATACTCCAACTACCACGAAGGCCTAAGGCCTAAGCACCCATTGGGTACCGTGGGGCTATGGGGGATACATGGGAAAGGGTATAATTTATATAATGTATAATTTGTTATTATTAAAATGAATGTCAAAGCATATTTTCAAAAGGTAGAATTTCCGCAGCTTTTTTATCACTATTTTATTTCAAAAAGCATGATATATACTTACGTTAATCTTGACTTGAATATTACATAACATTTATTTTAAGTATACAGCTGTGCAAAGTAGCATCTCTTTTGTAATCATCACATGACATTTGAGCTTACACTACTTATGTATGACTGATATGTTGCTCAAAACTACATAGGCTACATAGAATATATAAAAACAATTTGGAAAAATCTGAATTATTTTAAAATCGTGTAGACGTTTTGGTAAATAAGGTCACATTTCGGTAAAAATACCGAAAAATCGGTAGGATCGGCATCAATGTCCCCAACTCAATTGAAAGCTGTGTTTACGCGAAAATAAGCATGAGGAGGAGGACTAGCTAAGGCGCTAATTCTCGGGGATGCATCCAAATGCAAAATACTGTCAGGCCAAAAATAACATGACTCCTTGTTCAAGTCAAGCTTTCGAAAATTTTATTTTCCCCTTTAGGGCATAAAAAAACGTAGGGAAACCATTAATTAACGAACATCTAAGATGTTTGGTTTCAATTGACATTTCACTCTTTGCAGTACGACCTAAAGAAGAAAATGATCGTGAATTGCTATTACACAAGTTCACTCAATATGGTATCAGGGGACCTCCGCTTCACCTATTTGAAAGCTACTTAAGTAATAATAACAGCAACTCAAACATAACCAAATGTGAAATTGGTGTCCCCCAGGGGTCTTTACGTATGCGGCTTTAAATAATCTTTGACAACGAATTCCATAGCAGTCAGTATGTTATGTGCGCTGATGATGCGTCCATTCTGGTAAATGCAGATCATAACTACATTAAATTTATATAGATCAGCTTCACTGGAGTTAACCCTATACATAAGTGGTTCCTCAATAATGGCCTAGTACTCAATCAAAGTTAGTCAGTTAGTCTGACCAGGATTATAGTCTCTTAGTGAAATCTAATGGGGGTACCATGAGTTTATCTTCAATCAAATTGGGATACTCATGTTGATTATGTAAAGTAAAAAACTGACCCCTATTGCATACTGCATCGATAGACTAAGATTCCTGCTTGAGAAAAACATTGTAATGAGATATTACTTTGCGTACGTTCAGTCAATAATCTCATCTGGTATAATTGCCTGGGGTACTTGTGGTGAAGAAAATCGAATATTTGTCTTGCTGGGATGCATTACAGAGCTAGCTGTAAGGAATTATTTGCGAATCTAAAGTGTGTACGTAAAAGTAAATTACAACAGCTTTCTTTAGCTCAATCGTCATGGCAAATATTCCAAAAGGAATTCCCTGATGTTAGATATTGCTGCTCACAAGTCTAGTCTAGTCGTAGGGACATGGGTATAAAACTATATAACAAATTGCCTAACAGGATCAAACAGGCGAACACATACAATTTTAAAAAAGAAATTAAGGCACTGTTGCTGCGATCATACTTGGCAACATAACTCGGACGATAGATGTTGTAACTGCTCGTCCAAATACAGCATATATGGTTGGGCATCTTCTTGTCGAATATGTCAATCAATGACCTATAAAAAACCCACAGGTTCTAACATTTATCTGCATGTGCAACTTTGGTGTTTTTGCATGCTTTGTAATGGTGTTGAATGTGTTGTGGTAACAGAACATTGAATAATTGGTGTTCTGTTGAACAGGGGCTGAGCGATATTCATCAGAAATTGATCGAAGAAGATGAGCCATTAGACAAATATACACTTATTCATTGATTTTGGGACACGCAAGAAATATATTATGTTATTATCGATTTCAAATTCATCCAAAGAAATACATATTTTTTGAATCAAGTTGTTTTATTTATATTTTTATAAGAGGTTTTTTTTGCTAGATTTATAAATTGCTTGTCGCACTTTTCGTAAAGCCTATGAGTTGTCACCTAGCTAATTATCTCTTAGCACCCTACGCGTGAGGCGAAGGCTAGAGATAGGAGGTTGAAACTCATAGAGTGGGGGTGAAGCCAAGTGGCGACAGTGAACTCTTGTGTACGCTGCACAGAAAAGGAATTTTAGGTACCACGCATGTGGTTTGTCTTGTATGCACACTACGAAGAAAATGATTTTCAGATTCTGCGCGCGTCTCATTTTTCTCATATCTAAGTCTCTCTGTTGCTGTCATCATGGAAGTAAACAACTCAAATTTTGAAAATTTAGATGAGTTGCAAGCAGAAATATCACTTAATATTAATAAATCAACAAAGCATGACAAAACTACGTTGATAATTATTTTCCCATCTTTTTTGAATGAGTCACTTGGCACTTTGTGTTATAATTATTTTGTTATATGTTCGCGGTAGTTTTTCACGTTGAATCTGAAAATTTGCTTGCGACTACTCTTTTTCATTTTCCATGGCAGAAACTTACAGAACATCAGCGAATGCGCACGAGCACAGGGTTTATAAAAATGGTGAGATAATAAGATTTAAGTGATCTGATCCATATGTAAGGAAACTACAGAACCAAAATATATGTAATGATTGTAATATGTGCTTGGACGGAAATGTTGAGGAATTGCCAGATATATTAAGAATTTGGAAAAATCAAGATCTGACTGTAATATACTTATGAATAGCCAGTTTGCATTTGTCCCCGTTAAGTGCAGATGTGGTCAGTTCAATAAATAATAGTTTAAAAAAACGCTTTTATACCTAACCGAACTAAAAAAGTAGAAGATAATTTTTAATTACAATGAGTTCATATTACAATAGTAGATGGTTTAAAGCTTTACTGTTGCATGGGTTATTTCCTGAAAGTTCTTCAATCCGAATACCGTCGAAAGATCTTACACGTCCAGCAGCAAACAGTCGCGAATCTAGATAAATGACTGCATGATCGACTGTACAACCTTGCATCTTGTGGACGGACGAAGCCCAACTCAGGATTGATGGCAACATTCGCAATGAAGGTGAGAATACACTACCCTGAAAAAGTATCTGCATACGCCTGCATCTGTATAAATGCGCAGACGCTCTACACGCACTGGATTTCCGACAGTCACGCCCTCTTCGGTATAATTGGTTTTATACTAATAAGTTTCTTCCCATAGGCAGTTTGACCTTCTACTTCTAGTCTTCGTAGCATAAGTTTACGCGATACAAAAAAAGAATTATTACCTTGAAATTTCGTAACCTCAGCATATACCCCGCCTCAAACACAACCGTTACTAAGGTTGCGTGAGCTCGCAGTCTATATATTTTTAGTATTATTTTGTGATCACAGTCCGAGTTCAGCCCACATCATGAATGTCGATATCTATACCCAGTATTTGTAATGCTGGTTGCCGGAGCGTGTTAGTGACGTGTTAAAATCATGCCAGCTGTAGCTGTCAAAATGATCTAACCCTACTCCTGTAGATACTCTAGTGATGCATGTAATTTCTAATAATACTCATCTAGATCCTACAAGTAAAATTGAATGATAGATTCCTATAGAAAGGCGAGAACATGTACAGCGTAAGTTATATAAAACTACCAAACCTAAAATTACTTCACAAAAACATTTCTTACACAGCCCCAGGGATTTGGGGGGTTCCCAGATCAACCCTCTACCATCAGCCCAGAAGTGCAACAGTGGTTTCAATCCGTTGATAAGGACAGATCTGGCCAAATCTCTTGGGAGGAACTCCAAGCTGCTTTGGTTAATGGCAGAGGAGAACATTTCTCCCCAACATGCTGCAAACTGATGATAGGGATGTTTGACAAGGACAAAACAGGCACGATTGGCATCAACGAGTTCCAAATGTTGTACAATTACATCAACCAGTGGTTGACAGTATTCAAGAACTATGACCGAGACCAATCTGGAAGTATTGAAGAACAAGAGTTGACTATGGCCTTTCAACAAATGGGATTTAGGTTTTCTGAAGAGTTCATGAAGTTTTTAATTGCCAGAGCGGATTTGAAAAACCATAAGCAGATTTCTGTGGATCAGTTCATCACACTGTGTGTGCAGATCCAGAGGTTTACGGAGGCCTTCAAAGTTAAAGACACTGAGAGGACGGGTGTTATTACATTAGGGTTTGAAGAATTTATCAGTATTGCCCTCAGCAGCTCTGTGTAATTTTATAATTGCAGCATTGATTGAATTTTTTCTTCACGCTGTAAGGTTCCATATAGCTTTAGTTTTGTCAGCTAAGCTAAATTATATTTTTGTACGTGAGGTAATATTTAAGAATAACTTGAAATGTGTAGATGCCACTGATGGATGTTTATTGTTTCAGCTTGCTTTGAACATTAAATTTTTGTCAAGGTGTTTCCATGTAAAAGTGTATTTGTAGTATTTACAGTATTTAAACAATTTCCATACTAGATATCATTTTATTAACTGTCAACTACAAAAAATGTAGCTATTTAGCAAATTTTTTTCAATATTTGCATTGATCGAGATGAGGAGCTTTACAAAGTGATTATTTATAAATATGTCTTTCCCAGTCAGTCCTATTCAAGTTGTTTTGTAGTCTATGTTATATATTTTATACCAAGAGATGTGTTTCTTTTATTAATACTTGTTCAACAATTGATCCAATACATTCATCATATTTGTATTTGGTGTGTCAATAAATAGCATACTGATAGTTGGTAATCCATATAGTGACATTCCTTTAGGATAATCCACAGACTCATTTTTATTCATTATTTTGGGATGTTTCAAGTCCATTAGGTATTGGTGGCATATGCTTCCAGAAACTGCTTAAGCACCCCTCTTCAATTACCAGCGTTTTAATTTATATCAATAGTATGACGAGAGAAAGGTCACTTTATCAAGGACTTTGGTCTGTGCACATCCAGCAATCTTTTTTTTAAAAACTTTTATCGAGCAGTATTAGACAAATTACTTAGTAATTGATTGCTAGTTAACAATACCAAGGCACCCTTTCAACTGACGTACTTCCTCCCCTTTTATCTTTTCACTTCCTTTCTTTCTCTCTGACATGATCTGGTATCTGAACACCCTAACCTGACAAACCTAATGACATACAATACTTTAACCAAGAGCAAATTAATGTCCAATAGACAGCTCTGACGGACAATGACGAATAGATTAGAATTGGAATTCCAATTATTATGTAATAACCTTTTATTGCACCGCTCAATAAAAACTTACAAATGTCATTACATAAAATGCTTCAAATAGATGATGTGTCAAGAAAGTACAAATACATTTAGTTAAATGTGTCACGTGTTTTCAATAGCGTTAATTCTAAGCACTACGGGAACACTGGTACAAGGCAATATGGCAATTTCAGTAACAACGGCAGTAACAAAATCTGGCGGGGTGACGTCATACAGCAGATTTAAAGGAGTGAGCTTGTTGTTTTCTTTCCATTTACTCAACGGGCTTGGATCTTCTGTATTGGGAATTTTGCTCAGCAAATCCGGGTCACCTAAAAAAGTTTCAGCTTGAACATATAATAGATATTATAAAGGTTACCTTAATTGTGGCACTTTAGGAAGATTCATTTCTAAACGAATTGATTTTCATATTTATTTTCCAAGGTGTCTGCCAAAAAACGTTCCATTATGCCCTAGAAATGTCTTAGCTATGTTTTTAACGCCACGCCGGTCACGAAAGCGAGGTGTTATCAGTGTAACATGAGTATGTTTATAATTCCAGCATATGTTTCTTTAAGGCAACATACTGTAATGGAAAAAAGTATATAGACAAATTAATATTGTGCTGTATTTCTTTTTTAACTTGTTTTATTAATACACCAACCTGTATATGTACATAATTCGTTATAGCATAATGCTCACTTATACATAAATAAATTCATTAGACTACCTTCAATAAAAAATTAATTGATAAAAACTGGAACTATGAAGGACAAAAATATATAGACAAATCAAAACAATTATAGAAAAAAGAAGCAAAGTTCATTGAATTATAGAAAACAAACCATGTTTGTGTTAATATTTTGTAGCATAACCATTATTATCAATCACCGCCTGGCATGGTCTCTGCATAGATTGTAGAAGTTCTTGATATAATTTTCATCAATCTGTCTCCACTTTTGCTCAAAAGCGGCAAAAAGTTCATCCTTGTTTGAGTAATTTTTATCCCATATTTGCTTATCAAAGTATTCCCATAGATTTTCAATGGGGTTTATATCGGGAGACTGTGAAGGCCATTTGAGAACTGGTATTTTTTCATCCAGCAAGAATTTCTTTGCAACATTTGAAGTGTGCTTAGGGTCATTATCTTGCTGGAAGATTGATCTTAAAGGCATATTGTCTTCCATACAGGATAACATGACATGCTTTAGTATGTCGCTGTATACAAACTTATCCATAATGCCATCTATTCTATGTCAAGGTCCCATCCCAAACCCCGAAAAGCACCCCCAAACCATAACAGACCCGCCTCCATGTTTGACAGTGGGCAAGGTGTACTTGGGGTTCAATCTTTGTCCAGTAGGACGTCTAACGTAATGAACACCATCTGATCGAAACATATTGAACTTAGATTCGTCACTGAAACATACCATCTTCCAGTCACAGATGCTCCAATCAAGATGCAACCGTGCAAATTGTAATCGGTCCTTATGGTTTTTCCTCGAGATTAGCGGCTTCTTACTCGGGCGACGTGCAAATAACTTCAAATCATTTAATCTTCTACTTATAGTTTTTGTAGAAACACTGGCAATTCCTTTTGTCTCGATTTCGGCTTTTATTTGTCTTGGGGTTTTAAACGGATCATTGGACGAAATCAGTTTTATTAATCTAAATGATCTAGCATTTAGTTTTCTACGCCGACCACTTCTCTTAGAGGCTTCCAAGATACCTTTTTGTTTATATTTGTGCCATATTGCCCAAACTGCTTTACGCTTCAGCTTCAAATTTTTGGCAATGTCGACTTGACGTTGACCATCTTTGTATAACCCAATGATCTTTGTTTTCACATCGAAAGAAATTTCTGGACCACGCGGCATGGTCTTAAAATCACTCAACTTATTCCACAATACTTGATGAACACAAACTAATCCTCTTCTAACGCGAAACTGTACTAAACTAAAGTTGAAAAGAATTTGTCTACATATTTTTGTCCCTCATAAAAAAGTGCTTATATTCAGACTTGTATTGTGTTCATTGCAGATAATGTAAAAACAAGGAATTTAGTTTTTCTGCTAATAAAGCATTAGTTTATGGAGCAAAGAAGTATGAATTCGTTTTCTAATAGTATTTAGGTAAATATTCATATTTGTCTATATACTTTTGTCCATTACTGTAGATCTCCCAATTAGTAAAAGCCATTTTTTGGTTTTGTTTTTTCTGTTTGATAGGTAACTTAATCAAAAGCAATGTAACACCTGAGACTCATCCTGTTTTGTTCATGTTGATGAACACATTGTCAGGCACCAAACCACATATGTTGAAACAGTAAATAAAACAATATTATTAGCACTACAACAGTAGGCAGCAAAGTCTGATGACACTGTTGGGTAAAGTAATTTTTTATGCTGGATAATGCACGAAACGTGCTGCCCTGTTTAGTTCCTTATTGAGCTTATTCTTGAATAAATTGACAGTTGTTGCACACTGTTTCTTCACTAAGAGAGTTCCAAGAGTATGTCACAGTATTTGAAATGAAATTTCTCCTTTTATCATCTTAAATGTTCCCTCATTTTCTAATTTTTTGTTATTACCATGGAGATAAAGATTCTGACACATATTGAATATTTGAAGGGTACATCAGTAGCCGCCACTGATTATCTTGAATGTCTCAATCAGGTCACCTCACACTCTTCGCTCAGTTAGTTTTGTCAAACACATAGCCATGAGATGTTGTTCATATGACAAATGTCGAATCTCTGGTGGAATTTGTTTCAATCTTTCCAGTAGTTTGATGTCTTTGACGAACTAGGAATTCCATATGCTGTGTATATGTTTATGTTTTGGTCGAATGTACATCTTGTACTGAATGGTTTTTAACAGCTTTTTCAATCAAATATATCAGTTAGTTGACTTTATTAAATTTTTAAAAGTACCTATTATCAAGTAACATACATGATACCACTAATTCAATCAAGATTCTGTTTAATGAAAATAGACACCTTCTAAATCTGTTCACATAACTCACATCATTCAAAAAGTGAACTAAATTTTTTGTATAAAATCAATAACAAGGCACCAAGTTGCTTTCAACAGTTTTTACAAGAAGATTTGAAATGCAAAGCTAAAATATAAGACGAAAGGAAAATTTTGGCATACAGTGGTTTATATTTAAAAGGAATAGAAAAACCAGTATTTGTCAAAGCACTGAATATGAACAACAACCTCCCTATGGCTATGAAAAACATCAACCAGTGCTCTTAAGTTTTGATTTGCAGTAATGGCTGCGTTTAAAAATTTATCAAAACTGAATATTTTTCATTGTATGAACTAGCTAAAAAGCTAAATAATTCATTTTCTCTTTACTTTCTAGCAGGATGATGTGATTTTTCTTTCATTCTCAAGTAATATCTCTATTCTGTACTTACCAATTTCGTTATAAACAAACGAATCAGTCTGCACTCTTTCACTAAATTTGTATGTTTCACAGCATACCAAAACAGGCTTATTATATGCCTTAGCTACCAATGCTACTTGTGCTGTACCTATCCTCGACATCACATAGCCATTGGTTAACAATGCATGTGCACCCAGCAGCACTTTTGTAACAGAGTTCATAACATAACTAACTGCATTCAGGAAGATGTATGTACATTCAATTTTAGCTACCACAAGTCTTCTGAGCATTTCTTTACCTTCTAGGAGCGGTCGACTGTCTGCAACTATAACTTTGAACTTTTTGCCTTCTTTGTGGGCATCTACAAGTATTTTTTTTAGCAGAGATGAGCTGAAAAGACAATGAACTCATTAAGATCGTCAGGAACTGACTAGCCCTAACGTTATATTGCTGATTCTTTTACATCCTGTATAATGATGGGTTAAAATCATATTTTTGGAAATACCAATCCTTTAGCTGAATAAATGTATTTGTTTGATTTCCATAAAATAGAAAAATGGCCTTGTTCCAATATGGTATAAAATCACACTGCAACAAAAAATTGAAAAATACCATATTTTTAGTGTTTTCGAGTCGCTGATTATAAATCATCGGAATTCATTTCATTCATTCATTTTCAAAATGGCAGCATCAGTATAATGAATCCAATACCTAAATTGGTGAAATGTACTGAAACCAAAATGTTGTTCTTGAAAATGGCTCATTTTGTTGTAATCAAAAATATTTTGGAGCTATTATTGTACAGGGTGTAGTGTAAAAAAAGCAATATTGTGTTAGGATTAGTTTGTTCCAGGCAATACATCTGAGTTATTTTATATGGGTATGTGAGTTCAGAATGTTTCAAGAGTTGTTGCAGTAGCATCCTTTAGGGGCCTGTATTGTTACCCTATTTTCATGTCAATGTTGTAATTTCGCGTTTTGACCTTGATCAATGGATAGAAAATCAATAATGATGGTTTGAAACTAGTATCTGTGGTGTCAGCAGATACCCCTTTGCCAGTGTCTCCAGTATTTACCCTGGTAAGTACTTATATCTTTAAAAATTTCCATAGTAAATTACTGCAACTATATAAAAACAATTAATGAATACAAATGTCTTGAACCTCATCTCATATAGAAACTAAATATTTCTTCCTTCCAAAAAGGACCATTATCCTGAGAGCTCTCAATCTATATGATTATCTTGTTTCAAGACCAATGGAAATGAATTGTTATTTTTAATACGAGTATTTTGATATTTATTTGATGTTTAAAGTATCATTTCACATCATCACAGTTTAAATGCCACTTCCCTAGCCACACATTTTCCCCTGGTACCTATAGAAGCTGTCAAAATCAAACTATTATCTGACCCTGTTAAATATGAAATGAAAACAAAATAAGCTATTTTTCTATGTTGACACTGAAAACCCAAATACTATATATTCACCTATATGCATCATAGAGCCGTATTCATAAAAGAGAAGCATATCCTCGGAAGCATAAGGTAAAAGTATAAGGTCTTGCTTTGGAGAAAAAGGTGGAAGTATAAGCATATCCTTCTTTTCATATTCAGAATGATTACCTTATACTCGCGAGGATATCCTTCAAGAAGAAGTAAAAGGTTGCCTGGTATTTGTATCTTGAGCGACATGTCTTGTTCCAGCTTGTGGCTGACGTGGGAGTTCGTTCACCCAGCATCACTGACAGTTGTACTCCAGAGCTTACATAGACCGTTCCGTATTTTTACTGGATACAGTTTTTTTATCAAATTAATAAGCATGTCATCTTCCAGTGATGAGAAAACTATAGAAAATAATGGCAACGACCTGCAGTCCATCGCAGATGAAATTGCCATTGCTCCCATTATTTTGCAAAAGTCCCAAGTTCCAAAAATAAAAATGAGAAAGGACGATGCCTTGAAGATGTTGAAAAAATACAAACCAACATTTGGTAAACCATTAGATTACTAAAGGATAATTAAAAAAAATCTTGAAGAAAAAAACAGATCTAAAAAAACTGGTAATAAAGCAATTAAGTTGTTAGATTGGGAAAGAAAGTTGCTGAAAGCTATGGAAGGTGACTGTAATCCTATAATTGTGAAAATTAGAGGTGCCATTCAGGTTGGTAGTGTTCAAGGAGGAAGTGAACTATATACCGAGCGCAGTGAGCAAACAGTTAGTGTTACAGCACCAGCAATTCTGAAGACATTGCCACCAAAAAGAAAATTAGCAACAGAGAAGTACGAAACTGAGGAAACCGAAGGATTAGCTACAAAAGAACTGCAACATCTAGTGCTATTACAGCAGTGCCAAACAAGTATTTTATAACAAGAGTATTATAAAACGAAATTAGAAATGATGCAGCGTCAGAAGCCACCTATAACTTATGATGTTCATGAAAATAAAACTTATTATAACTTATAAATACACTTTAATCAGTAAGTATTTATTATAATACTCAAGTTTCTTCTTATTTGTTGACCTAGTTGGCAGAGAGGAAGTTCGTCATTCCCATGATTTCCTTTATCTGCATCTGGGTGTTGTTCAACTAACTCAAAGTCAGGATCGCCCAAGCTCTTCGCAACATTATGGAGTACAATACAAGCAATAATTATATAAGGCACATTTTCCAACTTTACGCGGCAAATATACTGTAGGATAGGAAACAGCGTTCAATTATAATTCTTTCTTGTTTTAAAAGCTTATTATAATTTATTTCTGCACCTAGAGTAGGGTTTCTGAAGGGAGTCATAAGGCATGGCTCAATACCATCATCATCACCAAGTAGTTCAACATTTGCTTTATTTATTAGTTGTGATCTAGTCTGTGAATTTCTCCATATTCTGGAATCATGCACTGATCCAGGCCAACTGACATCAACACTTGTGTTGATATGCTCATCTCCATGGTGATTTGATTTCAGGATTCCTATACATGTACAATCAATTACACCAATTGCTGTCGGAAATTTATACATACTTTGCCATATCCGCTTGGCCTCCATCAGTTTATTTTTGGTAGTTGGAAACTTATCAATTCGTTCGACTGTGCAACTATGCTGTTCACAACTCTATCCACAGATACTGTTGCTTGACTAACACCAAGTTCCTGACCAATACCTTGTTGATATCCAGAGTCACCGAGATGGACATATCTTCATTTTATGAATACATGAAAGTGCTCCTACTCGAGTTTCCTCATTCTCAACTAAAAATCTGTCCACAGGCCATTGTACATTTGCTTCGTCGAACCGATATAATTTTTTGACGACACGACCAAGTGAAGGTAAACAAAGTTTGTACGTTTAACATCCCTAAAATCCACAATTTCCGCCATCATCATTTGACCACCTTTTGTTACAAAGTTGAGTCTACTACTGACCATACTCAGAATTTTTGAAGGATATGCTTCCTATGCCAAGTATAAGGTGAAGATTATGAATATCCTTTTACTTATGTCTGATTTGCTTATACTCAAAAAGCAAAAGCATTTACTTCAAATTATTATAAATACCATCTGGAGGATTTCCTTCAAAATTTGCAAGTGCAAGGATATCCTTTGTTTTATGAATACGGCCATCCTATTCTGGGACACCCTATATATTACACAACATTGATGATCTGAATGTGATTTCAAAATAAAAATGAGAACTTAAAAACACCAACGTGGATGCTTAGCATTGTAAAAATTTACATACTTACCAACCATATATCAAAATAACATCTCCATCAGAAATTTTTTCCTTGACTTTCAAACTAATAGCATCACCAGCTTTGTAAATATCATCATGTATGTAAACATCTATAACATCTTGCAACTTTGCCTTCTTCTCACTATCTTTTAAATTAGTATCTACCTGAGTCAAATGTAACTTAAAATTTCTCAAAGCATTTACCATGGAAACTGCAAAGGGTCTACAGTTTTGAAGGTGATTTGTGCAAGTCTGCAATACGGTTTCTAAGTGCCTGAAACATGTAAATTAGCAAAACATGAAAGGTGTGCTATTGGGAGCATTTATTGAATCATAGTATTAAGTCCTTAATGTCAATGTCCATTTGATTCAAATATTTGATATTTACATATCGAGAACATCTATGGTTCATAACTTGCAAATAGCATGTTGTGGGTCATAAATGATCATGCTTAAACATATAGTTTTCTCTATAACAAGATGTTAAGTCCGTATCCTCTTATGGCAGAAACAAGTCTGTAGGACAAAAAGTGAGACTTAATGCCCACAAAACCTATTCATAAATTGCTCCTCAGTCAAAGATAAAGAGTTTTTAGCATTCCCTTAATGTGCCCAGTGCTATCAATAGAAAAACATGTGTATGGGGTTATAGAAGGATTATGTGAGCACAACTTTTATAGTTTAACCACCCTTCCCCAGCAAAGTGAGCATTTTCTAAGTTTCATTTTTTTCTTATCAACTATGAAATCCATTCCCCTGGCCCTCCCTAATGCTTGAAAGACTTTCCTGCCGACATACCTGCAAAGTTCTTGTTTTGGTGGAGTTTGAATATCAATAATTAAATGCTTTAGAGCTGCCATTAATGCTAAAGTCCTTGCATTTGATCCTAAAATTGTTTTGTTCAAATACTGAGATCCCAACTTAACAAAAGCTGGATGAATGTTGTTATATACCAGTAACTTTGACACTTTTTTTTGTGGCATTTCAGCATACAAATGCTGTACTAGCTGTACTTTATGAACATCAGTGGTTTTTTTAGTTTCCTTTTTTGGGAAATCTAGTTTCTTTTCTACTTTGCCTAATCCTTTTCCAGGATCTTTAATAGGTGTGGTTGCAGCGACCTTTTTGACATTTTCAGCAGCATTTTTAGCATTTTCGGCTGCCAATTTTGCCTGCCGTTGAGCTTCTTGTTGTTCTCTTCTTTTTGCCTTTATTTCTGCTTTGCTCAAGGTCTCCTTGCCAGTATCACCAGCTTTCTGTTCCTGCAACTTCTTTTCCCATTCTAATCGACGTAGTTCTTTTTCAGACGGCTGCTGACCTACTGATTGGTCATTTGAGGTCACTGTAATTCCCTTTTGACTCTCCAATTTTTTCTCCCACTCTATTCGGCGAAGCTCTTTTTCTGATAACTTCTGTGCAACAGTACCAGTTGTTGCATCATTATTAGTTTTATTTACTATTTCTTTCTTACAACCGTGAGAAACTTCATTTTCAGCTAGATTTGCCTCCAGTTGACCATCTTTTGATTGCTTCTTATGATGTTTCTTTTCTTTTTTTGATGAGCCATCTGTACTAGCTACAATGACGTAATTTTAAGGTAGGTAGGTAGGTACTCACAACAAAGATACTTACTTTTTGTTTTATCCATAGTGTGGCTAAGTACTTTTTAAAATTGTACAATATGGTTTTTCTTCAGAAAGTCATAGAAACATAACCTCAAATTCAAAATTCAAGGAGTGTCAAATGCACAACCAAATGTCAAGTGTCCTGTCAAATAGTATTATAGTATGGAAACTACCTACCTAAATTAAAGTCATAGTACAAGCCAACTTGGCCTTGGTAAGATGAGTAAAATTTGAAAGCTTAGGTTGTGCTAAAGCATAAGACATTTTAGGATATTCGTTTCGAGTGATCGAATAAAGTCTCCAATTTCACGTTTGATTTTTTAAAAATCCTATTTTCACTGTAAGTGCGTTGAATTTGCTTCAAAAACACAATTATCTTGTTTATTAATTTGTATTTAAGGCTAGTGACAGAGTGACTGTTGGAACAAACCATTGATTAACGTATTCTATATGAAGATAGCTAACCTAATGCTATTTCCCGCGTCCAAAAAATTATCTGAGATAAAATGGGGTACTGCTAGCATCATCAATGGGAATTTGTCACAGATATTTCTCTCTATATGCATTGGAAATGAGGTTAGTGTCTCATAGGTGGCTACATAGGCATTTAGGAAACTCAATCCTGTTCAAAGTATACTAAGTGATATATAAATCCGAACACCCAGTTTAAATGGTTTTATTTTAATAAAATTTTGTATAAGTACTTAATGAAGCATAATAAGTAAATTTCAAAATGATTGCACTGCTTTAAAGCCCTTTGACCTTTAATAATGTGTGGATGCACCCTGAGGTGCTACGCATTCTCCAAAGCGCCTAGGCATGCTTCTGATCAGGTGGTCAATGTCCTCCTGTGGTATCTCATTCCAGGCAACCAAAAACTCCTCTCGAAGTGCTTCTAGAGTCTGAGGAGGACGTTGCAAATTGAGCAATCTCCTACCCATCATATCCCGCACGTGCTCAATTGGGGATAAGTCGGGAGATCTTGGTGGCCATGGTAACAATGTGACATCATTATGTTGAAAGAAGTCTATTGTGACTCTTGCAACATGTGGTCGGGCATTATCTTGTTGGAAAGTTGGATCTGCCAGGGTGTCAAGATAGGGTAAAATATGGGGTTCTCGAACTTCGGGGATATAACGCTGCGCGTTCATGTTACCTCTGATGAAGATTAAAGGTGACCTGGAACCATAAGCTATAGTACCCCAAACCATAACTCCAACAGTGTGATGAACATGTCTTTCAACAAAAAACTGTGGATTCCTCCTTTCACCACGTCGCCTTCTAACCCTGGCACGACCATCGTGTATGCCTAAACAAAATCGAGACTCGTCACTAAAGACAATACTGTTCCATTCCTGATCCCAGAGTGACCGTTGTCTGCACCACTCAAGGCGATTACGTCGGTGTTCTCGAGTTAAAGGGAGGACCCAGTGTGGCCGGTATGAAAACAAGCCAAAACTTCTCATTCGTCGGTAAACACTTCGCATGCCAATAGGTCTTCCGTGTTCTGCAAAACATTCATTTGCAATGGACCTGGTAGTGGAGAAACGGTCCCTTAAGGCCAATAATCTTAGGCGGCGATCTTCACGGTCTGTTGTTCTACGGCGGCGTCCAGTGCCCCTTGCTCTTTGCGTACGGCCTTCTCGAAGACATGCCTGTCAACACCTAACCACAGTGTCTACACTTCTTTGCACTCTAACTGCAATTGCCCGAAAAGAAAGTCCAGCGTCTCGAAGTCCCACTACACGGCCCCTATCAAACTCACTAAGTTGACGAAATCGTACAGGTCTCCGTACTCTAGGCATCGTAACCGATCGTAAAGGATGTCAAGAACCAAAATCCGCCAACGTTGATTCTTTACTGCGGCTGAAATATTCATTTTTAGAGCGTTAGTGAATTAAAAAAAAGCAGTATAAAAACCGGAATGTCCAACTGATAAGGCTGAAAATTTTTTCACTTGTTATTTACAGTAAGATAATTCACCAACTTTTATTAAAATAAAACCATTTAAACTGGGTGTTCGGATTTATATGTCACTTAGTATATATATAGTATTTATATATATACAGGGTGACTTCGAAGTTGAGTCATTTATTTTAACAGTGAGTAGATCTGATCAAAAGAAATGTTTTTTTCCTTTACCATTTTCCTGGTAAAATTAAAGTAACAAAGTTATAGCCCTTTGGAAGTTTGAGTACCGCCCTGTCTCAATAATAATATTATGTGGTCGTGTTTGGCGACAACGGATATAATCCGCCGTATCGGTTCATCGCATCGGAAACAAAAAAGCGAAAGAATTTGGAACGATGCTTTTTACAATTATTTCATTCATTTGTATACAGTCAGTGTCAGTGAATAGTGGTATCTGTTGCGTGGCTCAAACGAAATAAAAAATGGCACATGTTTATGCGGATCGGTTTCCCAATCGAGTGCAACCAACCCCTCGTGCCTTTGTTAATGTAGTACAACGGGCTCGTGAATCAGGTGACTTAAGACCTCACAGGGGACCTCACGATCAAATGCAGGTCCGCACTGAAATACTTGTCGGGAGGATACTTTATAAAACAAGGTAAACATTTTTTTTTAATTTTTATTTTTATTTTTACACACATATTTTGGTTTATCTTCCTTCTACAATCATTATCTGAAAATTAATGACTCAACTTCAAAGTCACCCTGTATATATATATATATATAGCTGTGAAAAATTCTCATAGATGAGGTTAAGTTATCTCATTTTCTCGTGTATTTTTTTAGATGCGGGAATGTAGCATTAGATTGGCTTCAGGTAGAATACTGTAATAAAAACAGCGTTTTACTGTTCCATCTAATTTATTACTTCTATCCTAATTTATAACACTTATTGCAACTAATTTTAAACTACATCGCATGAGTTATTGTCCATTTTAATTACTCATTCGCTCTCCACTGGCCAGACTATACCCTATTTCACGAGGTGAACAGCTGATCAGCAAGTAACATTTTTGCGTTGGTCTGCAACGTTGGTAACAATGGCTCGGGTATAAATCCAGTAAAACTTTTCTAAATGAAAGAGCTGTACAAGCGTACAAAAAACCCAAAACAATATTCGGCTCTGTCTACCTGTCGTTGACGGATCGTTCAGAATTATGTGTCCTGTGCCGATATGGGGGATTTTGAGATATTACTAGATAATCAGCTGTCATTCTACGGTGATGAATACGCGTGAAATGCAGTATAAGTCTCAACTGACCAACTGCTTCCGCCATCTGGCCGGGTATATATTCACCTATCGACGCGTCGCGACAGGTTTTAGCGTTTTCCAAGCAGAGTCGTGAACTTTCATTGAACTAGTCTAGATGGTATCTCGAAAACTCGCGATTGTACAAAGCGTTACAATACGTTTACGAATTAACAAACTTATCCATATGATTTACAGTAAAATCATCTGTTTCATCAACATAGCTCTGATCCAACCATAGACGTTCCTTGCGCATATAAACTCAGTAGCTCGACTTCTGACAATCCGCGAGGCGCAGACTAAGTGCGCTATAAACATCTACATCCCGCTGAGTTATTACGTAAAAAACCTATATAATGTAAAAAAACTAACAAAATGTTAACTCGCTGACTATACCCAATTCGTAGTCCATTTACGCCCAGACAAAACACAAAATGCCCACAAGCGAGTTTGTACAGGACCGTATTTTCCTCAATGGTCTTGGAATAATCTAATAAAGTAAATGATTATTTTTATAGAAAGAAGGGCACGTACTTTTCACAATTCTTTTTTATCTGGAAGTACGAGGGATGTCTTTTAAGTTTTGCATATAGAAACAATACGTGCAGTGCTCTCACTACAGTGAATTTTTAAGTGTCACCAAGTTATTACAAGTTATTAGAAAAATGGAACTCAACCGAGAACATTTTCGCGCGATAATTTATTACAACTTTCAGAGACAATTATCGCAACAAGAATGTCTTGCTGAGTTACTGTCTGTTTTTGGCAACGAAGCGCCACATCAGTCGACAATTTCCTGTTGGTATGAAGAATTCAAACGTGGACCGGTGAGTCTTAGCGACGATCCCAGGGTGGGTGCACCAAAAACGGCAGTCACCCAGGAAAACGTCGAAACTCAAAAAATGTGTACAGCATTGTTAGTGGTGATGAATCGTGGATTTACTGTTATGAACCAGAAAATAAACGACAGTCGGCTGTTTGGGTGTTCCAAGGAAAAGAAAAGCCAACAAAAGTCATCCGTTCTCGAAAAAACTTCTGCTTTGACCATATTTTTATTGGAACTAATGTCTTTTGATAGGAGCCATTGTTGGATTTCTGCCTTTCTTGTGGACATTGTAGCAGTTTATTCTAGTTTTATAGTGAGGTATGCAGGATTATGAAGTAAAATGACGTCATTGTCGTCAAGCTTTGGGAAGGTTTCTTCAAACTATCGTTCAAATGAACTCGCGTCCATTTCTTCATGGTAGTCGCTCGTTTTATTTGACTCAAATGCCCAGAGAGCAGTGGGCACAAAGCCATCTTCACTGCCAATATGACAGATAACAAATCGTTTTCCTTTTCCTGGAAATAATACCAGCAGAGTATCTAACAGGTGTGGGTTACAAATCTACCAGATATAGCTAAGTTTGGTATAGCTAAGTTTTCAGCGTGAGCTGATAGATTCAGTCTACTTGACACCATTTTTACAGCAAAAATGACGAATTGGTTAGATACACGTACTTGACGGATTCTTTAGGCCAGTGGTTAGTCCATCTAAGAAGGCTTGTCTTGCTGATTTAATTTTAGAGTTAGCCCATACTTTAGGTTTTGTATGTCCTGCATATTTCCAGGTTTCATCCAAGTAATAGATCTTTCTGCCCTGGTGGCGGTATTTCTTTATTGATTTTAAATAATTTCTTCTCCATAAAATAATCTCTTGGCTGTACATCAAAATACTACTTCTGCCCCGTTTTCTGTACTCAAAATTAAGTTCTTTGAGTAAACTATAGAATGTGGTCCTTTTGAAAGTATATAGGTCTTCATCACTATTAACCTCCTGTAATACTTTGTCTATGGTGGGAAGTTCCTACCTTTCAAAAAATTGATAAACTTTGCGTCTGATGGCATTCCGATCAAAGTTATTAACTGTATCCAAAACCATCGTGTAATGCAGCCTCTTGCGTGGTAGAGACATTTTTTTGTTTTTTATTTTATATTCTTTAACAATCTTGAAAATTGTCTTGTTCGGCACACGTCTTTCAATATCATGAATTTTCATATCAGGGTGCTCTTATAAACGTTAAGCACAAGTTATTTTGCCTGAATATTCAAATGTCCCTTCTTGTCACACTTTCTGGGAGAAGACATCACTGAAGAGGAAACATGGCTGAAGGAAGTATTGGGAAAAATATTATCAGTTTCATCTGCATCCGTAGAAGACATGTTAACGTATAAACACTGTCTGTCTGCACAGGAAGCATTGCTACAAGCAAGGATAGTCACACGTTCTTTACTGCGTTTGTAACCAGGAGATACAGATTCTTGTTTTGAAGCAAAACTCTGCGCCGGTAACATTTTATAGTTTAGGCCCGTTTCGTCGCCGTTGTAAATTTGTTCTGGATCTAAACCATACTGCTTCATTAATTTTTTAAAATTTTCTCCACATTTTAATGCAGCGGACTTATCGGCAGATAATTTTTCTCCGCAAACTTTTAATTCTCGTATACCGTGTCATTTTTTCCTATGCAGCCAACCATCACTGGCTGTAAGGTTATCAGGCGCCTCAATAACTGGCAATTCTTCACTTAAGTCTGCCTTTTGCTTCAGAATTGGTTCGGAAATTGGTATTCCACGTTCTCGATTCTGTGTAAACCACAGATATAATGCATCATCCACTTTTTGATATTCCCTTTTTTTCATAGTTTTCCGTGACGGCAGCGATGATGTTTGATTGCCTCAAGTTTCTGTTCTATGATAATAACAACGCGCTTACGTTTATTTCTATGCTGCTCCATCTTAGCGATTATGAACCTTACTGAAACAAACATACACGCACACATACCAGTGCATTCCGCAAACGCGCTTAAGGAATCACCGGCAGCGAATCTAATGACGCAATCGCCGAAAGGGGAACTACCGGCGGCTATTCCGGATCATGCGCCGATTTCCCGAACAACTTCGGTTAAAACGGAGAAATTATGGTATGCGACCTGTTTCAGATAAAGCGGATTTCAGATAATCGGGGTTCCACTGTATGTGTATTTGAGATAAGAAACCAAAGGAATTATCATCAACAAAGCACACAAATCGACACTATGCCCTATCGTTCCCTTCCAGCTATAGGATGCAACTTACAACTCCAATAATGCCATCTCTGAAGCAGATTTCACATCACATCAGAGCCAAATCATCATAGCTTAAGCGTCATTACGTTTAGGCAACACATACAGCTTCAGAAGATTGCTCATCAAGAGAACAACAGCTACTTCTAAGTTGACATAATGTCACAAAAAACCTAAATAATATCAAAAAACTGGCATAGTATGTCACTTTTTAAGATACAAGTTATACCCCTGCCGGTCACCTATTTCTATGGAAGACATCAACATCAGTGGAGCAGCGCACCCAATTTTGGAGTGATTGAATAATCAGACACTCTACATTACGCTTAACTATGCTATATTCATGTGTAATTTTTTTGTTTATGATTGCGTCAAATGCATCATGCAACCATTGTACATGGAGAGCTTCAACCGACGATGCCGACCCACAACTTCAGCGTTTTCGTTCGTCTAAACAAAGGCACGACGTTTGTTCATTATCCATAAAATAAAAAACTCTGAAACATATAAATTCGTTTATTCTCTTATCAACGCCATTTGAATGAGCGGTATAACAGAAATAGAAGACAAATCCGCCAAAACTGCTTCCATATTTTGCAACGTGGATACTTTCATAAGGTTATCCTTTCTGAAAACTACGATGGCGGCTGCTAGGAGTGGTATGATCTCCAACGAGTCGTATGCTAGGATCAAATCCCAAAGAGTGAGTAACTGTTCGGGTGGAAGATGGCCACTGAAGGCTCTCATTATCCATTTGATAACCACTCGCAAACTGGAAAAAACATTAAGATAAGCTTTTTCTTACAAGTTGAGATATAATTGCTTTAATAATATTAATAGCATTTATTGCAGAACAAAATTTTTATAATTCCATTTAAAAGACAAAGAAATCTGACAGAAGAATATGCCTTTTTCTATTTGTATTTTTTACTTTCCATGTAGCTAACCAAATATGTTTGTGTGAACATCTGCTAGCAACTATATCGTTAAGTGTAAGAGTGTCGGCATGCTATACCCTATTTCACGAGTATCCATCACGGTGGAATGACAGCTGGTTATTTAGTAATATCTCAAAATTCCCCATATCGGTACAGGGCACATAATTCTGACGGATCCATCAACGCCAGGTAGTCAGAGCCGTATTTTGTTTTGGTTTTTTTGTACGATACTGACCCATTTTGTACTTGCTAAAAGCTCTTTTATTTAGAACCGATTCATTATTGTCAACGTCAAAAATGTCACATGCTGATCTGCTGTTCATCTCAGTAGCCGTCAAAGCATGATGGATACTCGTGAAATAGGATGTAGACTTCGCCATTAAGTCTGACATTTGACTATACGATAATGTAATTGTAGATAAATAAAGACATATAGTATTATTTGATTTATGTAACAATTATAATCTGAACTCCAAATCAACGGAGCATATTCCAATTTGGAACATACGAGTACATATACAAAGTATTAATGTTTTTTGAATCACAAAACCGTTTCGTGCCGACTGATCGAATTTCCTTCAATGTTATAAGTGTAAATTACTATTTATTGTTTTCCACGGAATGTAACCACTTTGCATTTAGCGATAATGAGATGCAGTTTATTCAACTGACACCAATTTTCCAATTTAGATAATTGACATTCTAAATACAATCAAGGGTACTGTTGATTTTAAAGAACACTTTAAAGTCATATCTTATAGTTACTTACTTATACTTATATCGTTAACAAATAGCAAAAAAGCAGTGGTCCCAAATTCGAACCCTGTGGTCCCCGCAAAGATGCTGTGCAGCGAAACGACTCGAAGCTAAGCTATGTGGCTCTATTGGCGATAAAGTAGAAACAATGCTTTGTAAATACGGTATTCTGATAGTCTTTTTTTCTATTTTTCCGGAAAGGTAATACTTTTTTGTAACGCAAATATACACTGAGACCCAAATTTGTCTGACAGCTTGAGTTCGATGTGTACGAGAGAGAAATGTGTATAGACACATATTTTAGAAAGAGAAGCCGGCTGGATAGCGAAGCTCATCACTACGTTGCCAAACAACGCTGATGCGGCAATCTGCCGCGTTGCCGATATGTTACACCAATTCCTTGAATTAAGACGCATGTTGAATATATGCGTTAGTTTATTCTCTACGCCCAAATAATGGTTTTATTTCGAGCATACACATTTTTGAGTTGTGAATTGTGTCGAATCTGCTTAGGATCGATTCCGGATATATCCTAAAGGCGCTCCACTTAGGTCGAAATGAAAGGTCAGGATCGCCTCAAATTCTGCAACATTGCATCATTGATTCGCTTGGCAACACCGCATATCGTACATTCCAAGATATGGTTTCCACATCCATGATCATAGATGAGCGATTTGGGTCAGTACCCATCTAGCGCTCAGTGGGGAGTGTCGCCCTGCATCGAAATGGTTTTCAGGTGCGTACAGGCAGGCAGTGATAATTTGTATTGCGAAATGGTATTTGTTACATTTTCCGTGTTGCAAAATGTAATAATAACTCAGGATGTGTTGATTCATTACCATCGGTGGAATTCAAAGATAATTCTTAAATAAATTAAAGTGAAAACAAAATATTAAATTAAATGTTCGAACAGACATCCTTCTTGGATTTCACCGTTACCTGACCTATTGTAGAAGCCTGTGCGAACATTTTCTGGTGTAACATATTGGCAACGCGGCAGATTGTACGACCTTCTGCGTTACCGTTGCTGGGCAATGTGAAGATGACATTCGCTCTTCAGCAAGGGCGGATTCAGGATTTCGTCTAGGGGGGGAGGGGCGCAAACGATATTTGGAGCTGGTAATTTTTCGACCTCAGTGAAACTTCTAGAATTTATCTTATTATTGCTCCTTAAATCTATTGTGTTCTATCTGGTCAATGCCAGTTTGAAAAAAACATGGAAAATGCTCAGAAATCCTCAGAAACGCAACATTTTATTATATGAGAACAAAATAAGTGCGTGGCATTTATAATTAACTAGTGTAATAATATTAAAGATTAAAACATAAAAAACTTAATTGCTCTGTTAACCGAAAAAAAAAACATTCTGAGGGACCCCGAGACATATCAAGGTCCATTCCACACAAAGCAATGTCTTTGATGGCGAAAACGAACGTGAGACAGAAAAATTCACATTATCGTATCGACACTAGACGAGACAAAGAAAGATGTCTATAGACCATCTATAGATCGTGTCTTGAGACCGTCTTCAGACTGCCTATAGGCAAATTGCGCAACGGGGTCTACTATAGTGTGTACTAAGCTTAAGGATAAAGACTCTGAACTGCCCATTAAACAAATCAAGTAATTGGTGCAAATACTGTCACAATCAAGCACTTCTATTATATCACCACATGATAAAAATATCAATAGGTATAGTCGATTATTTTTTTGAATTCAATATAGATGTTACAGTGTTCTACAGACCTTCGTTGTCGAAGTTAGGTTTACGGCATAGTTGTTGCTTTCTCAGTTTTCGAATCGGTGTTGATCGCATATAAAAATGTTGGAAATCTTTGGAAAAAACTATATCTGTTAGATCGTAATTATTTTGATTATATATGTTTGTACAAAACAAGTGCAAGAATTCACGGCTGTACTTATTCACGTGTAGTGCAGAAGCTCTGTGATTTAAACGAATTCAATATAGCAACATAAATAGACACATACGCGAGAAGAGATGCGGAACGTGTGGAATTGAGCATCGATCGACGCAGTTTCTAGACAGGCCACAGGCGCACCGCTAAACAAATCTCATAAATGTCTATTTCCAATTTAGGCGTTCATCTAACATAGTGCTTCGCTGCAACACCAACCCCGAACAAAATCAGTCAAGCTTTACACACTTTTCAAATTACTATTGCGCAACAAACAGAACATAAATCACTTTTTAAGTGCAATCTGTATAACTAATATATTACTTAGACTTAGATTTGTCACAAAACACAATACTTGTATACCTCTACCGATGCATCGATTCGGAAACTGTTTCAGAGGCGGACTAATCCCAGAAACAGGATAATACATGCAGCACAAGAAATTCAAGCCTCTCTTAGTAATTCGGCGGTAGTAAAATCAGCTGTCATAAGAAGAGCACGTGTGTGCATTAGAAATAGAGGGCGCCATATTGAAAATGTATTATAAAAATAAAAAAATGTAGTTTCAAACAAATTATCCTGTATTAAGGTATGATTTTGTAAGTGTATTTTTATTGCGTTTTCCTTCCTGCTCTTATAATAGTCATATGTTTGCCAATTCTTAATCGATTTGTGATTTTTATACCTCATTTGAAAGGAAATGAAACGTAGATGTTTTCTAATTATTTTCTACGAAAAATTTGTATGCGACTTGAACGAAGATTTTTTTAACAAAAATCGAACTATTTTGAAGCTTACTGCATGAGATAACGTCAATAATGTATATTTGAGTATCAATTTTCGTATTTTAGAATATTTTTATCGTAAAACAAAAAAAAAATCAAATGAGACACCCAATTTTCAAGTTTTATGACTCGGTTAACGTATAAAGGACGTTAATTTTATAAAATCTTAAAAATTAGTATAATTCGAAAACGGCTAATTTTCGGACAGTAGTTCCTATAGTAAAATCGACTCAGATTGGCTTGTACTATCTCCCCCCACCGGCTCCACATCTATTTTCCCATAACCCTGTATAACATAATGTATAAATCGTAAGAATTGTGATATAAACGTAAGTGATGTCAAAGAGGGACAGCGTTTGGAATACCAAAGGATACTAAAAAATTCGCAGTGCCTCAGTTCCTATAGCTATAACTTATAGTTAGTATGCCTCCGTCGCCATGATGTGTCAGAAAGTAACACAATGGTGTTGGATTACAAAAATAAGTGTCGTCAGACGTCTAGGTGGGGACGTTTAACGTTTATTTATGATTGGAACTATTATGTGTTCAAAGCTCCTGACATAACAAAGATGCCCGCGCGGCAACATGGCGGCCGCCTGAGGGTTGCGAGTTGTGATGTTATTGAACACCAGGTCATAAAGTTAAAGTAAAACCACATGTACACTGCTGGCCAGTCATTTCCCTTTTAGTAATACATGTGTACGAGAGAGAAGCGTGCAATACGTATATTAGAAAGAGTGCACCGATTAAGCATCATCACCAGGTTGCCTGGCAGCGACAACGGGGAGGAGTTACAGCCGCGACGTGGTAACGACGCTTATATAGCGCACTCTTCTAACATCTCTCTCTCTCTCTCTCTCTTACACATGGAAATCTAAAAGGAAAAACAACTTTTGCCAGCACTGTATGGTTTAGGTTCTGTTTATTGTACGATGTTGCGATGGGGAATCAAAAAATTTCAGGTAAATCTCAAATTCACTAATGCAACAAATTTAGTTTTCAAGAGAAGCAAAGGTTTTCCGAAGAGAACAAGTGATAAGAACAAAAGTAATCACCAGTTTCATTCTTTCATAAAGGTAAAATATTCATACGATTTCTGAGCTGTACTAATATTTGTTAAACGGTTACGATTGAAGAAAAAATGCACAATAAAATGCATTTCTAACAACAATAAAAAAAATAGAAAACATCGTTTTTCACTCATCTCTATACACGCCATGAAATAATCAGATGAAAAGAATTTAGAATACTGCTGCAAACATGTTAAAAAAAAAGCGAAAAAAGGGACGTGCGAACGCGATGTGACGCGAAGATCAACACGGAACTGACTGATGGGGATTGTAGTACCCGGTACCGCCTAGGAACGGAATGCGCCAAAACTAAAAAATATGGTTAATTCCATTTGTATTTATTTAGTGTCTTGAATATATCGGTTCTTACTAAACTGAATCCAAATTCAAGATGAGATGTAAATAATAACAGTTAGCGCGTGATCTCTCGGTAACAGGTGGGGACAACGCCTCGAATAATGCGCGGGGCAGGGGCAGGGCAGGCAGAGTTGCATTCAGGCCACCGACCGTCGCGTGTATCACTGCGTGCTCGTGTTTTCCTATTCACCTTGCTTGGTTGTTGCTGTTGTTGTTGTTAAGTGTATTTGAGTAATTTGTTAAGTTTCTGTTTGTTATTGTTATTCCTCGTTATTATTTCTTTTGAACCAATCCTGAACATGTCCAGTACAGATACTGCTGCCGAGGCTGTAGGCTACTCCCTTAGACCTCCTAGAAAGCGATCAAAAAAAGACATCTTAGCGTAGACATGAAAGACGTCATATTGAATACATTCAAGATAGAGCGAAAGGAAGACGAAACATTAACTAACCCGAAAATAGCTCTGAAAGTGGCAGATAAAATTGGGGTATGCCAAGCGACAGTGTACAATGTTTTGAACGAACATAAGAAAAAGCATGCCTTTTCCAAGCCAATGACGGGTAAAAATCGCAAAAGTATCATAAGATCGTTGGATGACGCTGACAAGCATGCGATTCGGAAGAAAATGCACGAGTTCTTCAGAAACGAAATACCGACAGTTGATAAAGTACTACGGGAGGTTAACGAGGATGCTATGTTACCAAATTTCAAACGTTCGACTATTCCTAAACTTTTGAAGCATCTTAATTTCGAATGGAAGAAACGAGGTCGTAACAGCTTACTTATGGATAGAGAAGAAATTGTTCTGTGGAGGAGAGAGTACCTGACCAAAATTAAATCATTCAGGGATCAGCACAGGAAGATCTATTACCTGGACGAAACCTGGATTAACGCTGGGCACACTACTCCGAAGGTATGGGTTGACAAAACTGTGATTTCATCCAAAAGGGCATTTCTAGATGGACTGTCGACCGGATTGAAAAATCCAGCAGGTAAATAGATCGAAGTAGTTCACGGTATCAATTTTTGCGCCCAGTATCTCTCTATCTTCGTACCTACAAGACGTGCATGTGTACTTAGCGGATTTTATCTTTCTAGGCAAAGGAAAAAGGCTCATTATTTGCCACATTGGGGGTGTAGATGGCTTCGTGGATGACGGCTTATGGTTTTTTGAGTAAAAAAAAACACTGACTACCATGAAGAGATGAATGGGGAAGCATTCGAGAAGTGGTTTTCAGGCATTTTACCACGTCTCGAAGACAATTCTGTGGTTGTTTTAGATAATGCTCCCTATCATTCTCGCAAAATAGAAAAAATCCCAACTTCAGCTTCTAGGAAATCAGACATTCAGAGCTGGCTCCGTTCCAAAAATATAACTTTCGAGCCTTCCTTTCTGAAATTAAAAATTATTAGATATTGTGAAACAACACAGACCAAGACATGATAAATATGTTATAGATGAAATGGCCAAAGCACACCACAAAACAGTACTCCGTTTGCCGCCTTACCACTGTGAGCTCAACCCCATTGAGCTCATATGGGCAGCTGTTAAGAATTTTGTTGCTGCACACAATACAATATTTAAATTTCCTGACATGCAAGAGCTGTTCAGAATTGCTATACAGAGGGTCACACCAGAAAGATGACAAAAATGTGTGCAGCATGTTCAGGAGAAAGTTGAGGTAGCAATGTGGGAGCTGGACAACATAATTGAGAGAGATTTTGAATCCATCATCATAAACATTAATGACGATAGCTCTTCAAGTGAGTCTGAGTAAGTTTTGCGTTTTTGTTTTGTCACAGAATTCATATTATGGGAATCCTAGTTATAGTGAAATATTAACTTACAGATATACTATAGACAATGCAAGTCCGAAGTGCACCTTCAAAATCTATTTTCAATTGATTGAACAGACTTATATTCATTCCATGTACAAAAGGGTCATCTCTACCCCTCGTTGACTACGGTCATCATTGTGCATAGTAAGCAGCTGGTTACCTCTGGTATGTATTTCGCCATGTTGTCTAGTTTGAAAAATCAGTAGAAAAACTTAACACCCCTTCAAGAAGAAAAAATTGATTTTGCGATACCCTTAACTATAACTACTTCACTATATTAGATAATTTCGTTAAATACTGTCATCTTTGTTTTACAACACGTTGGTGGTAGTCCATCATTCGGAGGTAGCCCTGAATGCGGCCCTGTACGCCGTCCTTGCTTTTGGCAATCACGCATCCATTCTATCTTGGGTGTAAATACACTATAGACTGTCTATCTTCTTGCGCAATCACAACCTCCCAACACACTAAACCATGTTATCCTGGCCATTGAATAAAATAACTGTATTTTTTCAATCTACACTGTGGATTTATTCAACAGTGACAATAACATTAGTATCAGTGTGACACTCATACAGGATAGGTTTCAGATGCTACATTGACCCAATTTTTCCAAACTATATATTTATTTAAAATACTTACGGGTGAATTCTGTATTTCTTGAAATGATTCCATAATAAAGGCTCAAAACACTGCAACAGCCTTTCATACAGGAGACAAAGTGATACAATGCCTTGAGAATTGGCGCAGACCCTATGTAGTCGATGCCAGTATCTCAGGTAGAATGTTCTGAAGACGAAGTAAAGTTCTATGGGGCTCTCAAAAAGGTAACAGAATGGGGCAGCTAAAAATGACATCACAGTAAAAAAGTTTATATTTCTTATGCAAACCATCCAGTAACCGGTGAAATATAGTGAGCTGTATAAGCGGGATTTCAAAGGTGCTACGGTTTGTGATCACTTACGTATACAGGCTCTTCATTGACCCAGTTTCCCAAATAGATGGGTTTAAAATTTATACAAGGTCCCGCTAAGAAATATCTCTAAGAATGTGTACGAACAACGTGTCATAACGTGTCTAATCCTGATAATGTCTCATATGTGCGGGTTATTGCGCTACAAAGCTAAATTAACGATATCAAATTTTGGTATCCGTGAGATCTTACAACTTTTGGTAATCCATTTTCGATGTTTCATCCCCTATTTTCGAGAAGTTGATCGTAATTAGGTTAAAACTTACCATACATAGTGAAACCATGAAAAGGAATGACACCACTGGGAGGAAAAACGACAGAGCCTTCTTGAGTGTTTTGTTTTCCTTTAACAAATACTTGCATGAAAGCTGGCTGATTCGGCAGTCTTCTTAGTATGTCAGAATCTCTCGAAAAGCATAACATCACCTTAAACAATTAATGTTACTCCATACTGAATAATCTAAATTTATACAGGGTGACTTTGAAGTTGAGTCATTAATTTTCAGATAATGATTGTAGAAGGAAGATAAACCAAAATATGTGTGTAAAAATAAAATAAAAAATAAAAAAAAAAATTACCTTGTTTTATAAAGTATCCTCCCGACAAGTATTTCAGTGCGGACCTGTATTTGATCGTGAGGTCCCCTGTGAGGTCTTAAGTCACCTGATTCACGAGCCCGTTGTACTACATTAACAAAGGCACGAGGGGTTGGTTGCACTCGATTGGGAAACCGATCCGCATAAACATGTGCCATTTTTTATTTCGTTTGAGCCACGCAAAAGACACTATTCACACGCGTTACCGACTGACCAGAGATAAACCCTTCGACTGACACTGACTGTATGTATAACTGAACTGAATAAAATAATTATTGTAAAAACATCGTTCCAAATTCTTTCGCTTTTTTGTTTCCGATGCGATGAACCGATAAGGCGGATTATATCCGTTGTTGCCAAACACGAGCACATGATATTATTAATGAGACAGGGCGGTACTCAAACTTCCAAAGGGCTATAACTTTGTTACTTTAATTTTACCAGAAAAATGGTAAAGGAAAAAAACATCTCTTTTGATCAGATCTACTCACTGTTAAAATAAATGACTCAACTTCGAAGTATTTTTACATTGATAAAAAATCTATATCACTAGACTATTTTTGTCTATAGCGAAAATAAAGCATTACTCCAAAAATAACCACCGACCTGTACCGGAATTAATTTAAATATGAAAGAAAATACCAGTAGAGACATTTTTGAAGTACTGACCTGATACAAAACATCTTCAAAAACAAAATACTGATCGTCATTAGAAGCTGTAAGGTTGATATCTTTAATTATCAGTTTATCTATCATCATGTCGTACTGAAGAACGTGCGCCTTTAGTGATTCGTAATAAGCTTGTTCCTGAAATACGATAGACAAAATTGTTACTTATATATATATATATATATATACAGGGTGGCTCATCCATGTGTGGACGGAGTATTACTAATAAACAAATACATTTTGGGGAAAATCTATTTATGGCATGTTATACATGACATTTGAGGGCACATTTCTAAAATATTGGCAATTATACAGGGTGTCCCAATTTTGACCTACATATCAAAGTTGTAATTTTTTAAATGGAATGCCTCAAATTTTATTGCATATTTGGATAAACCAATTCAAAAGAAGAAGATTGATATAACGTACTATGGGGTGTGGTAATTAGCTATTCAGATGTAAGGTGTTTTGTCCAGAAAAACCGTCCACTTGGGCAACACCGCCATTTTGAACTTTGGAGTGCTGATTTTTTATCAAAAAAACTTACACACCTAAGTTTTTATCTTATTTATTACTTTTTCGAATTTTCATTTTTGCTCATACAGGGTGGTCACAAACGCGAATTGGACTTTTTTTCAAAAGTTTGGATTCAATTTTGTATAAGCTTTTTTTGATACCTAGACACATAAGGGTTTTTACGGCTATTCTTTTCAGTTATTAGCACGTCTTCTATGGAACGGCTTAATTCCCTAAAATACTGCATCATCCTTGGAAACAAATAAATTGTTGATTAGTTACAAACTGTCAAAATTAGCTTTGTGAGCATTATAATCAAAACGTGTTTGTAAATGAACTTTTCTAAAGAAGAAATGGTGAATATGGTGTTCGTTTTGGGCGAAACCCAAAGAAATAGTTTCCTAGCATCTCGCATTTATAAGCAACGGTACCCTAATGTGCGACATCCAAGGCCGGAAACATTTTTCACACTACGAGAACGTTTAGCGGGCATAGTGGGGTTCTAACCAACGGAAAATCTAACTAGGGCATTAAGCTGGTGCTCATTGTTTTTAATTCTTATTCAAAAAATATGTAATACTTCATAGATGGATATTGCTAAACCGTAGTTATTTCAAAAACTCAGAATTTCCTAATTAGGCCTTGAAATTACCAGATAGTCATTTGTTTAGAGATTTATTGAAAAATCGTTATTTCCTGGTTTAATTTGAAATGGGATTTTAAAATAAATTGCATATCAGTACTGCCACTCTTTCTTATCTACAAGAGGGCGTAATTAAATTCAAAATTAGACGTTTCTGCTTTCGATCTCCATCCTCTACATTGTTTTTTTTTCTACGGACTCACTATTGAAATTTTGCGCAATCGAGCACAATTTAATTATAGTGTAGTATTTAAATGTACAAAATTACAATAAAGCAGCCACATGAAAGACCAAGTTGGTAAATGGAAGTTGAAAGAAGAAACCTCGAATTGAAAATTTGAACACGCTACCTTGTAGAGAAGAAAAAGTGGCAGTGACAACATGACAAGATGCAATTTATTTCGAAAACGCGACTCAAATTAAGTGATAAAAAAATAAAAATGAGTTGACAACGAATCTGGTAAATGAAACAAATGGCTATCAGATAATTTTAAGGCCTACCTGGGAAAGTATGTTGTTTTGACACGTGTCTGCTTGTTGATAAATAATTCTATGACATCGATACATGTCAAATTAGCAAACAAATGGAACACTTTTAGCCCACTCACCACTATTAAAATAACCGATATACATACGTGTTGTTTGACTTCGGCTCCCAGAAGCAACGTCCATATCCTGGCCCTCAAACATCTAGGACAACCTTTTTTTAGATACTCTTGCGCTAGAGGTGCGTAGTGCTTTGTCATAATTTTTTCACCAATTGCTATTCTTTCTGCTTCGAATGCTGCAAAGCTTGCCGTCGTATTGAGGGAATTTTCAGGGCAAAGTATTTGCTCGCCTTTTGACAGTTCAGAATAGAAGCTTCTCTGAAAAGAGGGATAGAGCAACACAAAACCTTAAAAGTTCACCAAAATATTAACCATTCAATTATATTCACTCTACAACCAGCAGTGAGGGTTCCTGTGGCTGGCTAATAGTAAAGAAACCAGAACGTAGGAAAATTGACACTGGTTGCATCAGAAGTACAGTCAATCTACCTGACGCCATGTTTCTAATTATATTTGAAAGGTATCTTAATTGTGGATGTTCTTATGTTATGGTACGTCCTTGCAGTTGTTGGAAATCAGGGGCTTCTAAACTTCGATTTATACTTATCATATATGAATATATTTGAGATGTAGAATGAAATCTCACCAGGTCTCCCAGATTCTTTACTTTTAATGGCAATTGTGAAAATTCCCATTGGATGTTGTCCCTAAAAACAAACGTATATTTTATCAACACGTAGATTCTCACCTACTCGGTGCATAAGTAATCCTACCCTTGAGTTCGTACCCTAGTCGGTCCCTTCAGATTTAGCAGAACTTCCAAAAAATCTTTAGGCGCGTATACTGGCCGGTATTTGTGAATATCTACCTAGAAAATCGAAATAGTTCAGGACCTAACAAAAATGTAGCTAGATTTTTAAAAAAAATCTGCAATTGTCGAGAAACGCAATTGTCGAGAGTGTTGTTAAAATGGAGCACAAAATTTCGTTTTAGAGACTATTTGAGTCTGAGTTTTGTATCAGGTAACCAAATAAGTTCGTACGGTTGCTGTATATCGAACATTGCCATGGATGTTGTTTGTTACCTGTTATCACTTTATTATGAATCCGTCTTTTCTCACACACATAAAAAGTTGCTGAAAATTGTTACATACCTAGTTTTAATAATTGAAAATGGCGACGAATAAAACAGTAATTCGAAGTTCTTTACTGTATGAGTACAAACTTGGTACAAAAGCTGCAGCGGCGGCGCGAGAAATATGTACCTTATTTGGAGATGATGCCGTTAGTGATCGAACAGCACAGAAGTGGTTAAAAATTTTTTCTTGATGAATCGTGCTCAGGGAGACCAAAAATCATGAACAACGAGGTTCTTCGACAGGTTGTGGACGCAAATTCCAGGACAACGTGCCAAGAACTTGCAGAAATGTTCCGATTGAGTCCTGAAACTATTCGCTTGCATCTTCACCAGCTAGGAATGTTGTGAAGTTAAGCAAATGGATCCCACATGAACTGTCAAATGATAACAATTAAGTCGTTTTACCATACACATTTCTTAATCGGTTATTAACCTGCGACGAAAAATGGTTCTTGTATTCGAATTCTAAGCATTTGTATCATAGGTTGTCGCCTACTATGATTCGATACCACACACGCCCAAGGCTTCCTTGCACCCAAACAAGGTGTTGTTGTGTGTTTGGTGATCAGCAACTGGAATTGTCCATTATGAGTTTTTGGAAAGGGGTCAAACCATCACTGCTAACTTGTATTGTGAGCAGCTTCAACGAGTACAAGCAGCACTCATCCAGAAACAGCCTTCTTTGATCAATCGGAAGAAAGTGATATTTTTGCAGGATAACGCCAAGCCTCATACCGCAAAAGTGACCCGAGAAAAAATTTCTGAACTCGGCTGGGAAACGTTACCGCTCCGCCATATTCTCCTGACATTTCGCCCAGTGATTATCACCTTTTTTGTCTCTTGACTACTGTATGAGGCACCCACAGTTCACAACTCGAGATCGTGAATAAATGCATTCCGCTAATTTTTTGAGTCCAAATCCATGTTCTACAATACCGGCATACAAAAATTGGTTCCACGTTGGCAGAGGGTCACTGAATGTGATGGTAATGACTTCGACGAATAAATAGTGTCTTATTGTTTCTCAATAAGAATTTATATTTTTCTACTAAAAACCGCACGAACTGGTTACCTGATATAAATCTAAACTACAGAAATACCGAAACAAAGGGTGTCCCAAGATTCAATCAAGATTTGTATTGAATATAACACACATTTTTTTCTTTAGATTATTTTTCCATTGTACCATAAAGCATATAGTATAGGGTGAGATGTTGAAGAGTATACAGAGTGTCCAAGTTAAGGATACTATGCATGGAGATCTGATTTCCTGTGGGGATACAGCTTAGGTTAAATTACTAAAAAGCGTTCTTTGGGACGTATTAACATGCCGTTGAGATTTTTTTACTTTATTCTAAGAGATATCAAAAAACTTTTCCATTGGCACCTTTTAAGCACTACATGATGGTGTTTTAAATTTTGAGCGTAGGTTCATTTTTGAAAAACCATCATTAACTTTATTTTTTATATAGTCCGAAAAAAATACACTCTGCAAATAATAGCATTTTTTATACGAATTCAGTGAGATGTTACTCTGTCATAGCGGTCCGTGGGACCATCGCCCTTATTTATTTTCTTGGTTATAATGAGGAATGCGTTTCTTCTGGTTTCACAGAAAAATATGCTATCAGATACAGAGTGTACTTTTTTTCGGACCATATGAAAAATAAAGTTGATGATGGTTCCTCAAAAACGAAAAAAGTGCCAATGAAACAGTTCCATTAGTTTTTTGATATTCCTTCAAGCTTGAACGAAAAAATAACGACGATTAGGTCAAATTTTAGTTTTTCCCAAATTCCTCAGCAAGCCATGAAATGTTTACAAGTTTCTTAACGACGCGACGTCTAACTACGTCCCAAAGGGCGCAGCTTGTTCCCAATTTAACCTAAGCTGTATCTCCCACAGGTATCCTGTCTACAGTCAGCAAAAACCAAAAGTTCGCCAATTTTGGCAGAACAGACAAGATTAAAAATCGGTTTAAAATAAAGTAATTTCAAAATAATCTTTGAGGTCTTGTAAAGCAAGGTTTAAACTTTAATTAAGATGCTTGGAAACGTCAAGAATTCAACCCAGCTTTTAGCATTGCATATGGGCCATGTTTAGGGCTTTTCAGACAATGAATCGCTTATAACTCAAAAGTGGTGAGCTTTAGAGAAAAGTTAGCTTTTTGATCGGAATGTTCCAAAAAACCTCCAAGACATAGCAATAAATGTAATTTATTCAAAAAAAATTGTTTAAACAAATATCTGGTTTACCGTGGATGTATATTCAATGCTTAAAAACTCAGTTAAAAATCACAATATTTGAGATCGCCAAGTATCTAAATTAAAGTTAAAACCGTGCTCTACAAGTGTATTTTGAGATTAGTTTATTTTGAAGCAATTTCAACCTTGTTTTTCGGGCCAAAATTGATTTTCGCAGACTGTGCATGCACTATAATTCAGTAAAAATGTAAAAATGACAAAAAATAATTATCTAAGGAAGAAAAACTGAATTTTGGGAACCCCGATCCGATCAGTATAAACCGAGGCGTTCATAGCACGTATAAGATCGATCAATCTTCCATCAGAAGTAGAAATGCATATCACTAGTTAAGCAATATTTTTTCTGCGGGCTGCTAGATGGCAATGGCATAGTTTAAAAAACTAGTAGTCTACGGTTTACGCTTGAAACAGTATGAAGCTCTATGGTTGAAACTGAGAGTCCCCACTTATTGTGCAGATATTTGCGGCTTGCTTACTTTCCTTCGAGATCTCCTCATTGAAAATCAGTTGCTGTGAAATCAGGAGATATCGTCAAAAAAATATCCCATAGGTTAATTAGTCAAGATTGGGTGATTCACAGGCGCGTGCTGCTGTAGATGTATTGTCAAAGCTCGGTAGGGCGAAATGGAAAATAGAAGATATTTAAAAGTAGAAGACTGTTTGGTCTGTTACCCACATCAAAATTGCTCAGTTCAGTCCACTTGCTCAGTATCTCCTCCTTCTCATTCTGGCTGCGGATCTTGGCCAAACTTATGCCCAATTCGCTACACATAGAATTCAGCGACTTGTGTATCCGTTTGTCCCAATGAATCTGGCTTTTCCTGAAGAACGGGTCAAATACGCTGGCCTCCTTTCTTCTGTTCTTCAACCACCTGAAAACGTTGTTCCTGAGTTCTGCGTCCAGGCCATGGTCCTGCATTGCCTTCAGGAGTGTGCCTTTGAAATCATCAGGTCTGACGGTCGGCGCGACTACTAATTTCTGAAATATGGATATGATGACAAAAGCGTCGGAATCGTGAAGGTCGATGTCAAAATCAGGTGATGATTGACTAGTAGTAAGTGGATTAATGTACAAAGTGGATCAGCTATAACGTTGGCACAAAACGTTGGTTTCAACTCGTTAAAAAAGTAATTCGCACTTTAAAGAGTAAAATTAGATATCGATAGGAATTTAATTCTGGTATTGTTTCAGCATTTATTATTCTATGGTATTTCAGCGCGATAGATAAAAGGTGCCCCCCATCCTCAGGGTTCGGTCCTAAGACCAATCGCTTTTTATCCATGATGTCCCTTGCCCCAGCAACTGTGAAGTCTACCTCTATGCTGACGACACTGCACTTGTCGCTCTGTCGTGTACTGGTGATCTGGTTCACGATGGGTTGCAGAGTGCGGTGGAAGAAGTACTAGAGTGGGCGGAACGGTGGCTGATTAAAATTAATCATTCGAAAACGCAGGCTATTTATTGTGCCAAAAACGTCGCGGCCCCCCAGCAGAGGTCTCTGTAGACAGCAATCGTGTAACATGGACAAATTCTGCCAAGTACCTCGGTGTCACCCTTGATAAAGGCATGACCTGGCAGAAACATACAGCAGCCTTGAAAACAAAATTCCAAATTGCGTTTCGGCAACTATATCCTTTGTTATGTAGATCCTCCATATTGAGTTTGATAAACAAAGTTCGCATAAATAAAATTATTATTAGACCAGCCATTACTTATGCATGTGCGGCTTGGTGTTTTCTTGCCAAGACACATATGCAAAGTCTTCAAGTACTGCAAAGTAGAACTTTGCGAACAATTTGCAACGCTCCATGGCACACAGAACCTTCTTACAAAACCCCACTGTAGAGACCAGACAAGCCGACGTCCGAGTCCAGAAACAAATATAAAGCAGCGGTTCGCAATGCCAAAAACCAGCACGACATAAAAGTTAGGCACAGGGTAATGTCGCAGCGCGATGGCAGTCGGTCTTTCTGGACGCTGGCCAAGCAGATTGAAAAGAACTGCTCACACAGTAGCCTTCCACCACTTACGTGTCAGGATGGAAATATTGTATTCAACTCAAAGGCCAAGGCGGAAGTGCTAGCGAAGATCTTTGCTGCCAACTCCACCATGTGCCCAAGTGCCGTCAATTCAAAGGGTTCCCTACACTATGCAGGAGCTAACATTCAGGCATAAGACCGTAAGACGAGTGCTTTTGTCGCTCGACATCAACAAAGCTTCTGGTCCGGACTTGATTCCTGCTATTATACTGAAGAGGTGTGCACCGGAGCTTGCTCCAGTTCTTTCGCGTCTCTTCCAGATATCTGGCACCTTCCCAGAAAACTGGAAATTTGCTTATGTCCAACCCATCCCAAAAAATGGATCTAAGACCGACCCTTACAACTACAGGCCTATAGCTCTGCTTTCTGTTTTAAGTAAGGTGATGGAGAGGTGCATAAATCGCGAGCTTCTGGACTACCTCGAACGTCACGGCTTGATTAGCGACAGGCAGTATGGTTTCCGGCACCAACGATCCACAGGGGACCTCCTAGCTTACGTCACTCAATTGTGGAGTAAACTCATCCAGTCTTATGGTGAGGCTCATGTCGTTGCTCTTGACATCACGGAAGCGTTCGATCAGCTGTGGCACGCTGCTCTCTTAAGCAAACTTCCATCCTACGGCCTCCCAGAAAAGCTTTGCAGATGGGTGACTGACTTTATCTCTGGCCGCAAGATATCCGTCGCAATTGACGGGTTCTCCTCTTCATCCCACAACATCAACGCGGGTGTTCCCCAGGGATCGGTCTTGGCTCCAACACTTTTTCTCTTACATGTCAACGACCTCTTTTCCTGCACGATCAACCCAATCCACAGCTTCGCTGATGACAGCACTCTACATGCAGGAATTCAGAGTGACAAGCCGATCTCTGCCGCTGAGTTGGAAAAAAGAAGACTAGCGATGACTTCATCTCTGACAAGAGACCTGGAGGCTATCACTGCTTGGGGACGCAACAATCAGTACAGTTCAATGCTTCCAAAAGGCAGTACTGTACTTTGACGAACAAAAAGCGTCCCTGCGCTCACCCGTTTTCGATGGATGGTCGAGTTCTGCCAAAGAGCCATTCATTTCGGCTGGTCGGAGTCCAGATCACCGAGGACCTGATCTGGCACGAACACATCTCGTCAAAAGCTGCAGCTGCTGGGAAAAAGCTAGGCTATTTGTTTAGGGCTAAGAAGTACTTTTCTCCGCATGACCTTCTCACTCTATACAAGGCCCAGATAAGGCCTAGCCTCGAGTATTGCTCACACGTTTGGGGTGCTGCCGCCCCGACTACATTATCCATGCTCGATGCTGTCCAGAGGAGGGCGGTCCGACTGATCGATGACTCTTCTCTAACAGACAGTCTCGGGACTCTTTCGCACGGGCGGGCTGTCGGCGATCTAGCTCTTTTCTACCGTTACACCAACGGGCTTTGCTCCTCAGAGCTCTCTTCCATGATGCCGCCGCGCGATGTGCCTGCCAGACAGACCCGTCTGACTTTGGCGTCCCATCCTAACCGTGTCGAACTTCGTACATCCAGAACCGGCCGATACGACCGCTCCTTTGTCCCGAGGGTGTCGAGATTGTGGATCAATCTACAAGAGGAAGCTTTTCCCAGTTCTATTAACCTTAGACAATTCAAAAATCGTATTAATAAAATTTTTTTGGGATCATCATAGCAGCCGCGGTGTTCCGGCATTTAGGCTTCTGGCTGCGCGGCTGCTTCGATATACGTATATAAAAAAAAACCTTCTCTTTATAATAATCCTTTATGAACCGATGACAACGTTGCGTGGGAGGTGCAGAGTCAACCTACTTGACGCTATTTTTCCCAGACGCAGTGATATAACTATCAGTACAGAGAAGTATTGTATCCTTTAACAGCTCTCACCTGTATATCATCATACAAAGTGATGTATGAAGAACATTTCTTCAGATCTTCGCATATCTTTTGGGTTGTCTGATTCATGTTTTTGTCTTTAATATCCTCCATTTCTTGTTGACTATCACACTACCAATTCAAATGATACACTTCAGTTACCATCGTGTTGAACTATGTATCGGTTGCGTAGCAACTCCATATTGATTGGCGATTTCCGAGAACGGAAAATATAACCTACTGTCGCCATATAATGGCTAGAAAACGGTGCCATTAAATTTTTGCCATCATTTTATTTTCCACGCTTACTCTCGAGAAAGTAATGTAAAAATTTCGAAAATGAGGTATTGTGCTTTTGGATGGCATATGACATGTACGAGTAGATCACGATAAACCATGTCACTCATTTCCAACGGTCTGTCTGTCGGTCTGTCTGTGAATCCAAAAGCGTGGCTAAAAAAAAATAAACATCGTCGAAACTTTAATTTTTGACGTTTTAGAGACTTCTGCTCATTTCTGGAAGAATTTTCAAGGGTAATAGGGGGGGTTGCGCCGATGCCATGGAAAGACATTTCTCTCCCAACTATGATCTTGATAATGACCGCGACGAGGAGCAACACATCGTAAGATCTGTCAGGAGATATTTTAGGGCCAATGGCGTCAGTAACAGTCGCGCTACCGTTGGTGATTTTTCTTCATCAGAAGATTCTTCTTGAGAAACTTATTCAACCGAAGATCTGTCTAGCACATCAGCGGAATCTCCCGAGATCCCGCATTGCACGCCAGCAAAGATTCAAGGTCATATTAAAGACCTTAAAGTGCGTAAAGCACCTGGGGAGGATCAAATCACTAATAAGGTGCTGAAGCTGTTTTCGCGGAAGTCCTTAACTTATCTCGTGGCAATAGTCAATGCCATGCTAAGGACCCAGTACTTCCCATCCGCATGGAAGACCGTTGAAGTTATAATGATTCCAAAGAAGGTGAGTTCGATATTTCCCCAGGATTATCGTCACATTAGCCTGCTGTCAGCTCAGTCTAAGCTGGCTGAAAAGGTGATTCTACGTCACCTTGAGAATTTCTCGTCAGATCACCATGTGATTCCTGACGTGCAATTCGGTGTTCGGTTTGAACATAGTACGAAGCTACAGGCGGTTAGACTGGAGGAACGAGTAACCAGAGGATTCACCCTTAACGAAAGTACTGGCATCTTGCTTTTGGATGTCTCAAAAGCATTTGACAAGGTGTGGCACTAATGAAATCCTTCCTTGAAGGTAGGAAATTCCAGATAAAAATTGACAAAATCGGTCCTTGGACCTATCCTTTACTCACTGTAGGTACACCCATGACGTCCCTAGCTCCAGCAACTGTGAAGTCTATCTCTATGCTGACGATACTGCATTGGTGGCTCAGTCGTGGTCTGGTGACCTAGTCCATGACAGGCTGCAAAATGCAGTGAAATAAGTATTAGATTGGGCGAATCGGTGGCTAATTAAAATTAACCACTCGAAAACGCAAGCAACCTACTGGACAAAAAGACGTCGCAGCGTTTCTTCCGAAGTTTCAATGAATGGACTTCGTATACCATGGGATTCGTCCGCTAAGTATCTCGGTGTCATTCTGGATGACTTGGCGGAATCATAGAAGCGCTAAAAACTAAATTCTCTCTAACGAAACTCTTCATAGAGACCTCGATGTCCCTTACCTAAAGCATTAAACAACAGGCGCAACGACGCTATAGGCTAGCGGAATCGCACAGCAACACTCTGTTGCGCGAGTCAGTGGACTACACAGTCGAGCAAGTTCGCAAGCACAAAAGGCCGCTGCTCGCACTGTAATCAAAATTAATTCGTGAACTTAGAACAACCAAAATTGGAACTTTTTGACAAAATCTTTAGAAAAAAATCGAATATTTTTAGACCATATCAAAATATATTAATAATATATAATAAGTGATTTTAACAATGCCTAAACGCTGCCTATCCTAAAAGATTCTCTGTCTAAAATTGTCTGGTTTCTGGGTTAGCAGACCTGACAGACTTACAAACTGACACTGTGACTCAAGAGCTAAGGTCCCACGGACCGCAACGATGACTTGAGATGGGGTTGTAGCGCTTTTTTGACATTACTATAATTATACGTTTCTAGCCTCAGCAATTCTTCGCACCTAAAACACATACACGTAGAGCTAACCCTGTACATTTGCCGTTCGTCGAGAACATTAGTGTCTTATAGAAATAAACAATATTTGGCCAATACATGTTTTAACAATATTGCACTTCCGCTATCAATACAATATTTCTCTAACATCTACCTGTAATATTGTGCTTACGAGAGCAATTATAATGTTATGCCAATATTCTACAATCAATATCCCAAAATAACGTGTTGGGCCAATATCGGCTAAAAGAGAAAACCAAATATATTTTCCAAGGCATATTGATGTTTGACTGGAATGCTATTGCCAATATATGAATTTTGATCCAATTTAAAAGCAATGTTCAGACAATGTCCTGTGCTACTTGTACCTTCTAATACCAGCTCCGAGCGGAACGAAAACTTTCTGTATAAATATTATGTTTATGTATCAGCACCCAAAACATTTTGAAGAGCGGAGAGTAGCAAATTATCACGAAAAAGCGATTGAAATACTAAAAATATTAAATTTCTGCAAAAAGGCAACCAGATTGTCAGGTGTGGCAGGGCCTGGGGACTGGAGACTAACTGTACGGGCCTATTTGACTGACTTGATCCATTGAATTCCTTTGCTATACATGTTCAAGAGGGACTTACTTATCTAAAAATTTTTTACGACCTGACCACAGGGTTGCGCAAAAGTGCAGAGTCGACCTATTTGACGCCATTTTTATGTAAACAAGTGCGAACTAGCCCTTGAAAGTCCAGACTGTTGCAGACCGTAAAATACGCAACTAACTCAAGTTAGCGGAGATATCAATAATGAATAGACACGGGCTCATACCATCTATACCCAGTTTTGGAGTGGTGTCGCTCAGTCCTTTCTTCCAGGACTCGTGCCTAGGGGCCCTTGTCTCCTTGAGCCACTTGAGAGAATATAAACAAGCTTTACGAGCTTTAATCTAAATAGATCTACATCTACACAGGCAGCAGCGGTGGCCGCAGTAGTAGACTCTTCGGTCTCCTGATCAGTCGCCGTGCGCTGTGCGGGTTCGAGTCCCGTCCCAGGAGAAATTTTTCTCTTGGCTATGGATGTTGTGATTGTCTGTAGGTGGTAGACGGTTTCTGACATTCTGACTGTCGAACGCGGAGGTACCACCAGGCGGATCTCGTAGGCGGAGCCAGAATGTGTACATGTTGCAGGCACACGTGTTCCCTCGCCAGAGTCCGTGTGGCGTTCCCCCTTTCCCCTGTATCCCCCTATAGCCCCACGGTACCCAATGGGTGTTTAGGCCTTAGGCCTTCGTGGTAGTTGGAGCATAAAAAAAAAATTAATATTACATAAATATACAATTTTGCGTCAAAGTTAAGATAATGCCCTCATAGCAGAATTCAGAGCTCTAAGGGCCGTATCGGCGGTCGTTTCTACAGTTTTAGAACGCCTTTATGACCTTCTTGATTTTTATAGATTTCTAATGCTCCGTGTTACATCATATTTACATCAAATATTTCATGATTTTGATTTATATCATCTGTTATATCATCCTGAAATTTCCTACAATTCAAAGCGAAAACATAACCTCACAATAGAAGGGAGCTGAAGGAGAGAAAAGCTATGAAAATCAAAAAGACGTCCTACAATGAGTTGTAGGGACGACTGACGATACGGCCCTGAATGTTTAGTTTTTGGATCCTTTAGTCAAACATCTTTCGAAACGGTAGGTACAGTTGTATTCATAAAAAAAGCGTACACGAATTAGAATGAGAGGAAACCTTAACCTTATTTGCGTAAAACCGGCTTATCGCATGTTAAAGGTTATTAAAAATGCAAAGCATGGGCGTCGGGCATTAGTTCAATACAGTAACAAAAATGTATTTCTTTATTTTACATCTTAACAGTTTTATAAAAATTACAATAGAAACAAAAAACGATTAACAAGAATAAATAAAATCTAATATTTGGTCATATATCCCTGTTTTTCTATTACTTGAGCCAGTCTATTCGGAATTGACTGAATTATATTTGATACAATATTTGGATCAAGCTCTTCCCAGCACGCATGTATTATTTCCCATAAATCTTCTGAATTTTGTGGCCTAAAATTTCGATTATATATTTTTTTTACGATTATACCCCAAATATTTTCGATTGGATTGATATCGGGACTATAAGCGACCCAACGCAGCACTTCCACATTATGGGTTTGAAACCAATGGGTTACAGCATTGGCCGTATGAACTGGATAATTATCTTGTTGAAATATGAACGTATTATTGGGATATATTTGCTCAGCACTTGGTAACAATATGTTTTCTAAAATGTTAATGTAATTTCCGGCATTAAATCTTCCCTCTATTCGCCAGCAAACACCAGGTCCATGAACACTTATCCAGCCCCATACATTTACAGAGAAACGCCCAGGTCTAGAATTGAGGGGGTTAGTATATCGCTCTTCAAACCTGGTATTGTTTGGACGGTAAACACGAATTTGGTCGTTAAGTCGACTGGAACGTCTTTTCATCAGTAAAAATGACCCTGTTCCAAAATTGAGGATTGCGGTATATATAATTTAAAGCAAAAATAATCCTTGATTGTCGCCGTTCTTCGTTAAGAAACATTTTTTTCGCAGCAGGGTGACATTTTAGTTCAGATTTCATTACTCTCCTGCTGGCGGTAGGTTGGGAGGCAGGAAATGCTGTATCAATAACAGCATCCCTTACAGTTGCAAATGGATTATTTCTTAAATATCCCAAAAAAGCAGCATCCTGTTCAGGGTTGGTAAGTTTGGGACGACCTGAACCAATTTTCCTCTTTAGGGAATCTTCCTGTTCCCAGCGTTGCTTAATTTTCAATATGGTTTTTTTATTTCTATTATACAACTGCGCTACAGCACGGATTGACCATCCTTCTTCGATTCTTGATACAATTTGAGCCTTTTCAACTTCAGACAACTGACGAGGCATTTTTATTTTCTTCTGTCAAAGTTTATCAAACGTTACCACCACGCATTTTCGAAATGAATTACTCCGACGTCAATGCTTTGCATTTTTGACAATCTACGACGTGTGATAACCTCCAATAAACAATCATTTAGACAAGCCGGTTTAACGCAAATAAGGTTTCTAATTCGTGTACGCTTTTTTTATGAATAGAACTGTACCTCGCAGTCCTAAGAAATAGTATAAAGAAAAAAATTGTATTTACTTATTTTTCTATTTGGGTCTAAGGACTTGAATAAATGTTTCGGCTCAATAGCAGTTTATTGAGCTTCAATCTGTTTTTTTTTTCAAGACCTCGATACGACCATCTCTTGCTGAAATAACGAATTTTAAATGACATCGCACCCTTTTGAGTTTGATCATCAATATCTCAGAAAACAATCAGCGAACAGGAAATCTAAGGGTAGTTTCAAAAGTTGAAATGGATTCTATAAGAGGAAAAAGGAGGAAGAGGGTAATTTATAGTGAAACTTTTGAGAAAAACTACAATGTTTTTTTCCTTTACAATTTTTCTGGTAAAATTAAAGTAACAAAGTTATAGCCCTTTGGAAGTTTGAGTACCGCCCTGTCTCAATAATAATATTATGAGCTCGTGTTTGGCAACAACGGATATAAACCGCCTTATCGGTTCATCGCATCGGAAACAAAAAAGCGAAAGAATTTGGAACGATGTTTTTACAATTATTTTATTCAGTTGTATACAGTCAGTGTCAGTCGGTGACGCGTGAGTGAACAGTGGTGTCTGTTGCGTGGCTCAAACGAAATCAAAAATGGCACATGTTTACGAAAATGCTGAACTTGTGGACATTATTCTTATTTACGCGGCATCGCGGATTTATGCGGATCGGTTTCCCAATCGAGTGCAACCAACCCCTCGTGCCTTTGTTAATCTAGTACAAAGCGCTCGTGAATCAGGTGACTTAAGACCTCACAGGGGAGGGCATGCCGGTGCTCCAAGACCGCACGATCAAATACAGGTCCGCACTGTAATACTTGTCGGGAGGATACTTTATAAAACAAGGTAACATTTTTTTTTTATTTTTTTTTATTTTTACACACATATTTTGGTTTATCTTCCTTCTACAATCATTATCTGAAAATTAATGACTCAACTTCAAAGTCACCCTACCCTGTATAGGCGAAAAATAAAGCTTCCGCCTTTTGTTGGGTATTTCGACTATATTCAAGTAAAGAGGACTCTCTATACTTTATTAATCTCTAGCTTTCAATGGACTTTGCCATCTTCATCAGGAGAGTCGTATGTGAGGTTGTTGATATATGTTATTAACGTTTTGGTTGAGGGATACACCCAGTAACCTGGTGAAAGCTAGATACATTCTACATTTGTCAAAATTAATATACACTACACAGAACTGTATGTCAGGAACAAATTAAAATGGATTAAAAATATTTAAAAACGAAAGTTAAAATTACATCATGAACCACCTGACGCAACACAAAATGGTGGGCACAGGATCACAAGTGACTGGGTGTATCCCTCAACCAAACCGTTAATAACATTTAGAAACAACCTCACATACGACTCTCTTGATGAAGATGGCAAAGTCCATCGAAAGCTAGAGATTAATAAAGTATAAAGGGTCCTCTTTGCTTGAATATTGTCGAAGTACCCAACAGCTTTGCGCAAAGTTCTCCCGCTAGTATAGAAAATTGGAATAAGTGGCAAATTAAAAAAGGATTCCTTTTAACGAGTCTGTAAGTTGCAAGTCACAAAGCGTCAAAAATTGGATAAACAAGTATGTTTTTTTCTGTATCCAGTCCGGATTTAGCCTTTTTAGGAATGAACAAAAAAGACATAAGCGATACAATATTTGAAAAACTGCATCCTCGACTCCAAAAAACAGTATGAAAAAATAAAAATTTTAATATTGTCGAACACTCTTCAAACGTCCATTAGCAAAATTCCAAATCGTTTCACGAGGTGTTGTTATTGTAAAAAGTTGTTTTTAATTGTTAACCAAGTTCGCGCTCAGTGTATAAGGTACCTGTAGCAAATAAGGCCATGCATCTAATAAGGCCATGCGTCGATTTCTCAGAAACTATCAAAATTTAAAATTGAAGATTTCTACAGTTCTACAAATTTATTGAAAACAGTTAGCTGCCATAAATTCAGCAGCTGTGGAGCGGCGCTAGATGGCGCACTAGCACAGCGTCGGTTTTCAACATGTGCCTTATAAAATATCTGGTTTGAGTTTGTCTCCGTTTTTGCATGTTGTGGGCTTCTTTTTGCGGAATCTCTTGTTAAGTCAAACAGGTAAGTCTATAGCGCATATGCATGTATATTTAAGGTTATATGTGCGCAATAAGGCGATTTTAAATGGTTCCCAGAAGAATAAAGACGAAAACTGGGACTGTTTCATATGCGACAAGAATGAAATACGTGACATGCGTCTGTAATCAAATCCAAGCGAATAACCAAAATTTCTGTGTTATGTACCGCGGTTATAATATGGTTCAAGATGACACACGGGTTGATGACGTCAGTTACTCGAATCGCTTGAAGGCGTTGGTTTTAACCGCGGTTTTGTTGCAAGTTGTTTATTTTAGAAACGCGCATAAATGTTTTCTGATTACTTTTATTATCACTCAATAATCGGTGCTTTTTCGTATACAACAGTGTATGGAAAGCTTAAAAAAGAAACCTTTCATAATATTAATGGGAGAAATGTGCTTTTTTTCAGATAATAATTTTTAACGATGGAACCATGGCTTTGAAGCTATGATAACATTCAATTCTCTAAACTTTGCCACATGTCACAGAAAAGATTTATTGATTTAGCAGAAATGATAGGAAAACCGTATAGGTACAGGTGGACATTATCCAGTGACTTTATATGGTCATATTTTAATATTTTTGTGGTATATGTCTACACAGAGGATACTTTGTTAACCATAGGAACTAGATTTAAAGTGTCCCCAACAACAGTAATGATTATAACTAATAAGGTGCTCTACTTTATGCTAAAACTGAAGTCAGCCTGTATCAAGTTTCCCAAAAATGAAGCTGAAGTACAATAAAAATATCCAATACCCGGCAAAATTCTAACTTGTCACACTTCAAATAATAACTAGAAATATAAAACTACTCCTGAGTTGGATAAATACCATAATTTTGCGGCGATAACTATGACATATAACAGCTGATTCATGGATCACGGATCTTATAACCAAACTGATAACCACTCTCGCTTGAACGGATCGGTAAATACCAATCCAAAATGGTAAATACCATTTTCATTTGGTTATCCGCTTGAATTTGATTTGTGTGCAATAAGC